TCAACCAGGACTTTCTTAAATTATTAAAAAAAATATATATTTGAAATAAATAATTATTTTACTTTAAAATATAATGTATTTAGCTGAAGTATCCTTTTATATAATAAAAACTAATATTTTTAAAAAGCTTATAAAGAATCAGTATTACTTAATTTTTAAGTAATTTATTATATATAATTAACTAGTAATTAGTATATCTAATCTAACAGCTATAAATAAACTAAATAAAAAAATCTAAAAATCTACAATTAAAGTATTAAAATATATTATTATATAATATATTTTTCTTTAAATCTATTTAAAGAAAAGGAACACCAGTCTCCAGATTTTTAGCTAATTAATAAAAATAAAAAAATACCTCATAAATTATTAGATTAATATATCTTTTATAAATCTATATTCAGAACTAAATAAAGCCGATAAAAACAGTAATACAGTTAATTTTCTTATTGAATTATGAAAGATTATATATTAGAATAAGTAATAGTAAATTAAGAAACTTAGAAAATATATATTTAATTTTTTTAATTTAAAATAAGAAATATATATTAATAATAATAATTTATATTATTTTTTGATAAAACAACTATCATGACCTCACATAAAAAATAAAAAGTATGTAAAAGTATATTTTATTATTAATATTAAATAATATTTATTAAGTATTACGTGATATTCAGTCTCAGTAACTTATTTATATAATTATAATTTTCTGACCAGATTCTTCTTTTTATATAATTACTACTTTAATATCATAATATTTTTGTTTCCAGAGAATCTGTGCAACTCAGAAATTCTATTAATTCTAGTATTAATTAGATACTCGCTGCTCACAGCTTTAATTATTAGAAGAAATCTTATAATAAAATTACTAAAGAATTTCTGTGAGTCTTCTCCTGGCACAATACTTTGGATGTAAAGTGTTATTTTATTTATCAGATCTCTTTTATAAAAAAAATAATCAGAACTGTTAGAAGTGATATAAAAGATGTAATAAATTTAATTACATATATAAATACTAATTATTTTACAAAATATAATTGTTTAAATAACTTTAATATAATTCTTAACAGTAACTATCTTTTACTATATTTCTAACTAATACCGTATGCAGTCTATTATCTAGTAAGACTATCAGTATTATTTCTTATGTATATTTAGCAATACTAAAATAGCTAAGACAGAAGAGTCATATTTTAATTACAACTAAATAATAAAAATATTTATAATAATTAGAGAAAGATATATTAAACTAACATTGAATGTTATAAATCTATAATAATATCTAATCATCCTGCTAAATAGAAAAATTAATACTCAGGGAGGAATCACCTGTAACAAGTTTTATAATATATAATAAAAGTTCCAGAAAAGATGTCCAGCATAGCATTATATTTTATAGATAAATTAAAAATAGAAATGAAAGATATAGCTGCTGAATAAAATAAAGTTATTTATAGATAATATAAATAAAATGAAATTCATAACACCTATAATAAAATAATATATATAATAGAATTTATATACTGTACGGCTTGCTTATAATAATTTTTAAAACCAACTAACTATTAAATCTTCTAAATTAAAAGATTATTAAAGATTCAATCCTAATCCACTGGGGTTGGTGCGCTGCATATGCGGCGGATTTAGAGTCCCCGTGATTTGTATAGGGCCGAATTCTTGGCATAGAATAGTCTTAATTAATTATTGATATCCGCAAGTTTTGACAGTAATTTTATTAGTATTATCTAAAAAGTTTGAAAAAATACTAGTCTCCCGTTCAGCTCGTCTCTTCGAGCGAAGATTAAAGTAGTAAAAAGAGATATACTAAATACTTATTCAGAGAGTAGAGGAAGCAAAGATTGAAGTAATAAAAAGGGACGCGCTGAACGCTCGTTCAGGGAGTGGAGGATGCAAAGGTTCTCTACTAGAACATAGTAATAAGCAATGCTGTCTATAAATGCTTTACAGAACCCTCGAACTTCATAAAGTAATTATTAAATAATGAATTTTGGTATTATCCGGAAGCCTTGTCAGCTTGCCGTCAAAGAAAGTAGTATGAAGTACCTACTGCTGCACTAGAGTTGAAAATTGAAGTAAGCATGAAGGCGCTGAAGAGGATCAGGAATGCTAAACCAAGGAGGAGCAGCAAAGAATGCCCTTTCGTCAGCAAGACGGGCAGGCAGTGTTGAATCGTCGTCGTCTGCACTGTGGTTCTTGACAACATGATATCCTAGCTTGAAAACAATACGTCTTCTCTCCAGAAGCAGATCCATTGCCGCATCCAGGGCGGCTTTCTCGGTGGCAAGGTCTGGTTTTGACAACACTCCCATTGTTCTGATTCCTCTCGGATCAGCGTCTTCCGCAAGTTTCAAGTTCTCCTGGGTTGTAATGTCGACATATATATATCGCAAGGCATAACCACAAGAATACTGTCAGCTAGTTAGTGGATCCCGTCTAGAAGAGAGGCTGTGGAGACTAACATAGTTCTAGAATCAGCCATATATGACTTGACCATGCTCTGCACCATCACAGTATCGCTTTCCCTTGTCAGTCCTAGTTGAGATGTTAGCAAATCGTCACTCAGAAAGATGAAGATCCGCTTAGCCTCCGCAGGAACACAGAATACGCAAGGACGTCAATAATTTTTGGATGGTTTTGCTACCAAAGATGTTAGTTAACTTATTGACAAAGCAGGTGGAAGCTGACCTCGGTTCCGCTGATTTCGATTTTAAGAATGTCCCGGCTAAACGCGCCAATGCCAGTATCTGAGCCATCTGTCACATGGGCATAATGGGAGAAGACCTTATTCCGACTTTTCGTAGAAAGTGCGATAGGGCACTTGCCAACCTTTCCGATTTCACTCGCCCGGCCCAAGACAACGTACAAGCACTCATGACGCTGGGAAGTATCAAATATCCAAGAGACCAAGTCAAGAGGTAGTTAACCCTGGTCATAGGCCTTGATTTCACGCGAATCCTACGAACCTATGGCCTTTGAAAAGGTATGTCAGCTACCAAGTCAGGTCGTCCGTTCTATGGGGCTTATTCCGGCAAGAAGACCCGCACCAGCATCCCGGGAAAAGATGGACCAACTGGAGAAGCTTTTTTGGGCAATGTATATGCTTAACAAACAACGATCTTTCTTTAATGGACACCCGTGCGATCTTTGCCTATTTCATTCCGACTTACAGCTTGCAAGCTGCCGTGACGACGCGACACAAGTCGAACAAAAGAGCGCTATCAGTTCCTTGCAAGTTTGAGGCGTCACGGTAGGTTGCCTGTTGCGTGGAGAAACGACTTTGTGGATAATTAAAGTACATTTGATTATTTTTGCCATTCTCAATTTTGAAGAATATGAGCGTTCGTTGCAAGGCAATTAATTTGCCAATATATCTGATGCTGTGACAAATTATGCAGCCTGAGGTTCCCATCAGGCTTCAACCTAGCTACTATGTCTGGCATTATTATCGTCCTCTATCTCTCTACTTTCGGATAATCCTCAGATCCACAAATTAGAATCACGGTAAAGGTTGCTTCACATCCTTCTCCGCCACTTCGGCAACAACGTCTTCCTCGCCAACATTTGTTGAGGTAATGGCCCAGACGGTAGGAATGACAATCAGTAGCGAACCGATGCAAAGTCCCCAGTCCATAGCAAACTGAGTCATGGCCGTCTTTCTCAAGGCATTCAATCTCCACGCCATGGCACCTCCAGTAGACTGAAAGGTCTTATAAGCACCAACCATTATAGCAGTTCTAGCAGGAGAATTAGACTGGGCACCAATCAACCAGTAACAAAAAGATTGCCAAAGGGCATCATATGCTCCGTAGCAGATATACAAGATGATGGGGCCGGCTGAGAGACTTCCATTCGTATAGTCAATGTTTTGTTTCAGTCCTTGTGCTATACGATGAGTAGACCACAGCTGAAATTTGTAGCCACCGCCCCAGATAGCCATCCCAGTTACAAACAGGGTTACCCAGCCCGCCACAGCACGCCATCGGCGGGTCAGCCATGGCATATCGAGCAAGCAGCCCATGATCAAGCCACCTAGCATCTGAGCCATCCAGTATAGTGCACCATTCAAGGATCGAGTTCGAATGTTGAAGTTCATACCATTCACCTCGTTTTGCTGATATGAATAGGGCACGTTCGCGGAGAAGAACAAAGGCAACATGCAGATAACCCTCCAGTCAGATACTGTGCGTAATGCAAGTCGTGCTGTCTGTCGCCAGTTGGGTTTCTCACTTGCAGTTGTATGTATCCCTTTCACTCGCACCGCTGATGGAGTGCATATCAAAAGTCCCAGCACCCACCCGACCAGCATAATCACAAGCAGAGCAATGTACGTTGCATCCGATATAGTGCTGGTCTTGGAGTGGAAGTTGAGGCCAAAGCTAGCGAGAGAGCCAACTCCGCCGCCGAGGTTGAAAATGATCCAAAACACGGCGATTGCTCGCCCCTTCTGAGATTCGGGAACGTAGGTTGTCATAATTGCACCCTGGGATACCCATAAGAACGAGGCACCTACACCCAGGAGAGCACCGGACGCAATGACAAACGCTCCATTTTTGTCATCTTAGAATTGCGTTTGGTCAATCATGTCCCCGTTTCTTTGTCTCGCTAACAAGAACTTACAGTTGAAATTCAGCAAGCTACCCGAATACAGGGCATATGTCCATCCGCCAAGGAGAAGGCAAACACGAGGCCCTACCCGCTCAAATATTGGTCCCACGACGAACAGAGCGGTTCCGGCAGTGGCAGACATTAGGGCAACTGTAGCATTGGCTGCTACAGTTGGGTCGACCTGACCGGATCCTCCAAAGCCGGAGAGGGCATTGTACATCTACAGCAATTGATTTGATTAGTATGTTGTTCACATCGTGCCAAGCCACGCATAGTAATAAAGAGATGTCTTACACCAGGGCAGCAGAAACAAATAAAGCTGATTAGAAGGATCTGAAACCAAGAATTTGTATAAACGCGTCGAATCATCTCCATCGATGATTCGGCAGCGACTGTCGACGACATGGAGAAGAATGTTGCACGGTACTCGAACTGGTTAAGAGATAGTGTTAAATACTGGTGCTTGATGCCCAGAAAAATTATGAAGTTTCATCCCCCCTGAACTGGTCAATGCAGGGCATATTATAGCTCCACCATATCGCCAACCCCAGGTTCCTAACCGTGCAGAGCCACATGGAACATGTAGTCGATCCACTCGGAGTAAGGTGATTAGAGATAGGCCAATTGAGGCTATCTGTAAGACCAATAATTTGAAAAGTATTGTCTGATCAGGAGATAAGAAGGTTTAACGCTACGAAAAAAGAGAAGAATTGGAACCGGGGTCATCGGCGTAATGTGGGGCACGTAGTTAATGCTCGGTGTGAATGAGCTGCACCAGTGGCCCAAGCGATCTCTTCTCTCCGGCTGGGCAGCAACCCCGCAAAATAGTGCCAGGTAAGGGGTCGGCGATCGCGCTCTCGGCGTGGTGAACTCTTCTAAACTCATTTTCGAACAAAACTCAATGTTCTGTGTCAACATTAAACCGCCTGGCCCACTTCAATGGGCTAAAACTAACATCTCGCCGAAGTAATACAACGGATAAAATTTTCTCGGATTCATGACGAGGTTCTGATATATAATATCCCGCATCTGTGACGCCAATATATCTCTTGAGACCCCGAGATAAGGTAAGCACATAGCAGTCAATCGCGGAAAGGCAGGCTTCGCAAATATGGCACAGGATGTCTTGGATCTATCGGGTTTACAGACCGAGGCAATCAATGAACACACCAGCAATATCGACAGGGTTTCGACTCTCCAGATGTGTACCATGATCAATGATGAAGACAAAACAGTCGCTGAAAGTGTTACAGCATGCTTGGAAGACATTGCGCTTGCAATAGACTTGTTAGTTCCTCGTGTACGCGTTGGTGGGCGAGTGATATACGTCGGAGCAGGAACTAGCGGTAGGTTCGTATTTCTGACATGACGAAATTGAGTCCCAAGACTTGCCAAGTAATGATTTCTCTAGGTTAGGAATACTGGACAGTTCTGAGATACTACCTACCTTTGCGGCGCCCCCGACTCAATTTGTCGGCTTGATTGCTGGAGGAGATGCCGCCATCCGTGAGGCACAAGAAGGAGCAGAAGACAGCATCACAGCAGGCAAAGACGACCTTGCCGCGATGAATCTTAATGGCGAACAAGACAGCATTATCGGAATTGCGGCATCCGGCCGCACGCCTTACGTCCTTGGTGCACTCGAGTATGCGAAGAGCTTGGGCTGCCTCACACTTGGAGTTGCATGCGTATCACCGTCAGAAATGGGTCAATCCGGCAACCTTGATATTATGATTGCACCTTTACCTGGCGCAGAAGTCGTCACTGGGAGTACGAGACTGAAGGCGGGGACTGCCACGAAGCTGGTATTGAATATGCTGAGTACTGGCACTATGATTAAGGCTGGGAAAACATATGGGAACATGGTGAGAGATCTTTAGTCAAAAAGTTCCCACCATGGAGAGGAATGCTGATATCTATTTGCACCAGATGATCGATCTTATCGCTTCAAATCAGAAACTCAAGCAAAGATCGCGAAATATCCTCCGGAGGGTTAGCAGACGATGCTCAACTATGACCGATGAAGACTTGGATGATCTGCTCGCCCGTTGTGGTGGTAGAGTCAAAGTTGCACTTCTTGTCGCAGATAAAGGGGTCTCTGTGGAAGAAAGCCGGGAGCAGCTTGAAATGGCTCAAGGTGTTCTCGCCAAGGTTATCGCGACCGAGGATAAGGCTCCAGTCAAGACACCTCTGATAAATGGATTTAAACATCATCGATCAGCTCTATGTATTGATGGTGGAGGGTCAAAATGTGCCGCCGTAGTAGGAGATACAAGCGGGAATATAGGGAAAGGCGTTGCTGGACCTTGTAATCTGTGAGCCCTCATACTCTACTTCTAAGCCTTCAGATATATGCTGACAATAGGAGGACTGATGGCGAGTTCGAAGCCTCGGTGGATGCAATAGTCACAGCTGCACGAGAGGCATTCGGGAACATTCCCAATTCAACGAACCATATTAACGGCATCAATGACTCAACAGATCCACACCTGTCATTCATTACAAATCACGGCAAGTCATTCGATTCAATCTGGATCGCAAGTGCCGGAATGGACCGTCCAGGGATGCGAGAACGTGTGCAAGCAGCAGTGGCACAGAGACTAAATCTGAATAAGTCGATTCAAATGCGGGTAACCAACGACGTTGACCTGCTAGCTGCAGCTATGACACGACACCCAGAAATCTCCTCGAGCTTGGTCGTCATAGCTGGCACTGGTAGCATCGCCATACGCTATGCTTATAACAACGATGATATAGTACCAAGGCGCGTTGCGCGCACTGGTGGATGGGGTCATCTTCTTGGAGACGAAGGAGCCGGATATGCAATTGGAAGACAAGCCATCCGGAAAACCTTGTTCTCACTAGACAATATCAAACTTGCTCGGCAGAAATCTGGTCTCAGCACGCTAGGATTGAAGATAGTGAACATCTTCTCTAATTACTCGTCTAAAGAAAACGATGATGCTCTGGATATTGACCTCCTGAGCAACGTCCTGATGGCGAGCGAGGACAAATCCGCCAAGAGTCGAATCGCAGGCATCGCACAAACAATTCTGGACTTGGCTGGCTCTGGAGATGCCGAGGCAGTGGGCATCATTGCTCAACAGGTAACCCGTTTCGTCGACAACACTTTAACTCGTCTACTTGACCCTCAATCGCATGGTTATGTAGACCCGTCAAAATGTGGTCTCATCCTCTCTGGAGGAGTGATGCTTCACACTGTTTATCAAACCATATTTCAACTTGCCCTAGCCAAACGCAACATCCGCTTTAGCTATACGGAAGCTGTCCCCAATGCGGCAATGGTCGGAGTCGAATACTTACTAGCATCGCATACTCTTCGTCCTCTGCAGAATGGTGTGTCATGATCCTCTGTTATAGCTGGCGAGACCACTTGGAAACCCAATATAGACATAGAAACTTTTGGATCGTCACTGTACTATTAGGACCACATGTAAGGCAGTAGTATCATATATATTACATGCAGCATGGAAATAGTCAGCTTGCAAATACGATTGTATAAGACTAATCTGGTAGTCATGACACCTTTTTGGCTTGGCGGTATATTTTCCACATATTAACTCTACGGGATACTGGATACGTCTGATACCTTGGCCCTGCATTCTCTTGCGAAGCTTCCAAAACTGGATCATGACTAGTCGTCATACTAGTTGGACGTGGTTGTCAGGAATAGGAGAGGTTTGGTAAGTCAATCGAAGATTGCAAGCTCACGAACAGAGTTCCCGGGGCTGGGCTTGAGGCATGAGAGGTCATCCTTCCGTAACAGGTAAGGCATATATATTTTAGCAACTAAGTGCCAGAAGAAATCTAGAAGTCATTTCGAAAGCGGTCTGCGGTAGGATATGCCAAGGAATGTTTCTGAATCAAACGAGTTCATTCATGTTGATGCTTAGTGAACGGTGCGTAGTTATCTATTCGCCATAAGAGTCATTATCATCCTGATTTGTGATCCAACTAAATTTATTTAATAATTTCCTTGCCAGCTGAGGCAAATATCTGCTATGTTATTGTGTACTGATCGGAGTTCGTCGACATTAGGATATAAAATGCACCCATTATCGTGCTGGAGGCCCGGTGTATTTCGTACATCAACAAGATCCGAATCATTCTCGATATACTCCATGATGATGAAGGGAACAGGCCTTGCCACACTTAGATCTGTCATGCTGTAATGTAAATATAGGGTTTAGGTATACGTGTGTGCCACTCGATAAATCGTGAAACAGACACTTCGTCTTTGACTTCCCTCCTAGGAAACGCGCTGCCTTGTAGCAATAGGATTAGCACTGCATTGAGGGCACAAGCTAGAAGCAGGGCCCTGAAAGGCTATCAGATAGTTGGTGAGCATCGAATGTCGGCTTGAAACATGCAACATTGATACTTTAGAGTTAGGGTAAAGAATGTAGTGCTGTTATCGCGGAGTGTCTTCGGGGTGTTTTCGGGGTAAAGGAAGACCCACCCAACATTAGGCATCATTTGCTTAAAGGCTTCTATCAGTGATTGAGAGTTCCCGTTTTAGGTGAGGAGTGGCCATTTCACTTGCAAGTTAGTATTATCCTTGCGGGATAGTGATCTATAAGTGAAGCACACAATATATAAATGTCAATCAATCCCTCCAGGTGTCCTAACGAGATTTTAAGACGCACCTACAGTCAGAATTTGTTCAGACATACGCATGATTCAAACCGGTCCCTTCTTCTGTTGGTGATAACGATTTCAGCTTGTCAAGCGGATCAAGATGAGGGTTCTTACTATATTCGCTGTTCTCTCTCGAGTGTCATGGGCTACACATACAGTCAAAACCGGTTTGGATGTTTTATTGGAAAGCAATTACACACAGCTAGCTGGCAGAAGAGTCATCGTACTCACTAATCCGACGGGTGTGACTCCGGACTTGCAACTTGGGGTTGACGTTATGTTCAATTCTGGCGCCGTTGACATCGTTGGTGTCATGGGTCCTGAGCATGGTTTCAGGGGCACAGCCCAAGCTGGGGGCTCAGAAGGGACGTTTATTGATCCAGTAACTGGATTAACAGTTTATGTACGTTTCTTTCCACCAAAAAGTTCATCTGATATATCTTTAACAGTTCCTTCTGTTCTAGGATGCGTATAATGTCAACACGAGCACACTTGTTGGCTATATCAAGGAATCTGAAGCGGATACCGTACTATTTGATATACAAGATGTAGGAGCTCGGTTTTATACCTGTCAGTCCAGTTCATAGATATATCCAAAAACCCCAAAATAACTAAGGGCGAGCAGATACTTGGGCCATGTATGACACAATGGTGGCTGCAGCCATTGCAAATGCTAGCTTTGTGGTCGTAGACCGCCCAAATCCTATCACAGGATTGAATGCATTCGGCCCGGTACTCAACGAGAGCTATGCATCTTATGTGGGACGGCGTCCTATTGCACAAGCTCATGGCATGACAACGGGTGAATTGGCATCGATGTTTGTTGGAGAGAATTGGATTCAGGAAGCTGCAAACGGTTCGGACCTGAACTTAGAGGTCATTCTAATGAAAGGGTGGAAGCGATCGATGACATGGAAAGATACTCATCTTCCATGGGTCATGCCAAGTCCAAGTAAGTGACCGAGCTCCTTATCAATAGCAGAGCACTGCTGACATGCGGTATCATAGACATGCCCACTCCGGACACAGCTTTGATCTACCCTGGTGCCTGCATGTTCGAGGGGACCAGCATTTCCGAGGGGCGTGGAACTACTCGACCCTTTGAGGTACAGTATTGCGTACGTCAAAGGAGTGGAGTTTGAAATCTGACTAGCTGCAGTTACTCGGGGGCTCCTTCACGAACGACTCATGGACCGACGAAATGCGAGCACTTAAAATCCCTCATACGAACTTTCGTTCTGCTTGTTTCAGCCCGACAACATCAAAGTTTCAGTCACAGACCGTTTGTGGACTTCAAAGTTATGTTTTTCTCGATTCTATCGGTGACTATGAAGAATTTGATCCAGTTTTCCTTGGAGTATCATTGCTCTGGAGCGCCAAACATCTCTACACTGTCGGCGGTAACGACACAGGCTTCGGAAATACGACACAAAGTTTCCACTGGCTATTCGGTTCCAAAACTGGCCTGTACGATGTGGATGTGTTGACTGGTGGCTCTTTGGTTCGGGAAGGCATTGAGGCTGGACTTCCTCCGGATGAAATTCGGTCACAGTGGGAGGCTGACTTACAGGCTTTCAAGAAGAAGCGAGAAACTTATCTTCTATATTGACAAGTCGGAAGTTGAAGTGCCGTATGTAATATCGAATCAGGCTTGGAGCTTGTAGCCTAGAAAGTGCTTAGTTGAATCGATGTGCGAATGGCAATGTGAGGGAGAGAATGGAAGAAAGTTGCGAGGGAAAGTTGGCGTTGCAGTCTCCCGTAGAATGCCGAATTTGGAAATAGACACCTTCCCGACGGAATGCGGAGAAAATGTGTCCGTTTGGCTGCTTCTGACGTGTGGGCCTTATCTACCTTATCAACTGAACCAATAAAATGCTAGCAGTGTCAAGTTATTGCGGAGTAATCGGAATAAATGTTCATCTTCTCAACTTCTTCCAACACATCAATCCTCAATTGCTTCTATTCCTTGTATATCGTGATATGACAGATGTCTACACCATCATGCTCAACCAGGGGAGCAGTGGAAAAGAATCGCATTCGGGTCCCCTCGTGTGAGCCCTGTCGTCTATCCAAACTCGCTTGTGATCACAAGCGTCCAGCATGCTCCCGTTGCGCCAATCGTGAAATCACTGAAAAGTGCGTCTATAGAAAGAATCCATTTAAGCGACATAGGCCAATTGTGGTCTCTAAGCAACATCATGCGTAAGCTCCTAGTCTTTCGGCGACCATCATCCCCTGAGGAAAGGAGCTAATCTCTAGTAGACTTCCAGCAAGCGGGCCAAATGGCTTGTCGCCTGAAAGACCATTGGCCACTTTTCAAATGAAACCGTATCCAAATCCAGGTTACCAAGGGTCATCATCTCTCAAGACAGTGCTGGATAATCTTGGCGACCACTTAGCCGTTAGAATTGATACCTCCAGACCTCATGTTAACGACCAACAGTCGTCACGAGACGCTGTACTTCGGGCAGACAGCTCCAAGATGGTCGATGAAGGAGTACAGCTGTTAGAGACGTTCCTTGATTATCTTGCTGATGACGATTTTCGACAACTGTTCTCCGAAGCGAAAGGCAGTGATTTACAAACCCACTTAGGCACCTTCTTACTTTTCCCATTCTTTGAAAGTCTGGCAAACGAAATTGATATCATACGACAATCAGAAAATCGACAGGCGAGCTCGTTTGCACTGTCACAACGCCTCTTCGAAAAGGCAAACGAACCCGTTGAGATTCATAGCGCCATGACTCTTGAGGAGTTTGCCGCTCAGTACACGGGGCTAAATTTACGATGGGAAACGGTGGGTTTGATTATTACACTAGCTGGGTACGTACTCCTAAATTTAGTTTTCATTAAATATAATGCTAACTAGACAAGCATTGCTTCTACCGAGATACGAGTCCCGCATCCAGCTTGCAAAACAGAAGAGGAACGTCAACTTCTGAGGACAAACCTTGTTCATTTGACCAACAAATGTGTCGGCTTCTGCGATTCTTTGGACACATTGAATGATATCACTATGATATTCTTATATGAGAGTTTCCTCCTTGCTTCAATATTCTACGGTGATCAAAGTATGAACATGAACGACCCTAACAGCAGCTCAATTCCATTGACAAGTATTATAGGTTTCAAGGCTTGGAGAAGACTTAATCATGCTTCCAGCGCACTCTTTGCAGATGGGCTTCACGAGACTGTCAAAGAAAAACAGTATCTCCCATTCTTCCTCACACAGTTACGTCAGCAAATCTTTGCACGAATATACGGATCCGACATTAGTTTTGCTGTCTTTTTAGGCCGTCCTCCGCGGGTGAGTAAACGGTTCTGTTATACAAGTATGCCCCTCGACATTGAAGAGGATACGTACAGTCTAGTAGGAGAAGACTTGGACCAGGAATTGGCACACCTGGACCGAAACGGTTGGAACACACTCGGCCAGATCAGGAAAAGTGCTGTCATACGATGGTCTATGATCACCTCTATGATCCGTGAAGATGCTTTAGAAACTCTACTTGGACGAAATCTTACCAATGTACCACAGCGAATCGGGTATTTTCTCTCTCCATTATGCTACACTTCATGTTGATATTGAGATTTTACTAGTGATCTTCAAGCGAAGATTGACCATGCGTGGAAAGATCTTCCCCCGTTTCTCACGATTCCAACCCGGGATTTATGGCTGAAAGGACGTTCCTGCCACGAGGTAGACATCTTGCATCAAATTCGTCTACTTTACCTCAACACTGCCTTTTTAATTGAATGGGCGGCTTCGCGACATGGCCTTCAAGATACTGGTGCCTTGTTTGTCAATGCTAGTGAACTACTCTCATGGGTTATTGAGGCTATAGTCAGGCGTGAACAGCTGTCCAAAAAAGGCTTAATTTCTCTAGCATGGAGGGTATGTTGCAGTGGAAGCTCGCTTTTTTTGATGCCAAGTACTGATATAATAGGTTGCTTCTTGTGCTCTACCCGCTGCCGGTGCTATTGCCTGGTATCTCCTCCAGCCATCGTCCCGTGTCGGCTTCAATCTCGACTTGTCATCGAGAAGACGCAGCATAGAGAATCTCTCAGTGCTCATTGCTCACATGGGTGTCCTGCATGATCCTGGAGACGGCAACTATCAGCTTTTCTGCCACGCCAAAAGTGCTCTACAATCTGCAATGGACACTATCCTCAGCCTTCCAGATCCCGCTCAGCCTGAGAATTCCTTAGATATGTTATCCTCCCCTGCACTGTCACCAGACTGGATCTTTTCGGATTATTTAGGGCTCGGGGTTGATTCATGGTAGGTTTCTTTCATGCTGCATTTATTGGAGAGTGTTGACTAATTCCCTGACAGGATCGGTCTTCCGGATCGCGGGTCTTTTATGAGAATGGATGATAATATGCCATATTGAATGGTGAATATTTGTGTTTATGGTAGTGAACCTTTAGAAATTTCTGGATTTGCCTTAACAAAATTATCCGGATTCATACTGCGGATTCTGTAATATATGAGGTATTTGCATTCGAATACATTCCTCGTGTACATACAAGTGTATCGAAGGAATGAATCCAGGATCCCATCTGGTGCGTCCTCCACTCAACCATTACAATAGAGGAAACGCAACATCCAACCCCAAGCTCTTCCCAACCCAATACCCAATAGCCTCTCTCACAATAGTATTGCTAGACCATGCCCTAGACGGATGCACCCGGTTACTAAAATGCAACCAAAAGGCGTTATACGTCCTATCCATCACCAACGTAGTCCCGGTAAATCCAGTGTGACTCGCAGTTTGCAAACTCGCCATCGGTCCCGCAGTAGAATACTGATCCAACTCAAACCCTAAACTACGAGCATCCCCCGGAAACCTGGCATTGAAGTTTGTGAAAATCATGTCTACCGCTGTTCGAGAAAGGATCCGTTGGCCTGCATATGTGCCGTTGTTGAGGATCATCTGGCAGAATGTCGCTGTATCGCGCACAGTGGAGAATAGACCTGCATGACCTGATACGCCGTCTAGGGACCATGCGTTCTCGTCGTGAACTGTGCCGCGCACTGGTTGCGGACGCTGTGGTTCTGAGGGTCCGAGGGCTGCGATCTGAAATTCTTGTACGGCTGTGCGGTCGTAGTTGGGTGACTGGGGTGTAGAGCCTTCGATATTCCCGCGGTTGAAGAAGGTAGATGTCATTTCAAGCGGTCTGGTGAAGTCATAGATAAGATCATCCAGGGCACGTCCCGTTACGGTCTCGATAACGAGGCCCAGCGACATAAAGTTGAGATCTGAGTAGAGGTATGTGCTGCCGGGGGTATTGATAATTTTTTGCGTCAGAATTGCTTTAATGCGTTCATCATACGTCGTATAATAAGCAGAGAAAAGTGGTGGCGATGGATCAGCAGCGAAACCGCTTGTATGCGTGAACAGCTCCAAGATAGTAATATTCTCCTTCCCATACGTCGCAAAGTCCGGTATATAAGTTGCGACAGTTACATTAAGCGCAATTCGACCAGCGTCAAATTCCCGTAAAGCAGCTACCGTGGTGAACAGCTTCGTGAGACTTGCCATATCGTAGACTGTATCCAGGGTGGTGTCTTCCTGCAGGTATCGAGGTAAATTGGTGCCGTTGACATCGGCGTAGAGATTTCTCTTGCCCAAGGCAAATTCGCTGACGATGACACCGTCGCGAGCCACCAGGGTAACAGACCCTGGCTCGATCGGATGGATTTTGTCGTACGAGAACTTGCTATAGTTGGCAGCATGTGTATATGCGCTAACATTTTGGACCATTTGGTGCAAAGGGGCGGATATCATGCCGACGGATTCTGGTGAGCCATATACCAGTTTCCCATCGTTATTTTTTGTTGGACTGGCAAAGACAATACCAACTGAGGCCACTGCCAATGCAAGCCTAGCAAAAGACGTAGTAGTTCTCATGATGAAATGTGCGAGCTGCTTTCTGATTCAAATCTCTCCTCAACTTAGATTGTACCAGGTCTCGGTGTTTCTGTCATCCATTGATACTTGTCATGCCTAAATATATCTAAATAGGTCTGCTGCGTTCGGAGTCACCATCTCGGGGTGTTTGATTGGTAGTATACGTTACCCCGCTTACTTTTGTGGTTTCGGCGAAGAGCATACAGTTTACTCCGAGAGAGATAACAGATAAACCGAATGCGTACTAAAATCGGTTTGCATATCGCTTGGCCGCCATTGCTGGAAGCTTATCATTCATGTTTATCGTTGAAATGTAACTCTGTCCATTTTAGTATGCGCATTTGTATAGCTCAGTAGTTTCTAACTGATACGTGCTGATCTTACGGAAAGTCGGCATATTTGACTCCGGCTGATCGGGACTCACTCTCTCTGAGTAAGCAGCATAACCGCTTTAATATTTTTGAAAGCAGAGATATACTTTTGATAGACTTGTATGGTTTTTTAGCTCTCCTCGACGGTGTATATGTTGTTTCTGCGACTTTCGAAGTTTCTGTTGCGGTGGCATTAGGCAATAGTGTCGCAACGAAAGAGAATCCGACATGAGGAGATGAGCGGAAATGCTTCGGACATTATTCATTTTGTTCTTGTAGTACCATGCCATATGCTGCTTGGAACTGATCGTGCATTCGCTCTTGGCATCTTGCAATAAATCTCACAAATTTGGATCAGGGCTATATATTATTGTTATTAATCTTCTGGTCGAATCACTATGGGCTGTCTTCGTTGGTGGTTTGGTTTATCCTGTTCTGATATTATCCTATCACTGCAGTAATCTACCTAAGAAAGACAAGCACCAGTAAATCTGTCACCCTCGCAGGGTACTCCGGAAAGCCATAATTCGCTCGAATGATGCCTCCAAGGCTGTTCGAGATAAGCTTCCATTCTTCAACCCCGCAACGAGTCCTTCTGTCGCCATCAGGCCCTCGGTCAGGTTTCGTGAAGCACAAAGGATCATGTCTGCACCTGCTTGCTTGGCTAGAAGCGCTACTGTAGACCAGTCCCCATATGGCTTTACTGCTCCAGCCTCAAGTGCATCCGTCATGATCACGCCATTGTATCCTAATCTGCTTCGTAGTTCTCCCTCAAGCCATTTCCTGCTCAATCCTGCCGGCCGGTCATCTACCATGATATACTTGCTCCATGAGGCCATGATCAAACCAAGGCCTGCCTGGATAGCTGAACGGTATGGGATTTCATCCACAGCTCGAATCTCGTCGAGAGTTAGGTCAAGAGTAACAACGCCGGCGTCTGTGTCGTTGCCAGCTGGATTAGCACCGTTTCCAGGGAAGTGCTTTCCAGCTGCCGCAATTCCTTTTTTCCGCATAGCTGAGAGGAAAGAAACCGCACAACGGGTGACAAGCGAGGATGTATTCCCAAATGATCGTTGCCAGTAGTTCATGAAGCTTGACTCCTCGCGGTAAACATCCAATACTGGAGCAAGATTAACGTTAACTCCGGCTGCTAGAAGGGCATCAGCTGCAGCACTGCCTCCGTGCGACGATGCGAGAGTAGGGTCTCTAGCGAGCCCCATCTCTTTAGCAGACTCCCATGGTCCTCCGTTGGTAATACGCTTCACATAGCCGCCCTCCTGGTCGATCATGATTGGCAGTGGGAGGCCCTTATACGCAGGGGATTTGGCGTGTGCTTGTTGTAACTTGCTCATCAATACTGATGTTTCTGTCAAATTTGTCTGGTTGATGTTTTCGCGAAAGAGAATGAGGCCCCCGACTTTGCCCTCATTCACGAGATCGAACAAGGCATCCGGCGGACTGATGCCGGGATAGGTGTAAACGATGTGCTGTCCGGCAAGGACAGCCAAGTCTTCGGCTCCCGACGGGTGGCTGAAGGCACTCGCAGCAAGAAGGGGGGTGGCCACGAATGGGAGATACCTAAGGTAGAACATTATGGACTAGTATACGTGAACGTGAAGTATGCACTTGTAGACGAGCTGTGTTCGTGGCGAAGAAGAGTTGTATATATGCTACGGAGTATACTATATTGCCTATTGACCCTCGTCGGAGTCATACGGACACCCCCATTGCTGATAAGGTGCATTTTCGCTGAGTCGGAGTTAGATTCGGAGTCTCGGAAACGCTGATTCATGGCAGGTAATTACTGGCGTGGCATCACCGACCCCACATCGCCCCGGGCAGTGGAAGGGAGATGCAACAAATGACACTGAGCAATAAGATATGCGTGTATCGCATTGACATGCCTGCTTAGACTTGTTAAACCGCGGGCTCGGGTCGGGTTTTCTACCTACCTTGATCCGCCCGCCCGGGGTTTTGGAGCGGGTTAGCAAATATGTACCACCGCCCATGGAGTATCCAAAATTCTTCGATCCAACCCGTAAACCCATAAAACATGCCAAGACAAATCCTAACTAGATATTGCTAGACTAGGTTGGGATGGGTTACAACCGATGGTGATGATGATGATTATTCATACGCTGACATCTCACCTAGGCGATATGCATGGATCCACTATCTACCTCTTCTGTGTACATCCATTGAACGTGAACGATTACTTCTCGATGGATTTGAAGCCTTGTCAAGGCCTGTGGTGGTCTGTGCCTGAGATTGTGCTCTGCTGCCCTCGTGGCGCGCGACTTGGAAACCTCTGCGGGCGCCTCCGCAAAATCCAGTACCGTCTCAAGGATGCTGCTGTCTGACAGGATTTCTTATAGCTTACCTTTCTTACTGTGGCCTGCTCCTCCCAGCATATCTGATCAGATTATACGCCCAGCTCTGGCTTCATAAAGGTATACAAGATTTGGTAAACTTTACGGCCACTAAAATACTGGTAGTAAATGGGGAATCATGCATTATTATTGGCAGTTGATGTTACCTATCTATACGATCTCAGAAAATACTAAGAACAAGCTATCTGAATTCTTTCTACCTATTCAAATATCCTGATTGGCTAATCTAATTAATACAGTATTTTTAAGCAGGACGTGCAGTCTTATTTAGAAACCTTTTTCTTTTGGAAGTAGAGTCTACAAAACTAACAGCCTAACTATATAAATAGATATATCATCTGCAACAATACAAATAGCATTTCTGGCCTGCTTTTTGTATTATAAGAATATTCAGATTTTTCAAGATAGGATTCTTAAGTGAACAATTTCCCTGGACAGGACAATCCGAATTACTCTTCTAGGAAGAGAGTAATAGTAAATGTGTATCCTTCTTCCCTTTCTATATTATCTTTACCGTACGAAGCCACTTTGCGGGCAGCTGTAGGAGATATTAGAACTGTATATTAGCTATATATATATTTACGCTGTTTAAGTAATACTTCTACTACAGGGGCCTAATATGATAGTTCCAGGCTGAACTTTTAAATGATAGCCACTGTAAATTCTGCAATAAACCGGTATTTACAATATACATTGGTGAAGATATGTCGAGGGAAAGAGTTGCCTAAATATTCGATAATATAGGAACTATTCCAATGGTCTTTTTCCATAAGTACCTGCTTTGCGATTGAAGACCTGGACCGTCATCGTGGAGAGAATGGACTCGACTCTCAAGTACAGGATGATGAAAGAGAAGTGACCACGGGAAAGGACACGAGAAAGTCATCATACCTTGTTACATTACTCCCAAGAGCAGTCCGCGTCCGCCGAGTTCCACGGCTGGGTGAAGGAAGGGCCAAATCAAGTGCGGTTGGAGGAGTGGGCCGCCACTTGGGACAGCGAGGAGTGACCCGATTTTGCAATACAATAAAACACAAGAAACACAATCTTAGGAGAGTGGTAAACTGTGATGAATAAAATGAGGCAGTAAGAAACAAAATTCGAGGATATTACTGTTACATATAGAGCGATGACCGAACCAAACCGGGAGAAGAGTGGAAGCAGACAAAGGAATGGCATAATGGCACAGGCGGGATAGAGACATGTCATGGAGGAAGGGAAGGGGACCTCGGGTGTGGCAACCGGCTATGGCAGAGGGAAAATAAAGGGCGGAAGGGGGAAGTAGATCTCACCATCACCCGCTTCACAAAACCGGTTTCGAGTAGCCTAATAGTCAGTCCGCAAAAGCAAAAAACGGATAGATAACAAAGGCATTAACCTGCCGCGAATTTTCTTCGCGATATTGTCTTTGCTTAGCTTCCACTGGTAAAGCACTTGATTTAAAAGATTTGGCTCTCCGGAGGGGGAAATGAACAATTGTGTAAGTCTCATCGATTACGATCTGCCCTAAAAGCAAGTCGTATTCTCGCGGCCTTCCGTCTACTGGCCGCATAGCACTACAACAAGAAGTCACCACCATTGACCCGTCAGTTTCTCCTCGAGGCGGTCGCACAACTCGGGCTCTCGACAGTTCCCCGTGCCTCCTCTCTTCATACTTGGGTGCCATGCCCGGCAAGACGCATGACAGATACACTGGGTACACGCGGGAGGCTTTGTGCAGCAGACTCAGCACCTGATATGCGACCGCCCATGGCCCAGAAGTGTCCTTTCATCCTCCGAGTCATGCAGTAAGCTTTGTCATCACATTAATTTGCCGGTCTACAAACAATTCATAACTATTGCAGTGTCTAGACGGCGAATTCCATATACTTTTAATTCGCTAGCCTTCAACGGGAATATCTTTGAACTACACCACTAGCTATCAATAAATGCTCAGCTTTCCCACTCCTGTCTGTCGGTGCATGATATTTTTCACTACACCTTCAAGTGAAAACGACACCATCATCATCCAGAAAGGAGTCCAGTTTGACAATTCAATAGATATACCGGGTCCTAAGCTGTAAAGACAACTAAACCGGGTATAGCACTTTAAGCGCCAGTTGCCTGCGCGCGCCGCTGGAACGTCAGCTCACGAACGGTAGTCACCTTGTGTCGTTTTTAGCTCCCTCTCCCGCTAATGTTTCCTGCCCAATGATCAACACTGATTCCCCCTGCTGCCGCTGAAGGGTAGGAAAGATTCAGAAGGCAAGAGATTTTTCATTCCACTGGAATATACTGCTTTGTCTTATCACCTCCAAATAGCATTTTGTTTCCGTCATGCTCCAACGTACGCCGAAGAGTGTCTCCATAAACTCGCAAAAGTAATCAGTACAACTCGAAATAACGACAATCACTCATTAATAAAGGAGCAACTCACTAAGACATGATACTGTTCGTTATCTCCCAGAGGCTGCTCTTGGTCGCTGCTGATTGACTTTCGGGTCACGGTGATCATAAGCTTGTACTTCACGACGATCCTGACCACCCTCGGCTGCACCAGTAAGGTGCTTTTTGCGAAAATGGTCCGTCATCTTGGCGTAGGTTAGATATCCTTTCGAGCATCCTCTCAGGGGCAGAAAGAATCCTTGCTAGTACGCTCTTCACCCCTCCCAATTCACGCTGGATCTCATGTGTGATTTCACAATGTATCATGGCCTTGCCATGGAGGCAACTAGGGTACTATTCTCGATTCAAGGCAAGGTAGCCTGCGTGATTGCTGCGAGTGTCTGATCTCGGATTCATCGCGGATCTCTCTATCGAATGCGTCGGCATGGGCGGAGTTAGGAAGATCATTGATCCTAGTCTCTTCTTGTCTCGAAGTAAGCGACGGATGAGAAAAAGCACAACAAGAGCAAGTCAACTAGTTTGTAAGCTTGGAGTAGGTTTGCGAGGCCTTCAAATATTATCTCCCTGATGTGGAGGAGCCTGATAATACGATGTAGTTAGTGGGATCGAGGATAGATAAAAAATATATACAAAAAAATAAACAAGGGAGCGACTCGGACGGGATGCAGTAGAGACTCAAAAGACAGAGCAAACAGATCCCTTCATCACAATTCCCGCTATGCACGTGATAGCAAAAGCTGCGCTTGGGCTATACTGATTCTGTGTTCAAACAGTCTGGGCTTAACGCGAGAACCGGCAAGTAACCATTCGCAAATCGAGCCTACATGCATAGGCCACGATCATAGAAGGCGATGTGATATTGCTCGTACGAAAATAGTTCTGGCGATTGCAGATTGGGCAGATGCCTAAAAGGGAAGGGCAGTTGGTTGAACGGGCCAATAGGGAGATGAAGATACAATGCGTGTTCGGCTCAATACTGGAGTTCGCTAGCTGGCCAATATCGGAATCAGCTAAGAACTTTGGACCAGTGTTTCAGTTACAGGGCATGTTCCTCACTGTCGCAGTACAAAGGCACGGTCGATTTCGTTCCCAGGTCCGAAAGATAAAGTGGAGCCAGACAGCAGTCAGTGCACTTACATTCAGGCTCTGTCTATTTACGGCATGAAACGGATCGAAAAACCATCCCGACAGTAGTAATCTGACCGAGGCTGGAGCCTATGGAACGGATGCGAGTCGCCCAAAGCGTTCAAACTTGAGGGGGCGGTGGCGTGAAACATTAGGCCAATACAGGGTAACAGGCCGGTCTCCAGTCTAGGTTCTCTGGTATTGGGATACGTATAGCGCAGGGACCCGAATGGCATCTAAGGCGCACGGCAGTAACCCTTGTGCAGTCGACCTCATTCGATCGAACCTTGACCTTTGTCTCATTGTACCCTTTCCTCTGTCCGCGTGCGTGCACTGGTACCCTTTGCCCTTTGCAGAAGGGGTCCGGCGGTACTAGATTGGGTATGATTATGTGACTATACGTATGCTCTGAGACGCAGGCCCTCAGGCTCTTTTCTGTGTTCTCTTGGCGAAAAGAATTAGGGGATAAAACAGAATGTGAGATAGAGGATGGATCCTGTTTAGCACTGGAATGGGCCCACGGCCGCCTCAGGTAGGGCTCCGCACCTAATACACATCCAGTAAGGCCTTCCTGCAATATATTCCTGAGCTAGCCAGGGAACCCGTCCCTGTTTTTGCTGGCTAAGCTGAACTGGTCCAGACTATACTCCCTCAGTCGATATAGCTAACACGCTGGAGGCGTTCCAGCCGCTGATTCAGGAACAGTGGTGAGAGCTTCTGCTCTTGGGGAGACCCCTAGGCCCCTGATCAACTCAACTCAAAACCAGAAAGTTTGTATACTTCACTTTACTTCTTTTGGTCAGTGCAGCAAATAATACACGTCTAGTCCCACCCGATCAAGAACTGGAAACCGGACAGCAGAACAGCTCCGCCCCATTTCCGTCCGTTTCTCAAAAGCCGTCTGTAACCGCTACGTGCTATTCCAATTCATAAACTGATAGGTTATTTTCCTTATCAGCATCTGTACTCCGTCCGAGCCCCCCTGTATCCCATCTTTCATCCTACCCCGTTGTCTGCTTGTCCAGTTCGCTGATCGTTTAGCCATTGCACAGCCAATTCCCACTACCTATCCGCTTATCTGTATGCTAATTACAGAAAGATCACTGGATCATTTGGTCTTTTATGCTCACAGACGCGAAACGATCTCCCCCCTCTTCGCAAGCCATTGAAGCGCAAGTCACTCTGTCCTTCCATACTCTCACCTTAGACCATATTGGCATTGAACACTTTAGGAGCTCCAAGCAAACAACGACGAAACGGGAATACCATAATCGGATTATCGCGCCATTTGATATTCTGCCCCGAAGGGAAAATCCGTTTGTTCGCGTGAACCCACCAGCAACCCGCTTCAGCAGAGCAGTTTTGGTGCTTCAACCTGCATGCCTTCAGGCTAAGTTGAACGTCAGATTCGAATACGTTGAGCCGGAGTTGCAGGTCACACTCGCCGACCTCCAACGGCTGAAATGGTCTTGATAAATGACAAGAAGATGAGCAGAAACCGTACCTTAGCAAGGCTAGGTCGTCCCTTTCAGATGCATCGCGTATCAACTTTGGACGGACAGCATAGTATGCCCTGTGTTTCTGCAGCATACGGGGAGTCACGGCGCCCTCCATATTCCTCTGATGACAGATACAGACATGCTACCGCTCATCCATTCAGCGTCCCTCAGGCTGCATTATTCCCCAACGAATACTCTGTCTTGCCAGTCCCAGAGCTGTCGCAGCTTTCAGAAGATGACCTGTGTGGCCGAGAAGGGAGACTGATTGACATGATTCATAACCCCGCAGGAGCTCCACCACCGTTTTCAATCTCTACTCCTATGAGTGACACTTTACAAGAGCCCACGCCTCATTTTGCGCCTCCCGGTTATCGGCTGCAGGTGCCATTTTCAGACCGGGATTCGAACAGCAACATAAAATCTCCACCCTGTTATCACCACCGCACCGAAGTTCCCGTACATTATCCCACACTCACTCCTGAGCAGCAAGTTCCGGCGTTGCACAATTCCGATATTCGCGAGAACAAGACCTCTGGAATATGTCGCCCCAAAGCCCACCGGGCGCAAGAGGTAAATCATTTTCTTTAATCATCGATACGCTGATTAGCGGCGCATATCGAGACATCTGACTGACTTGTAATGTTTGGTACCGTTGTGAAGGCCTGCCGTCGATGCCGAATAGATAAAACCAAATGCGACAAGAAACGACCCACGTGTGAGCGTTGCAAAGATCAAAATCTGAGATGTGACTACGCAGGAGACAGTGTTCGCAATATTTTGGAAAGGTGAGTTTGGCTAGTGCTTCGGTAAAGATCCAACAGCCTGTGCTGACGGCTGATGTAGGAAGGATAAGGCGACCCAGCTTCTCTTGGACCGGATAATTGATATGGAAGACGGTCTGAATGAAAAGCTTGAACGACTCTCGGCAATTCAGATAGAAACCTCGGCTCAACTTAGTCGGATGTCAGAATGTTCTCTGTTGAAGCCCAGGGTCGTGAAGTGCAAAGAAATAGAGAAGAAATCGCGTGCCCAAGTTCTAGATGATCGTTCAATACCTGTTGATCATACCATGGCAAACAACAAACTGCTCTCGTGGCCGTCTATCAAGGGCCTTATTGGTCCGAGAGAGTACGATGAAGATCACATTATGGAGCTGGAAGAGGAAAGGGGAATTACCTTCATCGTCCAAGCCCGTTCCCAAAAAAACGATGCGTGTGAGTTCAGCCACGGAATTCCCATCAAGGACGTCTCAGTCTGATAGGAACAAGAATTACAACATTGATACATCTGCTAATGATCCACATAATCCAGGCGCTATCCGAACTGGCCACAATCTGAAAGCATTCGATCTTGGTATAGATGAACACGGATTATTCAGCACAGACGCTAAGACCGTACGTCGCTATTATCAGAGTTACATGAATCACATGCATAAGCTTCATCCATTTCTCAGTCCAACCGAAATGAGCGCTAAAATCGAATCGTTTATTCGCAAGTACTGTCCATTCGGGGCGTCCATCCCGGGAAAGACGTTGAACAGCCATGGTACCAACAACTTGCCACGCGGGGTGAAAAGGAAGAGTTCATGGAAGGAGATATACGGTGCAGGACCTGTCAGAGACTACCTTCCTGGAGTAGAATCCAGAGGATTCAGCAGACGGCATGTCGAGAAGTCGCTGGAGAATGCCATTATCCTCTCTATTCTTGCACTCGGCAGTATCTGTGAAGTCCAGGTAGCTATCCCTGGTCTAAATACCGACACACCCGCGGATCCCCAAAAGGAGAGAATTTTTGAACCCTCCACACGCAGTACTCTAACATTAGAAGAGACAGAGTTGGTCTTTCAGTTACGGAAAGACTTCTCTTCGCAGGCATATAACTATTATTCATCGGCAGCTGTAAAGGACCAGAACAATACTCCCGACAGGTCGATGTCCCGGGACTGTCATCATTTAAAGAGCGCGGATGTCATGCCCGGTTTGGCATACTATATATACGCGGCACAGATTCTGGGGAGTTTTCAAGGCGCGAACAGGCTGCATTATGTACAAGCAGCCTTACTAGCAGGGCTTTATGTGGGACAGTTAGCACTTCCTTTCCAGAGTCATGGATGGATCTATCAGGCGGCCAGGGCATGCCAGGTGCTTGTTCGATCGTATGTCTTGTCTAAATACTAAAGATTTTGCCATGGTGAGGCTCTTAACCAGTCCCAGGAAACGGTATGAACAGATTAGCGATGGTCCATTGAAAGACATGTACGACTTTGCGTACTGGACCTGCCTGCAGCTGGAAAGGTAAGTATAAGCAGATTTCTCTTTTCATCGGCTTCTCAGAATTAATGAACGAACTATTGATGCAGCGATATCCTTGCCGATTTAAATCTTCCGGCTAGCGGTATATCTCATTCCGAAGGACGCATTGGCTTGCCGAAGGGTCGGGCTCTATGTTTGTCTCAGGACGGTTTTTCTTCGAACAGCATGGGAATGTTCATCTATTCCGCCCGAATTTATCTTACAAAGGTTCTGAACCGTCTTGATAGTCACTTATACACCTTTGAAGGTAAGTCTGTCTCGGTGAGCAGTAAGTCTCGGCATTACTAAACTTATTTACAGCCGGGAAACAGGAACAGTTGTCTGCCTACAAAATAGGGATCCTGAGCATGAACCTCGAACAGTGGAGAAAAGATTTACCAGAATCCATGACATGGAAGGACACAGACCCTCCATCTCCGGACATCAATGTGGCCCAGATGAGAGCCAAATATTACAGCGCGCGATATTTAATTCATCGGCCCCTCCTTTACTATGCCCTGCATCATTCCAGCCTTGGCCCGTGTGGTCGCTCAATACCAGTCCCGTCCCTTACAGGATATACAACATCTGGAGAGGGATCGCTACCGTCTCCTTCGGTAGCGCACGGGCGAGGAGTTAATGATATGTCCCAATTACCAAGTGATGTCAATGCCCCGGATGGAACTGTAACAAGTCCAGACCCCCATCTAGCAGAAGGACCGTGGACACGTCTTCAATATTGTGACCTCAGTCCGGAGGTACGAAGAGCGTGCAAATTGTGCATAGAGTCTGCAATCCTGAGCACTCAGGCTTTTGATGCCATTGAAGGCCGCCCGGTGGTGACCAACATCTTCGGATTAGCCCATGCGTGAGTGATATCCCTAACCATATCACGTTTCCTGCTGACCTTCCCGGCGACTTTCTAGTCAATTCAGCAATATGCTAGTATTATCGGCTACTTACATGTCAAGTCTCTCGGAGTTGGTGGACCGGAATGGCCTCGATCGACTACTCAAACGAACGATCCGTTTCCTCCAAAGTTGCGGGAGATCTCCTACTCTACGTACTGATGCAGAGATTCTTAGTGAGGTCTATGTAAAGATATTCGGGGAGCCACCCGACATCGCTATTCTATAATACTAGCCAAATTATTCGCTGGGACGTTTCCTGCTACCTCAGGGTTATTTATGTACTTACAACAGCCATCAGTCTTACGACTACTCCTTTTACCCTTTCGCTGATCATGCTGCTTAGTAGCACACCAATGGAAACTTGATTGTTATGCACAATGCTTGGACATGCATTCGCTAGAACTGAATAACCAACAGATCTTTCAATTCTGCGAAGAACATATATCAACGGCAGCTCCATTTCCATTCCAGCGTATCCAAGCCAGCATGACCTGCTCCCTGACAGACTGCGGCACAGGGTTGAGATTACATGGTCGGATCTAACGGCACGCAGAGTATGGCGATAAGCCTACGGTTCCGAGGAGACCAGGATTTCAATTGATTGCTCATAATGCAGGAGCTAACGAGTGAACCTGTAGTGACAGAGAGGGGATAAATACTCTCTTCGTAAGGACACTGCGTTTATCCCTTCCCTTCCCTCTGTAAGCTAATATGTATTTATCCTTGATATTCTATAATGGAGTACGTTGAAGTGTTTTCTTCGTGCTTTCGCGCTTATAAACTTCCTAATTATTAGAATTAGACAGATAAGTAAAGCTGTATTAAATATAATAAATTTTTCTTAGAATAATTCTTGATAGGGTTATAGATAGTTTCAAGCTCTTCGAGAATTACATATATAAAACAATCATTTTTAGGAAATTTTCTTTCTTCAGCTGGATTCTATATAGAGTGACTAACGGCCAGGTGTTACAGACCCCTGCTAGTTAACTACGAGTAAGGCGGACTCGCCAGGCAGAAAGCGCCGATAAGGGCAGCGCTCGGGCAAACAACAACTCTTATCGAATAGAATTACGGATTGCTCTAACGACGCCCAGAACAGCCATACATCACGTGACTACGAAGCATGTCACCGACAAGCCAGAACATGCCGACGTTACGTTCGGAACATATCAGCAGCACGATATAATATATCCGCAACATAATATATCATGGCAGCGACATGAGGAAGGAAGATATATAATAACACTCATCATATACTTAGTTAGTTCTGTTCTTCGTGCTCAATCCAATTGTCTTTAAGTAGCTATACATTTGGAAGCTGAGCAATAAAACTCGTCCGTACTTACTTACGGATAGCTGCGCGGCACTATTCAGCCTTACTTCTCTTCTTTTGTCCAAGACCAGTTGTCCTTAGATAGTCATCAGCCTGATACCTCCTCGACCCAGTTCGACGGTACGTATACCAGTGAAGCTAAGCTAACAGGGACAGGGAAGCGATCCTAGGGTTTGACACTTATCTATTCATAGTCCAGCTGGCAGCAGGGTGAGATAGCTGGCTAAAGTCTTCTACTGATGTTAGTTATACTACTTCAATTTTATCAATGTTATCAGTTTTTAATGCTTTCTTATCAAAAAAAAAAAAAAAAAAAAAAAAAAAAAAAAAAAAAAAAAAAAAAAAAAAAAAAAAAAAAAAAAGGGGGGGGGGGGCGGCGGGTGAGTATCGATAATAAAAGAAAATAAGAGATAGAGTGACTCTAAAGTATTTATATATAGATGAAAGAGATGGCTTGACTTCATGTGACCAGCTAAATGCTTAATAAGCAGTTTACGGCCAACAGAAGTTAAATTTGCTGGGCTTACAGCTCGGCGTGGTCTAACACTAAATACGGAACAACTCTTTTCCATCTTAACCATGATGAGGTCTTTATTTTTCATAAAAATTATATAATTTCAGTATACTGAAAATATGCACATTTTAATCCTAAGCTTAGAATATTCAAAAAAAAAAGACTTTTTAATAAAATACTTTAATAAATATCCAAAATACTCTAAAATCCCTAAATACCTTAAAAAAGTTCTGATATATAGCTTATTATAGACTCATCGTGGTCTAAAACTAAGATTCTTGACCATGATAAGCTTTTGCCAAGAACAGATTCGGCGTGGTCTGAAATAGGCGGTAAGGTAACTGGCAGAATATTAGACCACGCTCATCTTTTTTCAGACCACGATGAGCTGCGACCCGAAATTTGCTGTCTAGCCGATCTGCAACCACGGTATGGTATCTGGCGGGTCGGTCTCCGGGGAATTTTGGCGAGGCCTAGTCGATACAGAGCACCGCGAAATGTGATTCAACAAGTCCCGAACGAAGGCACCTTCGGGATTATTTCCTGTAACCACCCCGGTTTATCTTTTTAATTTTCCTGCTATCCAAATTGGAGTATAGATTAAGCTTAACAGAGAATAGCATCTATTCAGTTAATATCCTATTTTCATAACCAGTAAAACTGCAAATTTTTTCTAAAAAATCTCTTATAATATAGTGTTCCTGACTAGATACTGCATAAATTATATATTGAATATGCGTTTTAAGTCAATATTGAAGTCGTTGAAAACGCTTAATTCTTCGTTATCTAGGCGCGCCCGGGAGGAGCGGTTGAGGTTACGGAGTTTACGGGTCACGTGACCTCGACTACTAATATAGGTTAGGGTGAAACGCATTAAACAATTGAAGTGAGTAAAAGCGTGCACTGTTTTTGCAAACAACTGTATCTCAAAAAGATATTATTTCTATAATACTGAAATCCGGATAATACTATTAAAATATAGAAATTTTATATAAGAACTTTGATACTTAAAATTAGAAGACTATACTAAAAAATTCTATTATTTTTTTAATATATTAGCGGTCATCACCAGTATAAACTGCGGGGATTCTGAGCTTAATCTAATCTTCTGAATCCAGTATACTTAGTTATCCAACCCGTGTCTCCGCCCATTGCCGCTGCAAATCCTGAATCCTATATTTAGTTGCCCACCCGGAATCGCATTCCACCTGCTGCAACAGATCGACTACCAACTGCCGCTCCGAGTCCTGCTCGAAGCACTGCCCTGCTACAAATAACGGCTGCACCGTGTGCGGGAGGATTCCGTCGGGTAACCCGCCCAGACTAATGCCGCAAATCTCACGCGCGTGGCGCACTGCCAATTCCGCGATCCGACGATAGGAGCGCAATCGTGCTGTTACTGTCGACCGGATTGCCGTTGATTCTTGTGGCATGTTAGTCAACAACAGAACGCGCGCCATGTGGTAGGTTTGCACGGTAACGGCGCACATAGGGACGGTGAAGATGATGGCGTCGATTGTATCCGTAGAGGTGGTGTTTGTGGCGACGTTTGCGGCCGCAGGAGCGGATGCGGTGCGCGGGATCGGCACGGCATTGGAGAGAAAAAGTCGGCTACGCGCGCAGGGGGTGAACGAGCGGGGTAAAGTGTCATACCAGGCACGGAGCTCAATGTCGAGACGCTCCCACCGTGCCAGGAGCTCCTCCTGCGTGGTGCCGAAGCACGGACGTTGGCCCCGGGGATTTTCAAAGTCCCCCGGAGTAATCCCGTCGCCGCTGGTAATGAAATTGATAATCTTACTAATGATCCAGATTAGGGCGTTGCTGAGCATGTCTTCACAGAGCCAGGTGTGCGCCGGGGGAGGAAGGGGGAGAGGAAGGGTGAGGGGGCTTGGGGAGGGAGAGGCCATAGCCGGAGAGGCAGATGGGGGTAAAAAATGGCCGGAGGAGGAGATAATGAGGCCGAAGTTGCGCCAGAGAACAAGATCAGAGAGGTTAAGGCGAGTCTGGGTTTCGTTGATAACTGTTCCCGGGTTGAGTGAGATCGGGCAGCGGCAAACGGAAGAATAGCTGATGATGAGAAACCTACACGCTGAGAGACAATCCTGCCGGACGAGACTCCAGAATACGGAGCGAGAGATGTGCATCAGGGAATTAGGTAGAGCAGATGTTGGGCTCTTGCTCAATTCCCCTGGAGTCCCACAGTATAGAAAGGGCAGGGCACTTAGATGGGCCCGCCATTCAGTACTGGGGGCATCAATCAACTCATACATACAGAGAATAGCAACAACTGCAAATATTTCCTCGCGCTGATTGTCAGGGATTTCCAACACAATTGCTTCTTTTAAATAATGAATCGTCTGGTCATAGAAGCGCACTGATTCATATCTGCAGTCCATTTCTCTGATAGTCGACTGCAATGGGCTGTTACGCATGTGGGGAAGCTGCAAGATCCGGGTTGGATCTCCCCGGCATATTCGGTGTAGATGCTTTGCTGCGAGAGCGCAAGCGGCAGCTTTCAGCATTGGCTGAGTAGCCACCATGACAGGTATCTTTGCAGAGTAATAGGCATCGGAGTCAAAGCAGTCCAACCTATGCAAACCGTCAAGGGATTTTTCTTTTCCCAGCGGAACTCACGTTCCAGGGGGAGAGCGCATTACCATTGACTGGGGCATTCTTTGAAATGCTGCAGTAACACTGCCGTCAAGGCCCCATTCTTTTCCGGCGGTACAGTGCTGCTAGTAGAACTCGGGATCACATCCTCAACAGTTGGTACTGTTGAGGGAGGGGTTACCAGATGATTATCATCTGGGACGTTTGTCAGTTCCTCGTCGGCGAAAGGATCTCTGACCTGGACAAAGGTGACTGTCACAATGTCAACTCTCGCTACCCCTCAATGCACGCCGCCCTCGCAGGGATTATGAAGAGACCGGCTTACGATCAGATGGTACTTTGACCCACGTCGGTACTCTTTCACGGCTAGAATGGTCCCCCGCGCGATTGCAAAAATCGGCGGCGCTGTAGTAACGGAAAATGCAGTTTGAGAAGACACAATCACGAGAGGCTTTGGCACACGGCCCGCAGACAGGCCTTTCTTCATTGCATTTGACCTTGCGTTGTCTACACGTCTCACTGGAATTGAAGTGGGGATTATGACGATAACTCTTGGCTGAAACGGGTGGTGTTCTGCTTACCAGGCAAAGTAGGAACGCATGTCGGCCCAGAGGTGAACATCAAACCGGGTGTGGGAGATGCGGCTAAGAAAGGAGACAGACAAAGAGAGCGTGGCGGGGTCGGGTCGGGGTAAAAAGGGAAAAGGAGGCGAGATCTTTGCTTGGACAGAACCTTTCCGTATGGGTTGGAACATGGAAATGCTAGCGATTAAGCTCTACCTACTTACGAACAACTGTGGGACGATCCCAGAGCGACCCGTTGGGTGGATCCCTAGCTTCAATGCGCAGTATACCATCCAAACTGGTCCCCGTTAACCCCACGCGGCATATATATGTACAATGTAAATTGACAGTACTAAGACATCTATGACATTCTACAATGACGGCTGTTCTTATGTTGGTATACTGACTGAAGTGTAGACAGGTTCGGCCGACCGGGCCCATACTGTTTAAACACGACGAAAAATAAAGACCAACGCGGGTTTCCCCTTTGGGTCAAGCGGTCAGATTGGATCACCTGACTACGGCGGGCAATAGCGGCCATCAGGCAAATGTCTTGAAGCGCTTTCACCGCTCTGCATACCACATCCTAAATAGGATCTATATGATGCTGTACGAGTCCTATCTCTATTTATCATTAAGCATGGCTCCTGTCATTGACCTTGAGCCACACAAGGCTGAGATTACCCAACTCTGCTATCAATCTATCTATAAGTAATATTACTTCTACTCTCGAAGTAGAATACTAGTATATATATACCCCTAAATATATAAGTAAGAATTTCTGAAGCAGTTGGGGGATTAGCAAGCCTAATTATACCGCTACTACTAATTATCCTCTATATTATGTTATGAAGAAGTTATTTTTTAGTAAATTTTCATAAGTTTTTACAAGTGACCTTCCTTATCCAGGGACAAGCACTGATCCTCAGCTGAGTCTGACCAACAAGAGCTCGAAGCTCGAACGGGCGAACCACTGAACCCCTAAAGCTCGCCCGGCTCGGCAAACTGCCATGTCTACCATGGGTAGTGTATAACTACAAACACCTACTGAGCTGTTGGCTGAGTAATCAGATTCAGTTTCATGAAAGAAAGAGGAGGCGATGGTGGTGTTATGGCGCAATAGTCTCCAGCAATCAGTATATCTTCCATAGGCTCTGCGCTTGAAGCTTAACAAAATCTCAAAGTCATTCCAATTTGCATGAAGATATGAATGTGCCGCGTATAAATGCCTTATTTTGATTAGAAATTGCCCTTGCTTCCGCCAGCTTCTCCGACGATACTTGCAGTTGGCGATTATACAAGCTTGCTACAAGGATCAAGGACCCCTCTTGGAGTGCAGATTTCCCTTTATCTGAAATAACACTTAATATATTACTAGAGCTTCTGTATTCTTACAGCTGGCTAGGATTGAAGGTATCAAGGTTTTGCAATAAACAAAATTAGTACTAAGTTCCACGTATACTATCAATATATATAAATCTCTATCAATGCCTTCAACTGGAATCCTGCACAGTATTCGAGACAGCTGCTGGGACACTCCCTGGTACAAAGATTTGATTCATCCCATCAGATTCTCATCCACTTGTCGCTCTGATTTCCCGGTGTATACGCGTTTGTGTTGGGGCCGGGTAGCATACAGCACATGTCTGTACCTCCTTCCGAATAGCTGCGCGGCACTATTCGGCAAGACTTCTCTTTTTCCGTCCACGACCAATAGCTCTCTTTCTGGTCTTGGATGATCGACCTTCGATCCAGTATGTCAGGTACGTATGCTCGGCTAAACTAGGTAACAGGGATAAGGGAGCACTGATCATAGGCTTTGATTATCTGGCTTCGCAGTTCCTTCATCTCTGACCAGAGCTTCCATTCCGTTTAGTCCGTCCCATATTTTGACCTGCTCAAATCTGGCGCTCTCATTATCACCTGTAGCGAACGCGACTATCTCCCTTTCGGCCTTGTGACTTCCAGGGTACATCATCGTTGCGAGGGCAAATCGGTCGTTGGCGTAGATCTCGACAATATCTGCGTCAACGATAACCCGGAGATGAAATCTTTCTAATTTTTCTGCACGTGTTCCATCTGTGACATAAAATAGGGTAAATGGACCTTTCTCTGGACAGGTATTCACGTCAGAACGGGTACTGGAACGGGACCGATCAATAGTAATCGTCTCATCCACAAGAGAGAAGACTATGGCCCACTGGACGGGCTCTTCCCCCGCGCATCGAATGCGTAACCCAACAGTCTCGCAGCTAACACCAAGCGAGACGGTAGCTTCAAGCTCCCAACACGACGTTGAAGTGCGGCAAATGCGTGATTCGTTGTGAGTAGACTGAGGGAGAGAAAAGGGCCGTGCTTCATGGGCTTGAATACACTTGGTCCGCAACTGGGTAATTTCGGATACAGGGCGGATGCCTAACGAATAAAGAGTGGTGGAACCGTCGGCTTCTATTACCATCTCGATGCTGGGAATTTCGCCCAACTTGCTGCGGACCGCCCTGGTAACGTTGCGAAGCGAGAGTAGGAATAGCTGTCTTGGGAGACACAGAGAGCCATTCCAGCCTTTCTCACGTGCATGGCCTCCTGTAATGTCTTCCTCGGGGATCCATCCATACAAAATTCGTCTTCCAGATATTGGATCATTAAATGTGCTGGCCGCATATAAAGAACCATGGTCAAGGTACCCTCCATGTTTGAATCTGAATTTCAGGTTATCCGTTTGATGATTGCTTCCAGCCAAGTCTCCAAGCATCCACAGCAGGGACCTTACTGTCCGTGCCGGCACGGTCACCGGTCGCTGATGATTTTCGATATGAGCACGTTCAACATCACCCTCAGCACCAAGTATCAGACATGTACGCGTAGCCGATGCGCTCTCGGACTCTAGATTCATAAAGTTGGCGCACTCCCAATTGATCCCGTAGTTGCCACACCATTTCTTCGACGGCTGAAATCGGAGTGGGAAATCGACAAGCTGCCCCAGATATTGCCAGTCGAAAGGCTCGTGCCACTGTACGGCATAAAGGAAGGCAGTCGGTCCTGCGTCTTGAATACCGCCAGAGATTATGCCATAGAGAGATCGTTGCCCTCGAAGTTTATCCATCTCCGGCCAGGGCGCGATGTACGGGTCGCGGAATCCGGTTACCCGAATGCTCTATGGCTCACCTTGGACGATCGGATTTCTATTTGACTTGTTCCATGTCTTTCCTCCGTCGATGCTGTTGGCCATGGATAAACCGGCTGCGTTCCGGGGATAGGGTGGGGTGCTCCAATGGAAGGGGAGCTGCCGAACAGATGAGTAAAACACTGTGAGCTGCTCATTGTCTGGATGGCTTATGACAGGAAGAAAGCATCCCGTAAACACACCATCCCTGTCATAGTCATGATCCGGTTCCAGAACTGGCTGGTTTGACGGAACGGTCCAGTGGAGGAGGTCTTCACTCGTTGCATGTCCCCATGACATGTTACCCCATTCGCATCCCCATGGATTACCTACGGAAGTATCCTCGTTAGCAGTTCGAGTACGACGTAAGACATGAAGGTGGTATACATTGGTAGAAAAGATGATAGAGGCCAGTCCTTGGATCATAGCCTGGAGCGCAGGGGTCATTAATCCAATGCGGTGCGGTGATGTGGACCGTAGGATGACCAGGTCTGCTGCCACGGTTGGGCATGATTTGTGAACGGATTGCAGTCGGTGAACTTCCAACGCGTTAAATCGAATAATCTCTAGTAAAAATCTAAAGTAATAGCCAGTGGTTATTCCCCCATGGCATCAAGGGACAAAGGTTGCCTTTTTATGTTTTGATAAACTGTCTAAATTGAGCTGACGGCAGGTGTTACTAATCGCTCGCGGAGCACAGGGCAGAACTCCGCGTAGCCTCAAAGTATGCTTCTCCCCAGTCCTGACGATGGCTCTGCGCCGCGGATCGTGACATTGCTTGGAATGGATCGAATGAAACCCTAAAGCTTAAATGAGCAGTACGATGATGGCTCCTGCTTCGGACAAGTGGTCCAATAGTATGCTAAACGGAGGTCCTTACAGCTGACGTCCGTGTCTGCAATTTGTCATGCCGAGATGCCTGGGTGACACATGAACCTCACAGGGTGAGAGGAGGTTACATTATTCATGGTAGGGGCCCCAACTGGAAGATATCAGGCTTTGCCATCACGGCTTCGATGAGGCGTTGTAGGACCGCTGTACGAAAAAGGCAGATCCAATGGGCAGCTGCAGAAAAAGAGATAGAATGATATGATCATTATTTTTATTCAATGCTATTCTAGGTAATGAATAAGGCAGAAATAGCGAAGCCCACAAGGCATCTCCGATATGCATCGTATGAAGCTCAAGTACAATATGAAATAATCCTTCAGAGGCGAGAGCCCTGACCAGCTGCAAGAGCCACGCATTCAATCTCGACCTCCAAGTTGCGGGGTAGCGTTTTCACAGCGACACAACTCCTAGCCGGCCGATGCTTGAAATATTGCTCATAAACCGCGTTAAATTCCGAAAAATGATCCATATCGTTCAGGAATACAGTGACTTTGACGACTCGACTGATATCACTTCCTGCCTCTGCCAACACTGCCTGAACGCTTCTACAACATGCGTGGGTCTTATCCGAAATGCTTCCTTCTAGAGGCACTCCATTTGTATCGATGGGTATCTGACCGGAAAGAAAGATGAAGGGTCCAGCAACCATTGCTTGCGACTTGAGTATATTCTGTTAGCCTGGTACACTTGTAGTTTCTCTAAGGGGCTTATGACATAAGTCCGTGTACGGATAAGGAGTCATACATAGGGTCCAATTGCTACGCCGTTATCGAGTCAGTTTAATGGTTCCCTAAAGCCTCACCATATAGTGAAGGCACGACTCACCTGGGCATGCTTCTGAAGTTGATATGGGGGTGAGTCCAGCGGACATGGCGTCTTGTATAGATATGAGATCGAATAAAATTCTTTTCTTGTTCTACCCGAAGTGATAGAGAAAATGAGTAAATTCATTGACACCCTTAGTATTGTTATATACTAGTCTAGGGCCAGTGTACCACACGGTAATCAATATGGGAGAAGAGTCTATATTCCGAAATCTCGGCCCGGCGTACGCCAACTGGGTGACGGGCTATGTCCGTTCTGATCTGTAATATACCGACCAAAGCAGCCTTTACTGTTCTTGATGACATGCGAGATTTAAGGTCTTCGTATTGGATACCCCAAGAAAGGGGTGCCGCCGGAGAAGCAGAATGTAGGACTGGAAAGAGAGGAAGAGAAACCGGGTGTACGTACCCGAAAGCCCCACAGTGGCGGTTGGTTTCTACCCGCTCATGGAAGCATACGCCGATTTCAAGAATTATTACTCGGCTATCGTGTAAAAGACAGTCTCTGAGAGTCTGACTATTTGGATAACGTAATTCAGCTATTTATTCGGATGCCGCGGATGTTGCATTAGCTGGCGGACTTATCTATTGTAATCAGTAGAGTCTAGTCTGCACACATCTCCTTCAAGGGTGGTGTTCCCGCCCATGCCCTTGATGTCGGAAAAGTGGCTATTACTTTAGCTTATATCGTTTGTGTTACCGTCTTTAGAAAGGAGCAGATTATGTGCATCGGTCGCGCCTGGGAGACTTGATTCGTCCACGCTAGTGGATGAGCAAGGAAGCACTTGCTAACTGAAGCTGAGCAATTGCTGGCCTTTGCCAAGTAAACATTCACCAATTTACGAATCCTGATTCTCGCAGCGAACGGCGGCACATAGAAACCAAGATGCTCCTAGCTTCAAATAGTAGACCTTGATTTAATATGCTTTGCTATTGTCATATACAGCATTATTTTTCTTTTTCCTGCCTTGAAAGCTTGCGAGAGCGCGAGAAGAAAGGGAGTAGTTTTGGGAGACGGTGGCCCAATCGTTAACAAGCTATTTCGTTGATCAGCCAAGGTCCTAGAAGAACTAGAAGCCGTGCCACATGTAAACAGACCAGAATATGCATTTTGATAACAATTTGAGTGTTGTGTCGTTCTTGCTTGCTTTTGAAATGAGCTTGTCAAGTGCTCGACCTTGATTCTAAGGAGGGAAATTAACCTCTCTGTGGCGTCGTTGGGTATTTTGTCATTAACGTAGCGATAGATGCTTCGTCTTCGAAAATTAGAAGCCGGACCTTCAGCTACACACGCGAAAGAATAACAAGGAAGCTCAGATTGGCCGGAGATACGCTGTAGAATGTGCCGATAATTCTGAGAATACTCCTGGGCCACGTTGTACCGAAATGTCTTGCTAGACGACCAATCCTACAAGCAAATCGAACTAGGCTCATATTAAAATGCGTTAGGCTGCAGTCGCGGTTTAGGAAACTGTTAACCTGCAATACGATTCGTTCAATCACAGATAACCGGGGTTGTCGGTTGAAAATCCTGTTATTGACCGATTGAAACCGGTAAAGCCGCCGAGCGACCAGGCAATAAGGCCACAACATGTCCAACTCGAGGCAGCTTGTGCCTTGTACTGCGATGTAAGAAAAAAGAACCCTCAATAGACACTGGCCGATAAGAGAAGATGCAGGACCTGAATTGTAGTTGGGCTAGCGTAGTTTGGGGTGCGATACTCTGAGGCCTTTTGGGCCGCGATCGTCTAGCAAAAAGCGTGGCTTGCTAGCCAGGTGCCGGACCCCCGAATACAGATTACAGCTGGGTACAATGATGAGGGGCAGGAGGACATGGCTTTCTCCTAGGCTACACGGTAAGGATCCTTTCGGTGCCAGGGTGCTGGGGAGCTATCTGGTCATTAGCATATCAAGGTGGGCTTAATCCTTCCTAATGGCCAATTACTTTGAGACTCCATATCTGAGATTTGCGAGAGCATATATTGGAATAAGCTATGTGACTCTACTCAAAACTTGTGCCTCCAGGCCTACACTCCCAGGCCCTGTAGGAAACGACGGCGGATGTCCTCACAGATGATGACATTGTTACGCGCGCGCTCTTGAGATTCGCCCGCCCTTCTCTGTAGCCACTCGTTCCGATCTTTGACAAAGGCCGCCATCCGCTCATCGCGCTGCTTGACCATAGCTTGCTGCTGCGCACTCATGCTGTTGACATTTGGCTCAGGCACATCGTCCAACGGTGGGAATTGGGGCTTGCGAGGAATGCGTTTCTCCACAGGCAGTATTTCGAGCTTAGGGCCAAGCAGAGTCTGGTACCAGTACGCGGTAGTGCTCCAATCATCGCGCAAATGGTTGGCATGTCCAGATTCAAGGGTTACTTTGATCTTTTTGTTGAAGCGCACGGGATCCGTAAGGTGCCAGCGGTAGCTGACCTGGTAGTTGGGCACGTCCTCTTCGTGAATGATAGATCCGCAGAAGGGATACGCGTTCTTCTGCATGCCCCAGCCTTGCGTGAAATAATCCTCTCCACCAGTGCCGTGCATACTCGGCGGCCAAGTGTCATCGTCGATGAAGATCATGTCGTCGCCTTCGCCCCACCACGTGCCCTGGAAGTGCGCGACGGAGTGGTTGCAGCCAATGTACTGGCCAGCGCCTTCCGTCTCCAAAATAACGTAGTTATCCTTCCCATCGAGATTTGGTATCTGGGTCTCGAGGCTGTTGGTCTGAATGCGAGACGGTGCCCATCCGTTGGTGGGATTCATGCGTCGCCAGTGTGCATGAAAGTATAGCGTATCGGCCGGGAGAGGCTCCGCATACAGCTCATAGTCTATATAAAAATATTGAAAATAAGCCTCGTCGTTTTCGTTCTCAATCTCAATACGCGCACGCTTGTTGAAGGGCATCGTAAGGTAGCAGTTGAACGCTGCAGCGCCACCAAATTTCTTCTCCTCCGACGGCTTAACCGACACCGTAAATGGGAGAGACTGAAAGTTGGCAGCCATAGAATGACCGAGACAGAAAAAGTCGCCGATAGGCGCAATGACGTTTGGAGTAGTCGAGTCGTCCCAGTACATCTTGATGAGCACTTTGCGGTAGTAGTCGGGATCACTGACTTCGTAGTTCAGGCCGAGAGCGTTGTGGATTTCCATCATCGCAACGCCGGACTTGGAGTATGGAATCAACCCAGGGCCCAGGATCTTGCGGCATGTCTGCACAAACCACAGGTGAGTTATGGCACCGGGCCCTTCAAGATCGGCAAGAACGATGGACTCTCCCGGTAACACAACAAAGGCGTCTTCGTTGAGGCCCTTCTGATCCCAACTAGCCACACGAGCACTGCGAGCAAGTTTTCTCTTGGCCATGCTGGCCAGCAGGTCGCTTCCGATGGGCATTTTGAGTTTTGAGAAAGTGCAAGAAGATCGATAAATATCAGACCAAAGATAATGGATAAACTGGCAATGGGGATCTGTAGCGGTAGCATAGGGTCTTTTATATTTACACTTTGCGCCCGCATTGATATTCTATTGTGGCAATTAAGCTTGGTGAAAGCTTGCCTGGTTACGCGGAGTTTGTCGGTCCTTCCGCGACAATTGGATATCGCGGAGCTGCACCCGCCATCCGCGACAGCAAGTGCGGAGTGTGGAATTCCCCATATTAGCGGAGTGCCTGTCCTCTTACGACACGACGGGCCCACCGAGCGTGTGCGCGGAGGACCAAGTACGATAGTATCGGGGCTTGTTTGATCACGAGTTCAGCCACGAAAGTGGGGAGCTAGACGGTGATTATAACCATCGATTGAGGGATTCGTTGATTAGCTGACCTAGTGAGAAATAAGACTTGTGATTCCTGGTAATATTCAAAACGAATCAAGTCTAGGTTTTTCCTGGGTAGCACCTTGGAGATGCTCTGTTAACTATTTATAAAATTATTACTATTCTTTAGCTATTATGGGCAATTTTTGGATAATCTCTATCATAATATGTGAGTTCAAAGCTGCGGGTGTAGCTGAAGTTCAGCAAATATATAGTAAAATACCAGATTTTAATATAGTAAGAAGATTTGAATATGTGCAATACTAGCTGGTAACAGAAGCCAAAACTATCTATTATCTTTGACTCAGTATATCATAATCTATAGTTATCTACAGCCTAGAAATCTAACCAAGGAAGCCAACTTTATATTAGATAATATATTACGAATTCTTTCAAGGAAGCAATACATTATAGAGACTTTCTGAATGCATATATATCGATTGCTTTGTAGGATTGACCTTAGAACTTTGGCTTTCTGGTATTACTATATTTATTAATACTCTGCGAATAATATTAATTTATCAAAATTATTTACTGTTAGAGTATAAGTAGTCACTTCATCAACAAGACTCTATTGGGGGGAAATTCTACATTTCTATCATTGTGGAGTCCTCATGTACCTCTTATGACTTGAACAGTATTCAGTAGCCATACAAAGCAGAGCGCACAACTTCTGTAATATCTATAGGAAAGATACTGCTACCGTCGTCGCAGCATGGGAAGAATTCTATATCAAGTATAATTTGTAGGCGCAGCAAACACGTTAAACTGATAAAATAATTGACTGAATAGAAATCGGTAAGCAATATACATCTAAGCGGAATGGCAGTACATGGTAGACAACCTCATGGCAACGCTTTGGAGCCAAAGCCATTGGGCTGGTATGGATTGTAATTCAGACCCTGACGTGTCTGGGTCCACAAAAATCTCTTTGGCCTTACTTTCCACTGCTGATCATCTCGTAAAGACAATCATTCAACATGCGAGCTCGTAGCTTTCTGGTCATCATCTGCCCGGTTGCTCTCTATATCGACACTGCCAACTTGTTCTTTGAAATGTCTAGGTGACACATTTAGTGCGTATAACTCGTCGAGTCTCTCGAAAGAAATTCCCTTTCCGTCGATACCTTAGCTAATCCATTATAAGATTACATTGAGGGAATGCGAACCTTTGTCTCTGGGTATAAGTACCACCCACCGACTGCAGCAAGGAGCCCAGTGCCGAGGAAGATAAAACCGACTTTACCTCCCAAGTTTCCAGCATCAGGGTTGATCTGTCAAACAGTCAGTACACATATCACACCGAATACCAGGTTCATCTAACCATATAAGGGATGGTAAATTGCATGATTAGGCCCCACACTGCATTTGCGATCGTTACCAGACCCTGGGTCGCTCCCCGAAGGCGCATTGTGGCTATCTCTGATGCCAAAACAAACCCAGTGGCCCCGATGGAGACCTGGAAGGCAATTGCCCACAGGTAGATAAAGACCACAATACCCCAACTGGCTTTTGTTTGGTCTTTGACACACCCTAGGATTCCTATGACCAGGAGCATAAGGCATAACGCAAATTGGGGCCATACAATCAGAGTCCGACGTCCTAAAGTCTCTGTTAGAGGGAACGCCGACATGCTGGAAAGAAGCATAACGATGTAAAGGATCACAGATGCGGTGAAGTATTCCTTCACATGGATCAAGTCGAGGAAGTAGGTCGCATAGCCGATTACAAAGGTTGCACCGATCATTTGTTGACCGCTGGCAGCAAAGATGGCAGTGAAAGTTCGTTTCCGGTTTTTGCCTTTGAAGCACTCAACCTCTGCTGACAGGTCAATTCCCAGAAACGTGTATTTAGCGGCATGGGTTGTCCTTTGAATATCTGCTGCAATGCGAATTTCCTCTTCCATTCTGCGAATTTCAATCGCATAGAAGTTGTTGTCTTTGAAACCGTAAATTTTCTTCAACTCCTTCTGTGCTCGAGAACTATTCCCGCACCTAATGAGCCAATATGGGGATTCAGGAAAGAAGTACCATCCTGCGGTGAGAATAACTACTCAGGCGGTTAATGACAGTAGATGTACCACGCAGCTACCGCACGTACGTGGGAAGAAGTACATAGAAACCACCGGCAACCACCATTGCCTGGGAGAAATGAGTCAGTCAAGAGCCTGTCTCATGTAGGTTCAAGCCCTACCATTTTCCAGCGATATGACTTCCTATATTCGCCATTATGACACTTCACAATGTATTAGTAATAATAGTCACGGACGTGGAGACGAAGGAAATGCTGACATTGCGAACTGGCCAAACACAATGCTGGTGTTGAAGAAGCAGAGGAAAAAGCCTCGGAGCTCTGGTCGGCATGTCTCTCCGATCCAGAGCGGAGATATGGTAAACATGATGCCAATGGCGATCCCTGAGTTTCAGTCAGATTAAGGAAGGCTACTGAAGAGCTTTCGCCCACCATTCACCCCTCTACCAGCGAGATGCGTTCGCCAATCAGTTGCCAATTGTTGCAGGAGCACACCGGCAACTGATATTATGTTCGCCACCAGAATCCCGGGTTTGCGACCATACTTTTCCAGTGAGGGAACGACGAAGAAGGTGGCTGCAATCTCACACGCTGGAGCAATTGAACTCCAAGCCGACAGATATAGCGCTGGAATGACATAGTCTCCTGACGGCTGAAGGACACCGAACTGCTTCTGGAAAGCGGGCAGCGCTGCCAATTGCCCTCCCGCCACGATGTCGAAGCCCTGCATAATGACGCCGCAGGATATCCAGAGTGCTGAAGAAGATAAGAAAATGTGAACTTCTCGCGATAACTCAGACTTACCCCAAAGAGCGAAGCGCCATTGCAAGCGAAGCATGCGCCACTTCTTATCGTGGTTGATGATAGTATAGTCAATTCTGGCTGGAGATCAGTTCCTGTACTATTTGGGGGGTTATGGCTCTCGTACTCGGCGTCCATTTTGAAAGATAAGATCTCAGTCGTATATTGGTGGACGCTGAATTCACATCCCCTAGGGTAGTGCATTCAGCTATATATGGAGCCAGAATGACTTACCCCGTGGGGGAGAAAGTGGGGGCTCCGGGGGAGTATCACGAGCCCCTCATCGCGGAGAATTATTGGGATTCCGCGATGTGGTCTGATGAGAAACTGCCGACTACTGGAGTTGACGACCCTTGCTTGTTACTCCAAGCAAGGCGATAGTCCCACACCGTGCCATCTATTCCAGATAAAGATATGTGGCGCCACGGTGGCAATAGTTCCAACATAGGCACGAAATTTTACCCATACCGCGGGATCATAGCATCAGACAACACGTCTACGTCCAGAGCTGCTTCTATGCTGAGCACAACACTTTTTCCACCTGTTGAACGCCATCCCCCATAATTCTATGAGCTTTCTCTATCAAGAAAATGTGTATTGAAATTCAGCCATTATTTATACATTCTGGATATCACAAGGAACTGATTAAATTTTGCGGCGGAAGCTGACCCTCCCTAAGAGTTGACGTCTAAACAGGAAAGGGTCTCGACTCCGCTCTCTTCTTAGTAGCCTGGGTCAACCGTCAAACATCGGCCCAAAGTGTTGCTCCTACATTCATGACAATAGTAACATGCGAATAATACGAACGACCGTTACGTAGGTCGCCCCTTCAACAAGTGGAGGTCACGGTCAACAATGGATACTCAACATCTGGTCGAGCCATGCGCAAATATAACGGTTCCTTCCCATAAGTCAAGCACATGGATCACTGTCATAATTAGAAGCTCAACTCACTGCCCACGTTCGCATCATTTCCGACGCAGAAGTCCTGGAAGTCTTCTACAAATGGATGATATATTTACACCAGCGCGCAAGGTGTTACTCCCCGAAAACATGCCAAATATAGCATAGCCGGCTTTCCGCCGAGGAAGCTGGGACAGACTGTCGCGTAACCCTTGCGAGAGTCCCAGTCAAGAAGACTGGAGAGCATAGGACAGGGAATATCGGCTCTGGATAGACGTGCCACTACTCATCTTATACGCTTTCACACTCTTCTATGACAATCCAACCTGTTGTATCCTCTCCCCTAAAATGTCCTGCAGAATCATCAAGGATGAACTTCTTCGTATGATGGCCTGATCGGCACGTCCTGCTGCTCGGATGCATTCGTAGAACTGCGGAGAACATAGCCCAGTCAAACATGGAGTGCTTGCTGCCGATATTGCAGCCACTGAAGTGATAAAGAGGCTATCGCTCACATTTAGCAGGGTATTCTACTCACATTGGGTAGGGGTTAGGGAACTTACCTAACAAACAATGTCCACCGGTTCACTAAGCAGTCCTGAAAAGCTGCTACAATACTTGGGGTTAACAAGATATAGGAATCAAAGAATTTCTGGCAGTCATCCCGAAGGAGACCTGCACTTCCTTCATCTTGCATAGCCTGGTAAACGGCAGGCCAATATATAGAAAGCTTGCAGCAGTAGTATTGAACACGCAGGAAATTCGATAGAGGGCAAGCTGGTACATTGGCTATCTCTAATGGCTGACATACGTCACCCTTGTCGAAGCGACTTATATTGAGTAGGTGGCAGTACCATTCCTCAAGTTGGCGTTCCAACTCTACTGCGATATACGGGGCATAGACATATTTCCCAGTGGAGGTAGCTTGAACTGCTGTATTGCATCGATGGAGCATACGTCTCATGGCGACCTCTGCTAAGAAGTATGATCGTGTTGCGTCTTCACTCGCATTAAGCAATGGCGCATCATGTGGGGGGGATGAGGTTGCGAGAGCCTTTGAGGCCATCTCGGGAGTGAATTCCCACGTTTGTTGGCATAGAGGAAGTGGAACACATTCATCCAGGCACCAAATATCACTCCTGGCGAGGTCCAACTGGCCAGCAATTTCACTATGATCAAGATCAGTAAGAACACGATCGTAGTGGGTGAAATAAATTGCATACTTCTCCAGTAACAACACCCCCCAATATACGCGCCGCGTCATTTCAACTGTGTTTGTGTCATGTCCTTCCAAGCCACTAAGACAGTTTTGTCAGACTCAAGTCCACTACGCCCAGATATGGGAGAATCACCTCTTAATAATATTCACAATTTTAGATGACGCAATCAAACAATAGTCATGGGCCTGACAAGGTCTCAGTAGGCAACAATAATACAAGCTGATGAGCATAAGACATTGAACACTTCGGATACTGCACTCGCGGATGATAATCGGCAGGGACGCAAGAGCGGTTTCGAAATACGGGACGCTCGAGACTGTCATGTCTTCCGCAACACTGTGGCCAATTGCTGCCACCAAAAGCGAGAGGCAAGATTCGGAACAAGGTTGCAAGGGGCCAGAGAGCACCCGGAAGTACTCCGACGAAAAGTCCGAAGCAAGAATGGGATACCAGATATGAACTCGGGCAGAGAACGCAGCCAGTGCGCTAGTACTGTCATTAGTGGATATCCTAATTACGCTATATTCTACTGGCCTCCACTCACCTTACTGCATGTCGATGATGAACAATAAGCAGGTGTGGTCTCCCGCCTTCCGAACTCTCGTCGGCTTGAGCGGTCCTTTCTCCTCGAATCAAGGACTTGGCAAAATCGGTATCCAGCCCCAATACATCCATGACCGAGGAGTTGCCGAGGAGCTTGGAAGGTAGATCAAACGGGGAAGCACCTGCCTCGGTTGAAGCATCGTATTCATCGCTCAGACCTGCAGCACGAGGATCCGGGGAAATGGGTGCGACTGGAACCAGCAAGCTGAATAATTGGTCTAAGCGTTTATTCATCGCGCTTAATTCTGCTTCAACCCTATCCAGACATCAGTACTTACTTGCTGTCTGTATGCATGCCGCGGAAAGAGCAGTCACTTACCGACTAGGCTGTGCGGGGGGTGGCTCCTGATAGACGCAAACCATGTTCTGGGTTTGGCAGTATTGACATGCCGGTCGCCGCGAATCGCACTTGGTCCTCCGCGCTCGACATGCGTCGCATGCCAACGTCGTGCGTCTGCGCTTACTTGGGTGGGCATTATCCATTGGCAAATAGGTAGCACTCAGAAGCGTACTACGTAGGGGAGGCTCGAAGGGAATCGCGGAAGACGAAAAATGCGCCGTATTATTGAGACCCCAAGTACCCGGCACATCCCCGCACTTGCTCTCGCGGAAAAGCGGAGAACCTCCGCGAGACTCAAGTTGTTGCGGGGTGACAGCGAGATGCGTTACGCGTTCCTTTGGGTTTAGTGGATAAGGTAAACCAATGAAATATACGATTGGACTGTCGTGGAAGCGGCTCATTTAGGCAATTGTCATCAGCTCCCGCGTGGACGGGAGGCTAGAACCAGTCAGTCCTCTAGAGATGCGCGGGCAGCAAACACCGATGATAATTTCATTCCCGTATGGACGCTGTTATCCGTCCTAGATAGCAGTGCATTTTTCTACCTGAAGCCCTGACTTCGCTCTCCTTAGACACCATCATGTTTTGCATCTAACCAAACATACGCACACTGTTATTCCACGCTGCTTCCGCCACAGTTTCGACCGGAATCCCCTTAAGGCCAGCGACGACCATCGCAACGCGCTCAATGGTACAAGGTTCGTTGCGCGATTTGATCATCTGCCCGGCAATAAACTTCTGATATTTCCGGGAGGGGGGTAGTGGGCGTGCTCTCTCCAAGTACGACGCGATCTTCTCATCCTGGCTCAGCACCTCGCACCATGGCGCATCCGTTTCCAACTGTAGCTTGTCTAACGGTATATGGCGCACCATATCCAGCTGATCGTCTGTCCGAAAGCTGATTCCATTCACACTAATATCCAACCCTAAACCGACCAACTGTTCCATTTCGGCTCTGGATCCTGAGAAGGAATGGACCAGCCCACCACGAGGAAAGCGGGACATATACGGTGAAATGATGTCTATAAAATCGGCGCAGGAGTCGCGGACATGAAGGAAGAGTGGCAGTTGCATGTCCACGGCTAAATTCAGTTGATCGCGGAATGCTCGTTGTTGTGTTTCTTTGTCGGCGCGGTCAAGATACTCATAGTCCAGTCCGATTTCGCCGAATGCCACCACTGACGAAGGAGATTCGGCAAGTAGCCGAGTTCCGAGTTCTCGAAGGCTTTGGAGATACGATACACCACCATCTTGGGTAGCGTAGATCTCCTCGACGTGGTAGGGATGTACGCCTAACGTCATCGTGCAGATACGAGGATATTGCCTCGCCAGTTGCAAGTTAATATGTGCGCCGGCCATGGTCATTGTGGTGAGAATCATCTTCTCGCAACCATATTGCTGCGCGCGTTTGATAACATCAGAAAAGTCACTCTCGTGGTACTTTTTGCCGCGATAGATGCCGTGAAATTGATCGGCGGTGTAGGTGACAGCAACCTATTAACATATTAGCCTGCAGTGCCTTCAAATTAAGTTGTCTGTGTGGACTGAGGTCCTGGAGCGGATAAGGAGCTTACATCTACAAAACGGAGCGGCATCTTTGATGATGCAGTAAACATGTTTTGTCGCATCTGTAAGATTTCGCGTTTAATAAGTGCCTGGACTAATCAAGTCTTTGATTGATTTGGTGAATTAAATAAATGGCGCGTATTACACGCAGACGCTTATAGTCTATTTGCCTCACTCGGCTTCCCGACGAAAGCGTCGCCGGGTACATGCACCCAGAATATCTGTTGCCGAGTAACCATCTGACTATAACAGGTTCCCAGCCAAGGAAGATTCAAATGTGGTAATACCTAGGAATATCAAACACATCAGCCTTCATTATCAACATGATTATCTTCAAGTCCCTCTAATAAGATAAGATGTAGTTCACATTCGCAACTAGGATAGTTATTGGCAAACCAACTTTGACATTAGATGTTTCATTAAAAACGGTGGGGGCCTACGGCCCAAAAGGTCCTCCAAGCTTATATTACCCATCGAGAGGGACTTGCTTCCGCTTTTCCCTTGTGAAACTAAGGCGGTTAAGTTTCCGAACAGGACACCGAATTCCGGAATAAGAACCGAATATCTATCGGAAGATTTACTTCTTCCTGCTGCGCATCCTGCATGACGTGTGGCCCCTCCCATCTTCCCTTTAGTAAACTCCCATTGCAGAAAACGATATACGGCTGTACCTCGGTTCGTTTCCTCAAGGGATAAGCTTGCGCTTCGCTATTAAAATATCGATAATCCATACTAAGCTGAATTCTAGACCGGTATGCGCTCCGTGTTCGGCTCTTACTTGGTCTGCCTTCCATAGTTCAGGCTAAAATTACTATTCCATCCAACGACGATGAAAGCAATACTGTGCAGGTACATGATGTGCTCTGGTTCATGCTCTAAGACCGCCCGTAACTGCGCATGTACCCAAAGTCCCTTCTTTTGCCACTTCGAAACTTGGCACCAAGCGGTCTAACTGGGTTTCACCTCTGCTGTCAATTATAGGGGCTAGGTTATCATCTCGGTCCTTTTTCCTAAAACAGAAAAATCGTGTTATTCGCAGGATGGGCACATGGGACATGGAGTAGCCAATCAGGGCACTCACGATCGTAAGTAGGAACGGGTTTCTTTTCGCCTTCTTTCAGCAGGGTGCTCGGGTATATTTCCTCCTCTACGGATAGACCAGTCTCGTGATATAACGCCAATGACGTGTTGTTTATAAACGAGTGACCTATAATTCGTTAGGAACATGCTGACCCCATTGTTAGATAAGCCTGGCGTGCTGTCTCGGCCTTCATATTCACACTGTCTGAAAAGTATGCTCCTCTTGTTCCACTTGTGAGAATAATCAGAACGTATCTCACTCTGTCGACAGAAGTGGGCCGCGAATTGCCTAGAGAGTCTCAACTCCCGTCGGTGATTAATGCCCAATACACTCGACCAGCTTATAGCAGAACATAAGAGAATATGTCTCAAAAGCAGGCACGAAGGCCATTTGCAGTATCCGGAAAAACTGCAATAGTGACTGGTGCAGGTTCAGGTAAGTAAGAGTCCTGTCCAGCTAGGGACGTTTCCGTCGCCGGGGAAGCTGAAGCAGCAAGGCATTAATCTCGCGTTTGCCAACCTGTTACTGTCACGGAATTGCAATGTTGTGATTGCGGATATCAGCCTCCGGCCTGAAGCAGAGAAGCTCATCGCTCAGTATGGGGGATTGCAATCGTCACCGCGGGCCGTCTTTGTTCAGACGGACGTGACTTCCTGGGCAGCATTGATGCAGATGTCTGAAGTTGCACTGGAAGAGTTCGGCGATTTCCATATAGTTTGTCCGGGAGCGGGTATATATGAACCGCATTGGTCGAATTTTTGGCATCCCCCGGGTTCCCCAGAAAGCAAGGATGGCCTGGATTCAAATCGCTATTATTTGCTTGATATCAACCTCACCCATCCAATCCGGACAACTCAGCTAGCTCTATCCTACTGGTTACATCCGAGAAGCCGACCCTCGTCGTTCCATCCGGTTGCTGAGCCAGTCAGTCCCGAAAATCCAAAACGTATCATCCATATTTCCTCCGTTGCAGGCCAGATACCAAACTTCAACGCGCCCATTTATGGTGCATCAAAATTCGCAATTACGGGATTCGTCCGCTGTCTAGCACCGCTCGATCAAGCGATTGGTGTACGGATTAATGCTGTCGCACCTGGCATCATCCGAACGCCGCTTTGGACTGAGCATCCAGAGAAGCTTCTGCAACTAGACCAGGAAAAAGACGGATGGGCCACAGCTGACGAAGTGGCTATGGCAATGTTAAGATGTCTTGATGACGAGGACCTAGAAGGTGGTGCAATTCTGGAGGTGGGAAAGAATAGTACAAGGCGTGTTGAGGTTCTAAATGATCCCGGCCCAGATGAGAGTCTTGGAACTGCCTTCAAAGCAAGCAAAGCTGAAGAAGCCGCAGAACGGATTTTATACTGCTTGCGACAAAGCGATATATGGGGTTAACGGCAGGACTACTTACTAGGACATTTAGCCCCCCCACCCGGCCGGCAATCAAGTTATGGACACTGTACTAGAAAGACATTTATATATATACCTACATCTCCTCATGATACAGTTTCTTGATACCAGAAATCCAATAAAGATTCACATGAAAGATCATAACGAACATCGCTAAAGGTCGACAAGGGTGCAGTCAAGTCTTCGTAACGCACCAAGGGACGGACACTTGTCAGTAGCATTTCTGTTATAAGCACGACTGCTTCAGCAGGTATATTCCGTTCTTCAGTTCCTACTATGGAATTTGCGTCTTCTGAAAATGAGACCCAAGGACATTCACATTCCAGGCTCAAGCCGGCCCATTTCCTTCTTGGTCCTCCATTGAACCATGCAGCATAACTCGTACAAGGTGGATAGAATAGGTGTTGTCACCCCCTCGCCCTTTCTGGCCTCGCGAATGACTTCCCCCAGAATATTTTCGTGCTCGATGAAATTGCCCTGACATGGGATTTCTTAGTAAAACCAGTCCGATACACAGATAGAAAGCTAACATACTTTTTGTATGTCCACCAACATGCTAGGGGATATATCCTCCTCTGGTGGGTTACTCTGAATGGTCTCCTTTATTATAACCCCTGGAAGCGAGTAACCATCTGCTTCGGCCACAGATATGATCTCTTTCATCGCGGGAATAAGCAAATTTTCAACGGCCCCAGATGTCCGCTGCAACTCGCCCGTCGTTAAACCCGTCAGGGCACAAATTGGGTTGAACGAGGCATTGTTGACCAACTTAACCCAACGATCATAACGCACGTTCGGTTTGTAGGAACAGTTTGTTTTCAACCCCGCACTGTAGATTTTGGCGAAGTGTTGAGCTGCCTTTTGCTGCTCTTCGTAAGGTATGAGGCAGTTTTCAAACGCCCCAACATACAGGATGTCCTTTTGTCTCTGTTCTATAATACCGGAGGCGACCTCATGAGCATCTATGCGACTGACACCGGACAGTATGATATTAGATGGGAATCTGCGGAGGAAGGGTTTCTCAATATTTAAGCCATTTTGTACAAGGACGATTACCGTGTGACCGGGCGAGATTGCAGGAGCGATAATTTCACACACAGTGGGCGAGACATCGGGAACATTTTTTGTGCAGCACACGACGTAGTCAAAGGGTCGGACATTGACCGAGTCCGCAACGCTGGGAACATTATTGAGGACTATTGCATCAAAACGCTATGGTATTAGCGACAGCAAGGAACGGTCTTCAACTTAATGAAGGGTAAGGAGGTGTAGCTCAGGTTGAAGAATAGAGGGCTGACTGACTTTCAGATGGCCGCCAGTTCTGGATTTCTCCGTGTTCACAAGACTTGATTGTGAATCCTAGGAGACTCACTGCCGCATAATTAGACCGCAAGACAGACGTGACCTGAGCCAGACCTCCAATCTCGAGATTCAAAGCAGCAATAGTACCAACGCCACCGCTACCAAGAAGTAGTACTCTAGACTTTTGAGACGCCATATATGCAGATCGGAAATTTGCCCAGCAAAATCGGCAGGTAAGGTAGTAAAACCATAGGTTCAATGAATCTTCAAAGGTTCGAGCTCTTCCCATGAGCATCCATTTTAAATTTACCTTTCTTTCTCCGTAGGTCACTGCTGCTCACCTCAGCTGCACACGGTAACTATCCTGGGTAATGTGCAGCGGGTAGGGACGGATACTGCAGAGCTTCTTACCCGCGGTGAGGGCTCTGCTCGATACGCCGTGACTGGCCACAATCGCCGATACCACTTTCGCGCCGCTTGAAACCGACATTTCTCAGTATGATCTCTTCTCTGCTGCAAAGCTCTGGCTTCTATTCAGTGAGTGTTTAGCTTGCGCGCAATCAAGAGTGGTTGAGGCGTGAACAAGAGGCTCGGGTACCGATACCCGGCTGGAATCGGTATTTTTATGACGGTTATCTGTTTCCTTTCATTTGCTCTTCGTATTACCTAAGAAAAGGGAATCAGTGACCGGACCGGAGGCTAATTCTGTGTTTCTCGTCTGAGTGCATGATCAGTATTAAAGGCAACCCCGTTCGTCAAAGTTCATCTCCGGTATGGGTGGGTTTCCTACACGCATCAAAAACGCATTCAGGGGCTTAACCAAGGTGTCATCAGAATGGAAGTCGGCATCATTGGATCTGGAGTAATCGGGCTCACGTCGGCCCTTGCCCTTGTGCAGGCTGGTTACTCAGTGACGATCGTTGCTCGTGAACTACCCGGGGACGACTCGCTGAGATGGGCAAGTCCATGGTACGTACAACTACTGCCGAGAATGTGCGCCTGCTAATCCGGGGAAAACCAGGGCCGGCGCTGGCATCTTGCCTTACCCAGATAGTGCAGGACATGATCTACAAGCCGAAACGTTCAAGTACTATTGGGCTCTTGCCCATCGTGACCCTACCAGTGGTGTTCAAGTTCGTTTTCAACTTGCCTTTCATAATACTATAGCTGGATATTACAGGGAGCTAATGACTGGGTCACTTTTTAGGTGGTAGATGTGACCGAGTATTATGACGATCGAAGCGACGATGCCACGATTTGGTACAAGACCCTGGTACCAAAATATCGCCGTTTGCCATCAGAGAACCTCCCCGCCAATGCCAAGCTTGGTTTTCAATATAAATCGATGACAGTCAATCCAGCAGTTTTTCTACCCTGGATTAAGATACTCCTCGAAAGAGAGGGGGTAAAGTTCATTCGTGCAGAGATCGAATCGATAAACCACGCTCGGTCTTTGTTGAAGACAGAGATCATTGTCAATGCATCTGGCTTGGGAGCTCGTGTTCTCGCCAATGACGAGAAAGTTGTTGCAGTCCGCGGCCAGACTATGTTGGTTGAAAGTGATTCCCATGAGATGGTCATGTTCCAAGGCTCCCACTACACGTATCAGATCCCCCGTATGTACAGTGGGGGTGTTATTATTGGTGGAGTTAGCCAAGAGGGAGCAACCGATGAGTCGGTAGATCTCGCAACCCGTGCAGATATACTACGACGAACAAACCTCATTACTCACGATCGCTTCAGGTCGCTGGATCTGAACAAGCATGTCATGAAAGACCTAGTGGGTCTACGGCCGAGCAGGAAAGGGGGATATCGACTTGAAAGGGAAGGCAGTGTCGTTCATGCATACGGCTTCAATACTCTCGGATATGCGTACAGCTATGGTGTGGCTCTGAAAGTCCAAGAATTGGTGACAGCAGCACTGGAAGAGAAGCGAAGCCAAAAGAGCAGGTTGTAGCAGTCCTCCACTATGCAGGGTAAAAAGTAGCTGCTCGGTTAACTGAACAGGTGGATGATCTGAGCTAGTGAGAATTGTTTCGATCTGTCGATTCACTAACTATTGTGACTAATTATTATTATTATTATTATTTCTGGCAAGTAGTCTTTTTGAAGTCTGCGATCCCATAGCCTCCGAAGTTGGTAAGCGGACAGAACTCAATGACTGAATCGAAAGTAGGACTTAGCAGCAGTCAAATTCGGAATGCAAACATATTTCCTTTCCGCCCTTTCGACACATATACTACCAATTTCCCAGACACAACTCGGCGATGCATGCAGGAGAATCATGATGCTCGTTTGTCGTTGAAGATATAACCGTTCTCCACCTTGCCTTGTTTCCACGAGGACCCGTTCTCACTGTCCGCACCGAGAAGTACCATAAATGGTCGATTTTTTGGCTTCATGTATATAATTATTTCGGCAACACTCAGTTGTATGTGCATTTCGTCCTCGTAATCGCCTGAATCTTCGAGATAAACTCCTTCGGGGGCATCACGGTCCAGCTCAGAAGAACATTTCCCAGTACTTGTATGTGAATCTGGCAGAAAAGGCATTTTAAGTTTTGAGGTAAGAAATCCTGGATATTGCAATCACGTGTCTTGCGCTCAGGCCTCCAGGTTTTTCAGTTTTTTGTATTTTAGGTGAGGACAGTTTCAATTGATATTTCAGGATCAGATCCAGATGAGAAGCGCCGCTGGAAAATATGGACGATTATCGGAAGGAGATATATAAAATAGAAAGTAGATTGATGAATACTTGACGCAATTCAAACAGGATCAAACTCAGCAATAAGAATAATTAGTTCGCACGTAGTTTTATAATGGGGAGTGACTGTTACTTAACATATAACTATAACTCCACTGTTCTCATAAAACGAAGCTGTCTTACTTATATTACCTGTATATTAACTCTTATAATAGTACCGTTCTACTGGACAGTCTCGCCCTCCTTAGATGCCAACTAGAACAATATATATAACAGATAGAGCAGCAGCAATTTTAGGTCGTAAGTCTGGCCCACGATGTACTACATGGTCAAAAAACCTGCTAAACTGGTCCATTGGCGTACTATCAACTACTAAAAGTATTCTTATTACCCACACAGCTGAGATATAGCATACAGAAATTAATACTGACTTTTAGAAGATATATCTATACTGTCCTGATATTGTCCTTATTGTGTATAATAGGCTGCACCATCCTTGCCTTCTCCAAATCAACAAGTATTATCTGGTAAACCTTATACGGCTTCATACCGTGACTGGTCAATTATATATTCCACCAATAGAGCTGGGAAGTTAGATACTATTTAAAAAAATAGAATAAATTACAGAATTCCTTTTGGTTCTACACAGGCCAACTTGACCCTTACTGAAATATATATTACTGCTTTATCTTGATAGAAAGTAAAGAGAAAGTAGCTATTCGAATATTCTTCTTACGCGCAGAACCGAGAGTGATAGATCAATTCCACCCGACAACCAAAGACTAGATGTTCCTTAGTCTGGCATTGGCAGAAATGTGCATGATAGTTGCCAAGTCTTGCGGGCATTACAACATAACTGAACTTATGGCAGAGAGTGGTGACTGGTGTGAGAAACAGAGAACATATATGCTCTAGAAGAAACTGGAGCAATGCATTAGGATTGAGAGACAGCAGCTTTGAGCGCTGTTGGTCAGGCTTTTTCGGATAGTAATGTTTGTGTGAACAAGAACCGGCGGCGACAATTAGAGTTCCAAATAGAATAAGTTAGTATTTATCATTATTAGGCCTAGATATTAAAATTATTTAATATACAGAATAATCGCACCTATCCAGCCAACAACTTAGAGTGGCAGGTACAGATGATATGATCGCTCAAATTCTGCATGTCCATGGACTAAGAGAGATGATTTCAACTAAGTTAGCTCGCATCAAATAAATAGCAGATCTAGGTAAAATCTTATGACGGCCAATATTTAAATCGCTCACTGTATACCAGGCTCATGAGGTGAATATATCTCTCCCGGTGGATGGTCTGACACAGGCAAGAAGAGTAATAGCTGCAGAAGCATTTTCTCTATTTTACGGCGTCAATTATGAAGGCTTTCCATTTAAAAAGAAACTCTTTACCCAGGCCGGACTTCTTTTAATTTAGACAGGATGCTCGGGAGCCAATAAAAGATTCACCCATATCTGTAGGTATACGTTTTAGGTATCACCTTCCGTCCGGGATGCCGAAATGGCGACTACAAACCTTAATCCAGCTAGACTTTGGTGGACCCCAGAGCCACACTCCACTCTTGTCTCGCTCAGTCACCAGTAACGTGGACTATCGGGGTCCACTTTTCGAGCTCTCGTCACACCGTACGTGCCCCTTTATCCGGCTCGGGGTTTGTCGAGATTCCACAGGGCCCAGGGTTGAGTGATGGATGGTGATGAGGTCTAGGCCCGTCGGTCCCGTTTACAAAACGGAAGCCTGCAAATCAAGTTCTAACAGCCCTCACTTGGTTAAGCAATGCACAAGAAACACAAGCAGTAGGGTGGGATGGAGATGTTTGATGAAAGGGTCGGACCTTTGCCATCACGCCAGAGTGTGGAATGGCTCAATGGAAACCCATACACCGTATGTTGGCCTGTCTGCAATCACGTAACCAAGCTTCTTACTCAAATGACTATCTAACCGAGAATAACGAGCATCAGTTTATATGCCAAATCCCATAACATCCATTGAACTCAAAGATACATGGAGCAGCCACATCAAGTGTCCCAACTGCCGGAATATTTTCTTCGCTTCGCGGCCAAGTCAGCATTGAAGTGTTTACAGGTATTGTGCTTGAGGGCCACAGCTAGCGAAATTGAGGGTTCTCAGCATGACTTTGGCCCTGACAGTATCTCCATTCTGCGTATAAGTTTGGCCGTCTGCCGAGGGTATTATCGTTCGGTAGACATGGAACTCTTAGACAATAACAGATTACTTGACGATCATATTGAACGGCTCATGCACAACCTCGATGTTGACACGATATTAAAGTTGGCTCTCCTTACATGGCACTTCGACGCATCATCCCAAAGACCTTATGAAGAACTTCTCCGCTTTTTCTCGCAGCCAGATGAGGAAGGTTCAGAGGTGTATATCAGGATATGCGAGAGATATAGCAATCATACTAGAAGGCGCGTGTCACAAGAAGAATTCAAAGAAGAATTCTTAGAACTGCTTGGCTATCTTAGATATGTCCTTCAGGGCGAGTGGAGTGTGATATAGTGCATGTCACTGGCCGCATATTGGTAGCATAAGGGCGAGGGTGGGTAACCGAGTATAGGGTTCAGGATTTTCAGGGGCAATGGGCGGAGACACAGGTTAGATAGCTAAGTATGCTGAATCTAGAAGATGAAATTAAGTTCAGAATCCCCGCAGTATTTACGCTGGTAATAACAGCTGATATACTAGAAAAATAATAAAAATTTTATTTTTTTTCTGTCTCTAAGTATCGGAGTCTTTATATATAGTTATTTTTATTTATAATGATATCGTCCGGACATCAGCATCGTAGAGATAATATTCTGCTATAATGTCTAATTTATATAATATTCAATTAGGGATCCGGGTTCAAGAAAGAATGCTTGAGATAAAATTCACAGTTTTATTAGTTATAAAAGTAGATTATTAGCTGTATAAATATTATTTTCCATTAGGCTTAATCTATACTCAAATTTCGATACCAGGAATAGTTAGAAATATAAAATGCGCGAGTCGGCTGGGGCAGATCAGCGCAGTTCCATGATACGGTTTGGTGACTGCCAGAACTAGACATAATCCGGACCCTCGGTTTTGTAAGCAGAAGTCGTGCAATTCTGGATCCAATGAAAGTCCCACACCACAACTTTGCAGAAGATTTCCGCATCCGTTGTTCAGTATGACCTGTCCGAAGTGTGAGTGAGTGAGTGTTGTTCTGCGTGGTTGAATACAGCGCTGTTCGCGTCCTAGAACGTAATATGTCCTCCCCATGCCCGAAGTCGGAAAGTATTGATCGCAACCGTCATCTCATGGGCTTGCTGAGCCTTCAGGCAGCAGCTGCGATTGCCTTGGCTCATGCGAGAAACTTTCTTTCCGGAACCCCGTCTGTCTGTCTGCCAAATCACGACTGATGCAGGTTCCAGCCATAGCCGTACTCATTTCTTGACTGAGGCGGAAGTGTATGCTGACGATATGGCTGTATCATATGCACAACTGGATACCCAGCTAGTCTCCCTATTGGTATTACTGGCATCTACATCAGCTGATGTCCGGGCACGTAGGGTACTGGCTGCGGAGAATGGGATGCAAGGCCATCCACCGGTCCAGGACTGGTATTGCCAGTGTAGTATGCCTGTGCATAGAATTTAAACATCGGGCCCGGTTGAGCTCCGACAGGCGCGCTGTAGGTTACCTGCGACGGCGCGACAGTTATCGTGCTCGACAGTTGAAGTTGGTTCTCGAACAGGTAAGACTCAGCCCGGTTCCCATAATTCGTCTTGGTTGATTCGCATGTTGAAGGGGACCAGGCTGTGCCGTAAGATTGCCACTCCGACCCTACCGATACATGACTGGACGTAGACAGGACTGACCCTGCTCTAGAAGCTTGACTTAATCCCAAAAGCTCAGCGAATTGCGTGGCGGGGAGCATAGACTCGGGAGTATTACTATACGTTCCTTCTGCTCCTCATAGGAAACAACTGTCAGCCATTCAAGATTCTTCCCGTAGCTGTAGTAAAGGAATAAGATCTGCCACCCAATCATACCCAGATACCCTTGTCTGCTAGCCAGGGCGAGCTGATGCTTCAAGGCCCGAATCTCATGTTCCAGCGTCACATTCCGTCGGACGACATCATCAAATTGTTCCCTCTCGGCCTTCAACTTGGCCACTTGGTGCTCCAGCCGCTCAATATGCTCCCTGGTCCTCTGTCGAATGATTCTCTGGGCTTCCCGATCGTTGGCGCGCTTCCTCTCCAGTCGTTCGGCAGAGAGCGATGTCACTTTCCGCGCCTCAGCACGGGACGCGCGTTTTTTGGTCGTCGGGGGCTTTGGAGGGATCATCATGCATAACAACTCGTATTTAGGAAGATGAGGAGAAGAGGGCAGCAAAAGAAAGTCGTTGCAGTTGACGGGCGTGAACGGTATAAGCAACCTGATGTATCCCAGACGAGTGTGTTGATCACAGTGGTACACGATCCCACCTCCCAAGATGCGACTATAGCTGTTCCAAGGGCGAGAATCGCGCTAAACTAGGTATATATATTAAGGGGGAGGACAGAGGCCGTCTTATAGGAACAAGGTGGGCGAGTAGATACGTCGGTAGACAGAGATTACTTACCTGAAATTATCTTCGTTAAGCGCTTTAAGGAGAAAGGATCAGGAAACTGCCCAGAACGGGCATAGCTGCTAGGGCCCATTCCAAGTCAGACACACTCAGACTGGCGCAGGCAATTTAGGCACGTACGGCGTAGGAGAATCTAGTCCTGGCTTGGTATCCAGATAGTCCCTGTCCTCTCGACAGCTTGGAGTCTCGAGCTCTCCAAATCTCATCAGTTATCAGTAGTAAACTAGCAGTAACACACAGTACACTTTCGTTACCAATCGTTGGTTTGAGGCCCGAAGTTGCGCCAAGGAGCAAATCCTTTGAGCAGGCAATCCCAGGAAGGGGGGTGGCAGCAGCACACGGCCTGGTGCAGTGCTTTTCTTCAGGTAGCTCTTACGATGGGTCTGCGGCGCAGCGCTATAAGCACCTTTCGACCCTCTTGGTCTACAAGCATGCTCTAATTCGCAACTCGGGTGTTCCCCTCAAGACCCTAGACGGCTTGGACGGGTTGCGTGGCGGCAGCGTAGCACCAGTCAAGTACCGACACCGTTATGCCGGTTACCCCGAGAAACCAGAGAGAAAATTAATGGGTTGTTGTTGGTCCTGTAAGTCCTGGGACATATCCAGCATCAGAATCCGCATCTGGAGAAGCATCTCTCGTACGGTACTTAGTAGTACTGATGTCCACCCGGCGGATCATGGTCCTTCCAGCCACATCGCAGACCCGACTCAGTGGCGGATACGTTATTCATTAAGCGAACAAACGAAACACAGCAAAAACAGTGAGAAGTGAAAAAGGATTCCAAGGACGACCGACGCCACCCTGAGCACATACGGAAGCTTCATGGTGTTCTTTCTACCCCAGGAACAAGTAGATAATCCTTGGCACCAAGCCTGGGCTTAAACCGAAAGCAGAGTTCAGGCTGAGGGGAAAGCGACTGGGCGACAGTCAAAAACTGAAACTGGCAGTTGGAGGGCCGCTGCAGCGCAGGCGGGACGGGGCAATACCGAGAGCGACCAGTTTTGTCCGTAAGGGTGAGAACGCCCCAGAGGCCAAGCGGAGCTGAAGGAGAGAGACAAAGTACGACGGTATGAACACCATTCAGCCAGTGATCTGCGTAGTAGAGGAAATTTACCCGAGCGCCCTGCTGAAAGAAGGCTAAAAAGGGATCCGTTCACTTAAGTGCATGTCTACTCTGATTGGTATGTCAGATGTGCCATCCTGCGTAATAATACGGTTTTCCCTTTCCGGATAAGGACCCGAAAGTCTATTTACCCTTAGTATTGTTGGCGTGACGGACTTGCAGCTGGTCTGCACCTCAAACAAACGAGAAAGGCAGAATAGAATAAATGCAAGAAAAAATCATCATAGGCCAGCCCGGGTGCTGCGGAAAGAATACACTAAATTAGCTGAAAGCCATTTCACTTGGACTCTCTATGATACTGCCCCTGCACTTGGCCCCCTCGATTGGGTTTCCTTATCTTGTTATCATTTTGCCTACTGAGCCTGGGCACTGCAAACAAGCAATCATCACTGAGGGACTACAGAATGGTGTTCTTCCCTTATTATTGCCATCTAAACCCCTATCGATCAGAGTTCCCCTAATCACGCGTCGCTATAACAAACTCGACTTCTTGCTGCGCGACTGGAAATGAAGGCCTTGCGAGCCTTCTTTAAAATCAACGATGTCTCTTGAGACTCCAGCGTTCTCCTGCCGGCATGTTTGTCTTTCCTCTCACGCAAGGCTTGAAGAAGGGACCATGGCGTACTATTTAGTTTGCTGGTTTTATTGGTCCATCCCGACGAAAGATGATTTAACGCCTCTCCCACACGGGAATTTTTACGCGAAAGTTATTCCGATTATGAGTCAAGCGAAATATGTGGAGGGTCGTCATTGCTAAGGTTTTCTGCCTAGTGTAACCGCGTCGACTAGCCAACTAAGTCTAACATGACACTGTGACCTTCTTACGCACGTATGTGTGACTATGTCATGCCATAAGAGACCAAATGTCGTTATCTCTCGAGAGACCAAGTGGGAGTCGAAATGCGGGCACGGCAAGTGAGCACGACGATACTGGGTAATACTGAACCCAGCAACAATGAAGCTAGAGGGTCCTCGGAAAAGATTAGGATGTTAGCTTCACATTGTCCGGGGCAGTGACCGCAAACACTGTTCGGACAACTCGGTCACTGCACACAACTGGCGATGGTGTCGAATGCTGTCTGGCCGATTTAGCTTCTCTATCTCTAGGCGCATCACTACAAAACTATAGGGTGGTGATGACTTCAGTCAGTTTCATGTAAGCCGATTGTGGCACGACAAGGTTGGATTCTGGGAAAGAAGAAGGCTAAAGTGAGGAAAGTAGCATTGATATCTCGAAATGGTGAAGCAGAAGTAGCGCTTCCAGGTATTCTGAGAGGAAATGAGGCATGTACAATAGATGGCTGCGTCGCACGGACGCCGCAGTCATTGTGCATAACGCTACATACAGCCCGTGCGCGTGCGAGCTTCATATTATAAGGAATACTTATATCTTTTGATTCCCGGTGGCGCTTGTAGTTCATTCTTCATATATCACTTGCTCTTAAAATTGGCAGCTAGCTTGAAATAGGAGGTGGCTCAATCCTGCGTCAATGTCGAACACTCCAAGTTATAGTGGCGGAAGCTACTCTGAATCCGGCCAAGAAGTAGGCAACACAATGCCTAAGAAACATACATGTGCTAATTCGTCATTATTATACTAACAGGTAACAACACAATTCAATGCAAGCAACCAATACCACATGGGAGTGGCGGAAGTCGCTCATATTTGTCAAGACCGAACTGAAGTCCGCAGCAATCGCTTCCAAGATGACGCTGTGTTCGCCTTCCGTACCAACCCGAACGTAGAAGAACATTTGGTCCCATCTGGCGATGCAGAGTAAGTCTCTGTGTAATGTTAATGCACTGTGGCGTCGCATAGGGACAACAACTTCTCACTCAGGGTACCAGAAGCTATTGTACGTTTTTCGAAACTATCCCTGGAAATCAACCAGGGCATATTTGTCATTGCCACAAAGACACTGAAATCGACAATACCTCATTTGTATTCAATGGAGACATAGTGGGAGACAGAGAGGCGTCATTAGTAAGGAAACATCATCTCCAAAGTGGCTCTGTTAAGAATCATAGCAAGTTTGTTAATGGAGATCTGGATCGGGATACCTTTTTGGCTTTTTTTCTGCCATCAATAACAGTACTGGAAAACGGGAAGGAGGGAATTATGCTATCATGTTTTCTAGTATGATATTGAAGGCGGTGTTCTACATTCCTAAACTGCCAATGCTTCTTGATTATATGCGAAAACATAGAGTGATATTAGCACCAACCAGATGCTCATGGCTGTTAAGTAGCCGCAAAACCCGCCCTTCATCTGTTGCACAATCAGCAAGTGTCCACGGAATGAAACCTACTTTCCGACCACTAATTGGATAGAACAACCATAAAATAAGTATTATAAAGCAGGTAAAAAAATATAGGATATTCAGGTGAAAAAATAATAAAAAAAATATATGTATCTTCATCCATATCAGGAGTAGATTTCGTACCTACTGGAGAAAGATTCATATGAGTTCTAGGAAGAAAATCAGCTGAGGAAAGGTCGATTCCAATAAGCAGAACCGCTAGACACTTGTAATCCGGAAAAGCCAGACGGAGGTATGAAAACGTGGCCGTACCAGCCCTATGGTATGTATGAACTATTTAAGAATGCCAGGTAGACTTCGGGGATGAAAGTCGAGAATCGAGCCTCCGACTGCACCTACAATCAAAACAATGATATGTTGTAATAAGAGTAGTATGGTTTGGTAAGCCTAGAGATCTGCAAGTAGCTCAATTTCTGGTAAGCCACCTTCGAATGAGGCCTAGTTAGATTAAAAGGTCATAAGCTGGAAATAACTGCTAAGTTATTCGTCTTATGATATTAACGCTCAACAAGTAGGGGGAGGGAAGTCTCATGCAACACCCAGCTTGTTTAGTTCACCATGTTGATACAACAAGTCCTTCCCCAAGATTTCTTGTTCCAAATATAAATTGTACCTAGCCGGGTTTTGGGCAGGAAAGGATTGCACTCCTGTTAGTCGTATTGGATTCATCGAACGAACTACGAAAGAGCAAATGAGGCTGAGGCAAGGCTGATTAAGGTTCAAACTTCCCCATTCAAGGTATCAAACCCTTGACAACCTTGTGAGCAGAAGATGCATTTTTGGCCGCGAGGCTGAGTGCGAAACCAGGCCTTTAAAGAACAGGATGCTACTATTATATGCTTTTGTTCATTTGTAATCGTGCACAGTACATGTCTCCTAACGCTTTTCGGGTCAGACACTCAACTATGAAGCTGCTGGAGATACATTTTTCATACGAAACAGATGGGGCGGCTTTCACCCAGTACCGCGCCCATGGGGAACTACAATGGTATGTTACCTTCTTATTTTCGATATTGTACTGCGTAGCGTTTATGATAAACCAGGATTCCATCGATACAGGCATGATAACTAGGTAATAATAAGCCCCTGCGCTTCGTTTGTAATTCGATAGCAGCAGAACACTTGATCAACTTCCAATAACATTTGCTCGAGTCGTCCCCTATTCTATTCGTCACTACTTTTATAGTCGTTAGCCACTCCTGGCCACCTACTTGGTACTGTACGTGGGGTCGAAATCTTATATTCCCTCTGATCTGGTCGTCCTAACTTTAACATGAGGGCCTATATTAAGGTTGCAATAATGCCTTTCATGAAATTGGACGGCGTCGGCCATTTACTACACTTCTTTTGTGTGCCACACGAACGTTCAGGCTTTTATAGGAACCGAGGCCCTCTCTGACGCACTACTACTTCTGCTTTGGCAGAGCACAACTCGCTGGCGCTCAGGATTGGCTTTTCACACTACATCAAACACCTTAGACCTGGTTCTCATTAGCTTGTGAGTGGGATTAACGAGAGCCTGAGCATGGACCTGAACATGTTTATGGAAAATTGTACACTTGGACTGAGCAGAGATGGGCAGGTTAGGAAAAGATATCATTGGAGCCTCTGATAACCTCTCTAACACAGTTCCAGACAATGCCGATTCCAAAGAACAAATCCTTATTTCACCCTCCGCTGTGGACAAAATGCCTCGAGGAATCACGCTGGCTAGCTCCCTCGACTGACCGCGTAAGAACGGAAGGAACTTTAACACCTGTGAACCGTGAATGAACATTTTGCATCTAGTATGAAGTGGACGGCATATACAGGCCACAGGATCTGGGCGATTTGTTGAAGGGGGAAACGGGAATGCGGTGAGATCCTTGATCATGTTCCTCTTGCTGATCATGCTTCTGATCCTACTATCTTATTAGAGTACTGTTATCTGTTCACCACAAACATTCTTCGGTCGATGTTGGCGTATGTGAGAATCAGAGTCAGAATCCTCTTCATTGTCTAGCTAGCTCTGTACTGTCAGTTTCAGTTGCATCCCAAATGAGCAGAAGCTTATTGCTTAATTATGCGGTTGCCCTTCATCCAGTGCTGGGCTGCTGTAAGATACGGATCGTACTCGAACGAGGGATCTACGGAGCAGACCTTGGGCGATTAGAGAGACCTTACAAAAGACAACGATGACAGCCCACCGGGGGAAAGTGACGCATCACGTGGATGGTATGTGAAGGCATTCCCGGCCAGGCAGGGCTCTCGGTAACACTGTCGCAAGAGTCCCCTTGTGTCCCATCCCATGTATTGCTGGGGCACGGTCGGAGCACGACCCGATCAGCCCGTCAACTAGCTGCCTTACTTTAGAAATGCCACGGGAACTCAAGGCTCGGAGCCGGTCCTGCGCCTGCTCCAGGGAACTCTCACTAACAACTTGAAGATATCCAATGGGCCTCGAATGGCACATGGATTCATAATATATATTTACTCTCTAGAGGGCCTTCCGGTGTAACAGACTTGGCTGGAGGTCTGAAATCTACTGGCACTTTATTCCAAGTAAACTTATCAAGAATCTGGACTAATATACACAGATTTCAAGAATGCTGTTTTGTCCATGATACATATTATATAATAACTAATTAAATGGATATATTATAGCTCTTACTACCTCTATCTTTATAACGGGACTAGACTACTTGGTAACCCATGGCCTGTCCTTAAGCCACAAAAGAAAGTACAGAAATTGAAGGCAGCTGCACAGGAGAGCACAAGGTATCTGCTACGACCAACGTCTCATTTTGATTACACTCTCGGGTTTTCCTCTCCGGCAAGCAAAAGGCCCCTTGATGGCCACGTGATAAATCCGTTCGCGGGGGTCCACGATCTTTGTGGCCCCGGAATCCAAGTCGATTCATGGTGGGGTTGCATCTGATATTGATGATCGTGGTGCGGACCAGCCAGCGTACCAACAACATGTCGAACGCCGGTGAATGACGGATCCAAAAGGGCTGGCTGATCGTCCAACCACGGGCGCACGAAGCCACCAGCAGATCAGATGTAACATTTCGTCCATCGAACGGCGGAGAAGAATCAAAAGTATAAAACCCGCCGAGCCATGGGAATTCAGTCAATAGATATCCCCTTCCGAGCTGGAAATAGCCCATGAGGAATTAGCGGCCGCCTTTCCAACCTTTAAGGTTTTGGCTTGGTGGCGACGACCACCACATTCGCATATTAACCCGGCAGCACCACGGTGGTAATCTCATTTGGCGAATGCCCTTTCTAAAATGGGACCTGATATGGAATTCCTACCCGCGCCGTCGCCTCTTCTTGCAAGATTGACTTATACAGCTGGCAGTGCAGGATGACTTCCGAAGAGAATCGTTACTGGAGAAATGTGCTGACTATCGTGCCCATCGTCGGCACCGCCCTGGCAACCCTGTCCTATGTTCTACGGCTTTACTCCCGTCGCTTCACAACCGCTGGGCTGAAAGTGGAGGACTGGTTGATGGGCGCTGGGTTGCTTCTGTCGTACTGCGCTACTGCCTTTGTCGTAGACAGTGAGTCGGCGAGACCCCTCCAGGCCAGATGGCTGGCACGCCGGGCATACTAACATTCCTCGGCAGCTGCATTCAATGGCGTTGGCTTGCCAGTCGCTGATCTGCCGCCAGACGAACGGCGACGAGTTCAATTTGTATGTTTCTCCGCCCCGCGAACTCTCCACGAAACCTTCCGCTGATATGATATGATGTCTGCAGGCGTCGTGGATGATCCAGAAATTTTGGGCGCCGTCCGCCGCGTTTGTGAAGATCTCTATTATCGTGTTCCTGAAGCGGCTGCTCGGAACTGTACGCGCGTACGCCATTATCTCGAATATCCTGATCATATTCATTAGCTGTTGGGCCCTCACAGCTCTTCTTGTCAACATTTTTCAGTGCCGCCCCGTTCAGTACTATTACAACAAGGAGCTGCGTGGACATTGTATGAGTGGACAGCGACAGTTTTTCCAGACAATGGGAGCCATTTCCTTGATAGAGGATATTATTATTTTATGTCTGCCTATACCTATTATATGGGGATTACATATCACCTTTCGACAGAAGTTTGCAGTGATACTCCTGTTTTCTCTGGGTGGCCTGTAGGTTTTCCATGGTGGTGCGTAGGGGAATAGTGCTAACTGCTCGACAGAGTCTGCATATTCAGTTTAATGCGTCTGATTGAATTCCGCACGTTTATTACTACTGATTTAGCTTGTGAGTAACAAATCTTTGCAGTACTTTTGGTTCTATTGACTAAAGGACACAGCATCGAGTGCCAAGGAATCTATCTGGACCTGTCTCGAACTTGATATCGCTATAATCTGCGGTTGTCTTCCGCTGATGAAGCCTCTCATCCAGGGCTTCCTGGGCAAGGTCCGAAGTAGGGTTTCCAAAGCCCGTTCCCATCCATCATCCGGCACGAAGCCGTGCTACCCTTCGAGCGCCACACACAATAATGATGGTTTTCGACAACTTGATGACGTGCTGGATTCGCAGGCGTCCAAGAATCCTAATGTTATAGCCGGTTCCAGTCGATGGAGCTCGGATGTTGAACTGCAAGGCATCGTGGTGCGCACATGGATTGAGCAGGATGTTGACCGCCCGCACACGGTAGACTCGAACGAGACCAACCATGGGCATGTGTGGCCTTGATAACTGTAACTGCAGCATGTCAATCCATACTAAATCTACTATGGATCTTCGCAGCTACATATAGCTATCCGCAGTGGTGGACAGAAGCCTCGATGGCGCGACCACCGTGCTCGGTACATTACTCACGAAAGCCGTCGCTGTCTTGGGCGTCACGATTCCTCGTAGGACGTCCCTATCCGCCCACTCGGCCTACTTCGTATGCGGGTTGACCTATGGCTCGCGTTTGCTTCTGTTTGGCAAATCAGATCATACGAGATAAATGAGGGGGGTGAGAAGTGGTTGCTGAAGCCTACTCCGCACCTGGAGGGGATGTCAACGCCCAGGTACGAATAACTGGGTGTCTCCACGACCCTGGGACGTATACGTTTAGATCGATATAGTCCACCTAATGCCATCATTAGGATGATTGAATCGATTACGCCTTTCTGCACAGGAGTCTATGTTCATGAAAGGGCCTGGTTTCGTTCCGCGGGAATAAACCTGCAGAGACTCCACAATGCTAGCAGGGTTCGCACCAGTGCGAAACCCTTGATTATACCCTCCATCTCCCCGAGGCTCTCGAAACCTGGAAGAACACCCCACCGTCTGGGATCTGCCGGCGAGATGCCTCTTGCGCCGATCTGCGCCCCCGAGTGTTAAGGGCAGGCTAATTCCGCAGTGGCATCCTGCCATTATCGGGTCCTGATGTACTTTATGCAATAACGTAATCCACAATCGCGCGGACCATCCTGTAATGCCATATAAGAGATAGCTTTTCTATACATGATATCTCAACAGTTACATCAATGTTACGAACCCCCGTTAGTTAACTTACTAGCGAGGCGGACACGCCAGGCAGAAGGCGCCGGTAACGACTACGCCTGATCAAATGAGAACTCTAGCTACGGCAGAACTACAATCTGCCAGGAGACCGGCCAGAACGGCTACGCGGCACTGTTCGGCTCTACTTCTCTTCTCTCGTCCAGGACCAGTTGTTCCCTAGATAGTTATGGACCTGATACCCCTCGACCCAGTTCGAGGGTACGTATACTAGTGAAGCTAAGCTAACAGGGACAGGGAAGCGATCCAAGGGTTTGACACATTGAGCACCAGTCAGTACGAGTGTTCGACGACACTACGCTGCAACCCATGTCGCAAGCCTCTGCAAGTATGCAAAACACTCCTCCCAGGAAGGATGACTGCGACTCAGAAGATTAGAGAGAAATCCGCATGCTGAAAGCGCAAATCCTTGAACTGAAGAGCTACATTGAACAAATCGCCGGACACACTAGGGTACGGGGCAAGGAGGTCGATGACCGCCTTGGTCAGCTGGAAGCTCAGGTAGTAGCATCCGCACCGGCCTGCACGGCAACCGGTTTGAAGTTACTCAAAGTAGAGCTATTCGACGGGGCTAGGTCGAAGCTCAGAGGATTCTTTAACTCAGATAAACATGTATCTCGGTATCAATAAAGTTGAAGTTCAGTAACAAAGCAGACAAGGTCATCTTTGTAACCAGCCACCTACGAAGATAAGCATGGAACTGGTTCGGACCGTACATCCGGGAATATTATGAGAAACCAAAGGAGCAGTGGAGTATCATCGCGGTCAACATTTTCAGATGCTATGACAACTTCCGACACAATCTTGAACGAACTTTCGGAGACTTCGATTCGGAAGCAGCGGCAGAGGGACGACACAGGCGACTCAGGCAACCCACCACAGCGCCGGCATATGTATCGGAGTTATACCAGATCATCTCGAGCATGAACTGGAACGAGACGGCGTACATTTCGGCCCTCATCAGCGGGCTAAAGGGTCACGTCAAGGATGAGATGGCGCGGATGGAACGACCAGAGACCTTAGCGGAGGACGCAGAGTTAGCAGTCAAGATGAGCAATCGATACTTCGAACGACAACTGGAACGAAAAGAGGTTGATGTCTGGAGACGAGGCAGTACAAGACCTCAAGGGCAGTCCAATACGAGCAAGCCACGAAGCGATCCTAGGGTTTGACACTGTGGTGGTGCCTTAATAGTGTTAAGCACTTAACACCAAATTATTTTATGATAGCTATATAACTAATTGGTTCTCCTGGTTCCAAGGAACTGATTGCATATTGTACAAGCTACAAGTACATTTGGGGTTGGAGGCAGTGGTCTAATTCTGTCAACCGACACGTGATTTATGAAATGGCTGCCGTCGGAACTTTTGCCGTGGAGGACAATCCGGTAACGGACACAGTCGCTCACCTCGGCAATATTGCCTCTTCTGCGGTGCTCCGTAGCTGGCGTAATTCCCAATTTCTCCAACTTCCATTGCTGGTAACAACATTCGGACCACCCGACAATTTCCTCACTAGATTGCTCCTGTCTCAATTGCAACAAAGCCGACATGCGTTCGCCTGGGAACTCGGGTCGTTTTCCGCATGTCAAATTTGGAAAGTCTCCTAATACTCTCACAGTGTCACTCGTAGGCGGTGCAAGGTCAAGTGTGATGAAATTAAACCTGTCTGCGGGCCATGTGCTAGAACAACCCGTGTTTGCACATTCACGTCCAGTCCCATCTTTCGCCACTTTGACAGTCAAGATGGCCAAAAGGAGACTAGGAAGTTTGGCCAACAGCGACGTTGGCCCTCTGATGAGTATCCACTCTTTCGGTCGGAGAATACTTGGGTCAAGGTACCACCATCCCGTCGTAAATTGCTCCACATCCTGCTATCCCCCCGCTTAAAAAAAAGAAGGGCCGGAGTTGACACGGTATAGTCACATTTGTCGAAGCGTCCAGCCCCTTCGTGGACACTGGAACCAGTTCATTAGACGATGCAACAGCCCATTCTCCTGCCTTGCCCAGTCCCTCCATTACAGATGAACATGAGTTGGCCGAATATACGTCCCTCCTAGTTCCAGAATGTGATCAAGCTTCCTCAGTTGGTGGGAACACCGCAGAAGGGGGAACCGGTGTTCTCATCGCACAGCTACTACATTACTTCACGAAATCTCCCGCGCAATGGTAATCCCGTTACAAACTGCATTTAACTCCCTCTACACGTATGGCTAGGATGGACTTCTTCGACTCGAGCGCGCACTTCTCGATTAAAGCGCCTGTGATGGCGGGCGGCGATGGGAACGATGTTATCAGCCTCAGTATGCTCTTTGGCCGCCAAGCATTTATGTCGTACCTCAAGTGGGACCAGGCCTGGTTTCAACCGCCTCAGGTGAAGAATAGCTATTTCCGATGGATTTCCGAGGAAATCGGTTGGGAGTTCTAAAGTTCTACGACGATTCTACTATTCACTTGAAGAAAGCTATTGTCTTCCAAGATGTAAGGGTTGACTAGCAGCTTCCGCGAGCCAACAGGAGGGTATTCTTGGTTACCGCAATACTCTTGTGTCTGCGAGTTGATTGGGACTCCCAGCACGGAATGGAGGGCCCATCTCAGCGCTCTGCCTCTCCTGCATTCCAGCCTCACGGCCAATACAAGCACATTCCTTCAAATTTCCCGTTCCGTCTTCTGGAGTCTTGCACGGCAAGGTTGCCAGATCTGCTTGTGAGTGTCATGACATCCACCTTAGCCTTCCTCACTACTCCGTTCTCTGCTCTTTGCTGACTAGACATAGTCATTAGTGAGACCCAGACTCGGTTAGATCTTTACAATTTCGAACTTTGGCGATATTTCGGCCTCTCCATAGACACTCACAGACTGCTATTATCACATCCTCCCGGGAATTAATGAAACACAGATCATACGTCGCTTGAAGCGGACATATTCAGCAACGCCCTTGTCTGAATCGTTGGAAAATTCTTAAACTTTCTCACCTCCGGCGATAGCTTGAACCCCGGCGACCAGGCCACAGCGCATGAATTGGGGCGACCCAGGACCTACTTGAAAGGTGGAAGAGATTGGAAGTCCAGTTGCAGACTTGGAACAGCTACCTGCCTCCCAACTTTACAGGATGTGCCCGGAGAACTATAGATCTGTCGGGTCTAGCATTGGGCATGAGTGCCTATACTGAAGCCCTCGATGCCACTTTATATACTACTCCGATGTGTGCTGAGACAATGCAGACCTACCATATGGCTCGCATTCTTCTGTTAATGGACAAACCACAGGAGCCTCAGCGTATTCGTATTCTTCACTTCCCTGGCGACAGGCAAGGTAGGTAGGAAGGCATGCTGCGCATGGGAAAATCTAAGCGAAAAAGGAGGGATAAGAAGTAACATACGAGCGTAGTCCGAAGCAGTATAGAAGCATCCAGCGCCACCACTATGAAAGAATGATTTATTATCTGTTTCTGTCTGTATCACCGTCAACCCCTGTGGAGTAGGTGATCCCTTATCGTGATCCTGCCATCAGGCGTCCGTTGATGCATGTATTCCAACTTAGCCTTCATTTCCATCGATGGAATCATCGAAGTATTATTTAATCTAAGCGGACGAAAAATATTCTTTTCCATATTAGTGGTCCAGTCTCTGGCCTGTCAGCCGTTCGAGGACGATACCAGCCCAGTCCATGTTGATCTGAATGATATCGTTAGGGACGTGCAGGACGATAGAAAGTGTATATATCTTGCAGTGCACAACAGGTCAAAAAGAAAGAAGTAAAAAAGAAAAAAAAAAACAGGGCGTGCACCATACTCGAACACGTCCCCCGGCTGTTTAACCAACGGTTGCGGGAAGTCCACAAAACAGCCCGAGAACTCATCATACCCTGCTGGTCGACCGTAGTCCCGTAAGGCGTGATTCGAAAACGAGTATCCGAAGCCAGCTGCGCTATCACTATCAGCATCCTTCCCTTCACACACTCCTGCAACTATTAGGTAGTTTTCGCGGTGTAGATGATGTTGACAAACCAGTATGAGTAAGAAGCATCCTCAACGTAATCCCACTCTTCTTCTCCAAAAGCTCCCCACCACGTAAGACACGCACATCCTTCAATTCTGGACAGAGCCGCTCTACCGCTTCCGCATCATCAAGAGAAATATGTCCGCGCTCAACATGTGGCATGCAGCAGATAGCCATGATGAGTTTCGTGCATGATGCAATCCAGAACATGTCCCTTGGCTGAACTTGTGCAATCGGTTGTGTTTTACAGTTGAAGTGCAATAAGAACCGTTTCAACCGTGACTTAATTATTTCAATCGCGACCAAATCCGTTGGCCCATGTGAACTGTGTGCCGACTTGTTTATTCGATCAGTCTTGCCCCTTCGGACATTCTAATTATTTTGTACCAATATCAACTCCTCAGTCTATCATACTTCATGTTCTGTTGCCAATTTCGATGAACATACCATGGCCATCACTGTGATCAATTGATTGGTTGCCGCTCATACCGAACAACTATCTAGCTACGCATTCCGCTTCACAAGAGGCCTGCGGGTGAAGAGTGGCTACGGAAACAGCGTTGAGCCTTTTATCAGGGACCGGCCGAACTTGCTTTTCAGACTGTGAGCGTTGATACTTCTTATATCAGGTTTATAAAATAAGAGAATCAGAAGTCAAATCATGATCAGATGATAGGCTTCGCATGGAAGGTAGTAGGTGGAAAACATGATTATCAGATATACAGATCCTCGCTCTACGCTGTTGCTTCCTCTTTGATAGGCACAACATGTGTTATGCATTGGCAGAAATGTATTAGTCCTCATGATTTCATTACATTCAACTTGAGTAACCTTGTCGCTCGTTATTGGTACCATGAACGTTGGTCTGGTAGGTGAAAAGAACAACTATTTAGGCGTTGTAGTTGTCGACCTGCTCTGGCCGGTATCGCCGCCGGAGGGGCTTAAGCAGATTGCTTGTGTTCAGCGCAACCAGCTTACTTGTCGGCATTAGAAACAACTCGTCGATCTCCTCCAATGTTTTGTCTTTGGTCTCGGGCATAAAGAACAGCTGGTAAAAGAAGCCTAGCGCGGCCAAGCCGCCGAAGAAACCGATTGTCAGGCCGGTGTAGGTCATCGCTTTCTGCATCCCTTCGAAGTTGTATGTCACAATGAATGACCACAGATAAAGGAATACAGAGCAGATCGCCATGCCCTGGCTGCGGGTGTTGAAACTAAAGCTCTCCGCTGGCACTACCCAGGTCAGGCACGAATATGCCCCGAAGAACGCCATGTACAGCACCAGACCGGAGAAAAACAACCCCAAGGCCGTTGCCTTATGCTCATTGAAATAATCAACACCATTGTTCGTGTATAGGTAGCCGACGCCCACCAGCGCCAGACCCACGATGAACATCAGGATGTTTTGCGCCCACACCCGGCGCCCAAACTTGTCCATCGTGAACACAGCAGGAATTGTTCCCAGGAACAACGCGCCACCGCCCACCATCGACATCAGCACTGACTCGCGGTCATCAAAGTTCATCTTGGCCATCAAGTTTGACATATTGTACATCACCGCATTGATGCCCGTCATCTGCCCGAAAAATATCATAGCCGTGGCATATACAAGCGCCCGTCGGTTGCGCGGCGTCCTGCACACCTCCAGATACCTCTGATGCCATTTCACGTTCGCGGACTGGTCGACATCATGTTTGACTGTAACTTCCATCGCAAGGTACTCGTCTAGGCTTTTGGGGTCGGCCATGTCGCGCAGCGACTTCCACACCCGCCACGCGCGCCCGTACTTGCCCTTGGATGCCAGCCAGCGCGGTGATTCTGGCAGGAAGGCCATCCCAACCAGGAGGATCGTCGAAAACAAGAGAGACGAGCCCAGCATCCAGCGCCAGCTGCCTGACGGGACGTCAAAGAATACGCCGCCGGCGGCGTATCCGATGATCTCTCCGAATGCGATCATCAGCTGGTATACCGACACCAGGTTGCCACGCACCTCTGGCGGCACACACTCGGAGATGTAGATACCGACACAGCCGCCTTCGATTCCGATACCGATGCCCAGAATGAATCGGCCCGCAAACAGCATCCCCACACTACGGGAGCCTGCACACAGTCCACTGCCCAGTGTGTACCACAAACACGAGATGATAATCGAGTTGCGGCGTCCGAAGTAGAAGTTCAGCGGCGTCATGATGAGCGCGCCGGCCATGGCGCCCAGCGGCATCAGTGAAGAAATCAGTGAAATGTCGGTCGCCAGTTTCGGGTCGTCCATGCTTGCCCACTCGCCTGACGCGATGAAATGCTTGCGGATACCAGGCAGCGCGCCCGAGATCACCGACTGGTCTAACCCACTCAGCATGCCGCTGAACGCCGCGAACACGCCCAGTGTGATAACTAGCGTGCGAGGGCTCTTCATGTGCACTGGTATCTGCGCGAACGCTATCCGGTCATACAATGGTTCGTTGTCGAGATACTGATTGCTTTGCAGATCGCGTGCCTCGATCTCGTGCTCACGCTCCTCGGGCGTGAGTTCATCGCTGAACTCTTTGCCAATGGCGTCAGGCTTTTCCTCATAGTTATCGCCCATTTCGAGTCTGTCGAATCAATATGATAAAAAGATTATGTGTGGTCAGGGTGGAAGAAAAATAGTCAGACGACCCCAATGCCCTCTATATAATGCCTGTTTAGCCGGGAAGTTTGTCTGCGGATTATTGTACTCCGTACCATTATCCCTCTCTCCAATCCCCGGCCTCCCTGTCCCAGACCCCACTTCCTCGACCCCACAAGTCCCCAGAGTATCCGATAATGAAGTCCTTTCTTTCTCTTCTGGAACCAAACGCGGTTGCATCAATGTGTATCAGGTTTGTTTTATTATGGGGTTATGTGAATAAGAAAAGCAACGCGCCTAACGACTATCAAATCCAACCCACGCCATGGAGAAAAGGTTCTTTTGATCGCAGCGAGCGTGAAAGGCTCGACGTCAAGGGCTCTTGAACAGCTAACAGAAGTCGGGTCGATTAGAAATACGGGACCCCCAGAAACCCTCAAGGCCCAACATGCCTAACTCGATTGAGTAGTAGGAAATGAGCGACGCCCCCAATACTCTGAGTCCAGTTAGCAAAGAAACTTCCATGCCCTCCCCGCTCGGAAGGAACGTGCACGGGCAAAGTTTTACGGGCTCACACCCAATTGCCAAGTCGGACGGCTCAGCAGGACCGGGGTTGACTGGGACCCGAGTAATTTTCTCCGAAGACTGCCCGGTCGGAACTGGAAGCACACTAAGTACTCTGCCACAATATGTAATGGGTAGACTACTCGAAGCATTTGAGAAATACTAGGCGATACCTTTGTACCTAAGTGTGCCTCCCCATGGGGTCAAAACGACTGGGGCGTTTCTCGGCCTTATTCGAGGTTCTCGAAGATCCCTAGGCCTAGAGAAAAGCAGAGATTTAGATTCGCGAAGAGGATCTCGAGTATGACGTTGTTGCAAAGAATCCCGCTTGACTTCATTCCACAGCGGCTCAATTTCATTCTTGCGGAGAGCGTCAATATGTCGGCGAGGCAATAATACGTAATTCGGCCCGTATCGCCAGCAGCCCATTGCCCCGGACCAGACCACCCTTCTCCACGGGGTGTCTCGGCACCCTATGCGCGATTAATCTCGCAGCGACGGTACTTCCCCGGGGGGAGAGGTGGCGAAGGGTCTAACTGCGTCGTAATCTCTCTCGTACCTACTTCGGGGCCCCACTTGCTAGGCTTCTGTAAAGTCAGTTGACTTCTCGGCTAACCGTGTTCAATCCCGCTTTGTTTGGGCCCTTCTTCGGGCTGCCTCCGCGTGTGGAAGCTGGGCAAAGCACCGATATTTCTCCGGAAGTTGTGGGTGCCTAGACTTCCTCATTTTGCTTTTTGGGACGCCGTACGGGTACCTCCTAACCCGCCAGGGACCCATGAGCACATATAACTAAAACGACAGACGTAGTAATACAGACGATAATTCATATAATTGTCCGAGTCGCGTTCGCAGCGACCTTAGGCCGCTACCACGTGGCGCAGTGTAGGATATACATGGAGCTTATTCACAGTCAGAAAGGTAGTAACAATTCGTGACAAACTACATTTACAGTGGCCTGATCTATCTCATTTGGGTCCCGGAGAATGGTACGAATGTCTACGGCAGACCGGACGCGGGATGAGCTAGTTACAGTTGGTCGTGTGCAAACACCGGCAGGGTTAGGTCTAAAAAATTCGGTCCAGGATAATTCCCTGGCAGCTGTTGGTAGTGGCAGAAGCTAGTCTAGAAGTAGGGCAAACTATCGACGTTACACCGTCCAATTCGCACGGTGAGGCCGGGTGAGGCCGGGACTCGATGTGATTCGCGGTGTAGGGAGAATTTTGGCGACTGGGTAGTATTCGGCGTGTATGCTCGCTGTAATAACTGCGCCTGCACCACATTTTATTTATCTTGACGGTTCTAGGTCAGGCGGCGAAATCCAACCCAAGTCGCGCTTTTGACGAGGTCAAGATTTCGCCACCCAAAACTTAATAATAAAAACCCTGATAAGAAAAGGGAATATACTGATCAGATACAGCAGCCTTTTCAGCGACTTAGCATCTTGCTAAGCCGTTGCCGGCTTGGATTTCCCAAGGTTTAATTTGCCGTCCTACAGTAGTGCTTGTGCCTGAGACACGAACCTACATGGCTTTAAGAAGTTTCAAGAACACCCGAATCCGAATTACTAGTTCATTTGGCCCCATGCTGCCGTTGGTCAACTTGCGGGGTGAGAGTTTGAGTTTCCCCGAAGAAACTCGCCGGTGCTTCGATATCGGTGCTGCTGAATCCATTGTCGGGACCGTGTGGCTGATTAGGCCTTTTCAACATCCTCCAGAGCCAACTCTGAATGTTTCGTATCTTCATTCGCTAATCTCATGTTCCCAGTGTCGTTTCCTAGAGAATACTGCCAGAGGAGGCGAACAAACCTTCCTAGATGGCTGGCAACGTAGCTCCCTTTCCATTGGGGGAACATTTAAATAATATAACCGTCGCTTAAGGAGTTATCGAATTCATGATTGTCCAACAAAGCAGTGAGAGATCCTTCCCATGTATAATAAGATTTTGAGGACTGCAACAGTGTGCGCAGCGGGATAACAGTGCTTGCTAAGCACTTGGGGTCCCGGGTGTGCTAGCCTGCCGGTAATCAAAGTACTATGGACTTGACGGGAGTTACCACCCGAAACGCAATCCAAGCCCGGATTGGGCAGAGTCGGCCTGGTCGCCAAGACGGTCCGTGTGGGGTTGAATGACACACTCCAAACCTTCCAAAGAGAAAAAACGCAAAAGGGCACAGTGGGGTAGTCTTCGTTGGGAGCGTGGCAATCGCGTAAGAGCCCCTCCAATGGACCTTGCCCCTAGATACCATCCAGGCTTTTCGGAGCGACCAGGGAAATTGTGTGGAGCCTGCTCCGGGCACAAAATCCATTTGGGGCCAAGTAGATGGCAGGTGTTGAACACTAAACCGACTTAATGATCTCTTGGGACCTAAATGCACCACTAAATGCATCCATTCCGTCGACCCATGATGCGGTGCATTTCGCGGATACAAAAATACAACCAATTTCTTGCATCATTCAGTTGCGATACGTGCGAAGTCAATTGACCTCTGCATTGTACGAGACGCGACGCTTCCCCGTGGAGAGAATCTCCACACACGCACGGGGGAGAGAGTTTCCAGGCCCCGCGAAAAAGCTTCTTGGCCAGTCTGCTTTAGGCTTGGCCACGGTCTGGTTTGGTTCCCATGGACCAATCAAACTCGAGAGACGCCTGGACCGGAACATGGCGGTCTTGGCAATCCGCCGATCCAGGACGGGCCGCGGAAGTTCGCAATGGAAGTTCGCAAATGGAAGTCCCGGTATACAAGAACCAGGAATTCTAAATTATTTACCCTGTCGTCAAAAAATACCTAGAACGCCAGCGGCTAGAGTGCAACAATTGAACGATCGGAATGCTAGCAAAGTGGAGTTGCCCGGCAAGCAACAGGTGGCAACAGATGGCAACCCCCAAAGGTTGAGACTGAGTTGATCGTCATGCTCCTCGGTGACTTATCAGGGTATTCCGTACTATTCAGGAAAGGGGAGTGCGGAGACAGCCAACTGTCTCATGACTCGGGGGGACTCGTTGGTTGGTTGTTCCGTTCCTCGTGATCGAGGGACCCAGCCCGATTTGGAAAGTGATCAATTAGCCATTTGAATTATCTTTATCTCGTTGACCTGGATCTCATGAGTATGAGTTCCTAGGCAATGGTGACCAGCACGCCCAAAAGAGGTTAGCTAGGGTTTCTTGCTCGGTAGTCATGGTAAACAGAGAGTAATGGTGGGTAACATACTGGCTGGTACCGTGTGCTCGAGACGGAATACGTATCCCAGTCATTGAGGGCCTGTCCGTTGGGAACAGAGAGTGTTGCCGCGGTGTTTTGCCTTGGTGGATACTGCTCTATTTAGGCCCAGGAGGCTGTGCTCATAATCATGCTGCTTTCAGCCATGATTGTCTGTGCTTTTACAGCACCTATGTTATCAACGTCTACATACATGACCTGCGTTGCTTCTACTTTGTTTTAAGTTCTTGCTTCAGCCCCTGAAGTCCATGCGTAGCTGGCTCGGTCAGATAAGAGGATGTTGCGTTGACTCTGTTGATAATGGATGAATTTTTGACCACATGACGCGAGACCAGTCATAAACGACCGTGGTTCTCTGCCATGATCTGCTACAGTACTAGTCTAGATTAGCTCAGCTAGATGGCCGGGCTTTGGGGATAAAGCTCTTGTTAGAAGCTCCCGTGCTCAGCAATCACCGTCAAATATCGACTCAAATTAATGAGACTGATGTGCGCGTTTTCCATGGAGGCACTGATTAATCTCCAAAATCTTTCTCATCTCAAGTGACTCGGCAAAGTCATGACATTCAATCGGATGATTTGTAGAATTAACTAGGTGAGGAAAAGGTAGGTTTATAATTCAAACAAAGTACGGGTTTCTTAAGATGACCAGCTAGGGCTGTGCTCGACTGAAGCCAAGGTTTCCCTCGCTGGTACGCGAACGGTCAAGTTGTGGGATAAAACTGCTCGCTCATTTTGACAGATTTCATTCTGCTTTTCTATTGACCAACATCATCATATAGCCTCACGCTTAGTAGGACGTGTAGATGACCATTTATTTCTCATTCAAAATAGGCATGGCCAGGTAATCCATTTAACCGTCTTCTTTAGAACGGGTACGTGCCATGGGGAATTAAAGGATATTGGGATATTGATATTTGCAAATATCCTGGCTAGTATATTATTTCTATTCAAATATAGAGCATCATGCTTGGCATCGAAGTGCGCGGTCTATAAAGTTATCTTTATGGACCCACAAAAGGCAGCCAGCTTTCGTGTGACATTGTCCCGTCTTTAAACTATCCTCTTTCTCAAAGCATTAGGAATATTGCCATAGATGTGATTTTCCATTTGCTACACTTCTCTAGCCCTCCTATTAGAGTGAGAAGGCTGACTTAATTCAAGACCGAGTCGACACTTCCAGGCCCAGTGAGAATAAGGTAATGTTGGGACAGGAGATGTTTCAACAATACCCCCGAGCCTTTCTTACAGATACAGTACTAATCTGCTGAAGTAGGAGTTGCAGCAAGCCTGCGTACGCACCAAATGACAACAAGGGCTCGTTTTGGCTTGTTGCCACGGAAAAAAATTCGAGACGGTCTGGGAGGCGCTGCCACAGGTAAGAGACCAAGTCATAGATTTCTGGATTTCTAAAGGTTGGGGTAGGACACATCCTCCACGATCGAGGACGGCAACACATATATACCGTTTCTTCCACCAGGAGTGGCCTATGGAAGCTAATTGCATAAATTCTTCTCCATCGCAAAAGCTTCTGCAACAGTATCCTGATAGCTCTCCTGGAACCCGTGTTTACCAGTATCGACCTCCTCTTCTGGAGCGAACTTGTGTGTTCCTCGGGGATCAACACCATTTTTGGCCATTAAATCATGGGTCCAGACACGTGCCCATAGTCGGCAGTGATGGTGTCGAATATATAGGAAAGCACGATCAATTATCGGCTGTTACTGTCGTCTGATTGGCGTCATCATTTGACAGAAACTGTATGAATAATTTCAGATAAATACAGGCCCGTTTTCTCTGAATCTTATATTTGATAATCTCTTATATAATTGTGTCTCTGCTTTCCGTGTGCCTACTTAAATCACTGTCCTAGTACCTAGAATTGCTATTCTTTGAAGCACATTAGAGATGGATATAGAATAGATAATACATATTATCCTTGCCTAATCTATACTGGGAGAAAGTCATATCACCTGCCCAGATGCTGTAGATTTGGCCTTCGAACACGAATACATCAACTGATCTTTCAGAGACAAAAGGTAGCAAAAATACTCGCAATTGATGTCGAAGTGGAAGTGCGGTTACGCTTGACTTAATAAAAGATGAAAGTATTGTTAACTGCTTCTGAAGAATGACTTATGTACTGCAAGGGGCAAGTCTAATCTCTGCTGCACGGTAACGACATGAAGATATATTGTGTGATGATAGCGCGAGGAAGCTGGTGAAAAACGTGGGTAAATCTCTCCCTGCATTGAGAATATAAAGACATGCTCAGCAGTAATTATATAAAGGACATGCAATTATCATAGCTAAAGTGAACCTCCATGGCAACGCGCCATGGGTATGGGAGAGTATTATCCAGCTGCTTGATGGTGTTGGTGCTCATAATCAGGATGTAGCCTCCCTGCGCGGATATGTTATTAATACTATAAGTAAAGTAGATAGAGTGATTTCGCTGGAGAAATATTTTATACTGTCAGCTTCGAATTCGCCATCCTTCGATTATTGTCGGGAATGTGATGATAGTTTTTTTTTATGATAATATAATTCAAACAAGACAGTTAAACCATGTATTGCAATTCTAACTACCAATAACTTCTATATGAGATTTTTTTTTTTCCTTATTGATAAGATCCATTGGGGAATGACTGCATGGGTAACCCTCAAAAACCAGATTATATATAATAGCGTTGGTAGCGCACATGGGCAGTCAACAGGAGGAGTAAGCCTATATTCTGTATCTGGAAGGAGCTTTTGCTGACTAATTCCTCAGCTGTACAACTTCTTTCAATGAGATTACACAACAGGAATATTCTTCGAGTATTTGTACTAGACGGAATATGGGTTTCACGAATGATGTAATCGAAATAGTCGTCTCGCTACGGTGACTTTACTAGCTGATGAAAGAGGGGCCGAATTTTATAATTGCCCATATGGCAAATCTAGGCATTATAGAGCCGGCGAATTATTTCGCGAACGAGAGGGCCGGAAACCAAGGTATATCGCTGCCTGAGGCAGCTGTGGACTCTAACCGCAGGATAGACACACCCTCCTATACTCTATTCCCTGCGCCCGCTGAACACTACCCCTCAACACTATTGAGATTATTATACTCGACTATCTACTGAGTACTCCTTTCAAAAAGAGATAAAGAAAACAATGACCGAATTATAATGTCACGTCAAAGAATAACAAAGACTGCGAGAAGCAGCAGAGCACCGCGAGAAAAAAGAAAAACTAGTATAAGAAGCAGCAGAATAATAAGTATAATCTAATATACTATTTTACCTTCTGAATTACTGCGCTAATTCTCTATCTCAAACTTCTGTATCTAAGTTAAGATAAGTTAATTCTTGTAATCCTCACAACCCTCACAATCCAGGCCGACTCGGCCGATCGAGAAATTATCTATACTCAGCACATCATCCAATGGCTTGACTACCCCCAACTATTAGCCAATCTAAGAAAGGTTTGATTATACCGCTGTCTTTCTCTCTTATCTACTATTCTCTTCTAATATCCAGACTAAAACTATTACGGATATCCATAACAGACTGATTTATTTAAAGCATCTTTTCAGAATATTAGACGAGACACGGTAGATGACTTTATCAAAAAGAATATTAAAGCTTTGTGAGATGGTAAATATTTTAAATGTAAGTTTAATATTCAAGACTGTGTCATCTTCTATAATTATATAAATTTATTAGAACTATCGCTGGAGAACAGTCTAGAGCAAATCTATCTTAAGAACGTGCAGACATCCCAACAGCTGGTAAACACAAGATTTAGAAAAGGCCAAGAACGAGGAAGAGGAGCCGTGCGGAGATAGAAAAGAAATAGCACTGATAAATAATACAATCAGTACATTAACCAGTTCTGTATGTATCTTGTGGGAGATGAGAACAATACCTATATATACGGTGAAGCTTAAAATACCGTATAAAGTAATAATTTGTCCATTAATAGAATAGAGTGGCGGGTCTACACTGATGGATCTGGCTCGCATTTTTTTTAAAAAAAAGCAATAACTCCATTGATTTACATTCTGCCTAGGTACATAAATAAATTGCAAACATTGCTAACCAGTAAGGGTGTTGAACCCTTACTTCACCCCCGTGGAAAAAGAAATACACATTATCGGTTCAAGGTGTTGTACCTCGACCATGTAGACATAGAGATTATGAAGCCTCAGTCCTCCTAAGTCCAATACTTTTTTGACCCTGTGGAAATGATATAAATGCAAACGAACCCTTTCCATCCACAACTAACCAGGAGACTCCCCTGGAATGTCTATGTTGTTAGTGATCACTTAAGCAAGCTGCAATAACTGACAAATATAACATTAGATGCCCTACCTTAGGTATCCATTATCTGCATGAACATGCGTCCCAGTCCCAGTTGCGGCAGTTGGTGTCGAAATTGATGCAGAAGCGGCCTCCACACCTGCAGTGATCCCAGTCCCAGATCTCACAACCTGGAAAGTAGTTGGGACACCACTGTCCGTGGCACCTATAATCAGAGGGATTGCCACTGCCTCCGCCGACTCCCCCTTCGGTTGATCCGCCACCTGTAGCGGGTGCAGCATTATTGATATTATTGATGTTGGTGTTGACGTTGTTATTGGTGTTTACATTTATGTTGGTGTTGGTGTTAGTGTTAGTGTTAGTGTTGGCGTTGGCGTTCGCGTTGCCGCTGGTACTAGTTGCCTGGCTAGATGTTGAAGTCGAGGTTGAAGTTGAAGTCGAGCTGGTCGTAGGCGCCGATGTAGTTGAAGAAGGTCCAGTGGTTGCCTGGTTGGTATTGGCATTGGTATTGGTATTAAGATTGGTATTCTGATTGGTATTTTGGTTAACATTGGTATTCTGATTATTATTTGCGTTGGTGTTCGCGTTGGCATTTGTATTGGTATCTGTCGGTGTTGGCGGCGCGGTGATGCTTGCAGTTTGCCGGCGGTAATTGTGTTTATCTTTATCAAGGCACTTGCATTCGCGGGAGTCCCACTTCTTGCATTCGCGGTCTACCCTGGTGCACTGATGATCATCATAATCATGATAATTACCTAGTGATACGTTAGCGGGACAGGGGGGTTTAGAGGGAGGTGTCCTTGTGTACCTTGAACATCTTTGTACGACCCACCATTTGCTACAGGCGAAGCAGTAACAGCGCCAGTAAGGGCTGCAACCAAGAGGGTGTAAAAGACCTTCATTTTAATGTTCAGTAGAAGATATGTCAGATATCTTTGAAACAGAAGAACGAGACACTTGTAGTGAATTGATGCTGTGATATGAAGAAGTATTTCGATTTAGACAGGATGTTCCTTCAGATTTATAGTATGAGATTGGTCCATCTAGACTGCCATTTTGGAGTAATGGACAGGGCTTGATGAGGGCTAGAGGATCTAGAACAAATACATGTAGAATTAGGGTTATGAAAACGGAATCCTAAATTTAAGTTACGGAATCAGAAGCTTCAATCATACAGTGAACAAGGTGAGGGGTTGTGTACGAACCAAGGGCCGTCAAAATCATATCTTTAAAAGTTATAGATCTTCCCATGGGTATTCAAAAACCTAATCATAAAAGACCCCTATCGACCCTTAATCGAACTCCAGCAGGTGAAGTCCTTGTTCCGTAAGATGCTGAGATACGAGATCCACCCATGAGTAACACCTGTACTCACACTCGTAATAGTGGGATGATGATTATCGACCGGGCAGCTGTTATTCACCAGTACTGTCCTAGAGAGAGCGCTTACAGCCATCTGCATTAAATTATTATGATCCAGAGCGGCTTCGTATTTCCTGTTTGAAGTCTGCTAGCGGCAAAAACCTTAAAGCTTATGTCACAACTTCGCGTGGGGTTACCCCGCCCAACCCGCCTTTGTTGGGACCGTCCCGAGAACAATGCAATTCACAGAAGTCTGGAGTCTGTTACTGGGCACCCAGCAAGGGCCATATGTCCTCTCTGATCGGACTCTGCGTGAAGTGTGATCTTAGAAGGTTCTAGGCCGTGGGCAGGCAGCTTTGTAGATCATAGAGGCTAAATACAGCCCCGTAGACAACTTGAATAGCGAGGTGCCAGCTATGCTGGCAAGGATAGACTATATGACTTTAGGCCAGTCTACAAATATGTCACGTTGCAATGGCAAACTCAGTATGGTCTGAGCATGGAATGAGGCAATTCTAGATTCATGCCCAAGAAGCACAAACAATTGTCCATTAATTGAAAAGCAGAACATTTTTGGGGTATTGCTAAAATTGCTTCTGAATAGCTAGATTTTAGAGTACTAACCTTGGCCTGATTAGGGGCATCACTCAGTGGTACCCGCTTTGCCAAGAGGGATCTCCGCACCGGGCAAGCCCTGGCTCTTCTTTTCCTTGTGCAGATATTGCTGGTCGGTTAATTCTCCCGCTCAGGTTCGGTATATACGCAAGGTTCTGAACCAGCCTAACATCTGCCCGAACAGTAAGGGTGGGGCCGTCATGACATGCTGATGTGAAGGCGCATGGTTATTCCGCACGGTCGAGACGTACAAGTAGGTTTTGGCCAAGCACCGGATCCAGCAAATACTGAATGGGATGTTTGAAGCCCATGTTTTCTTATCGGGTGCAGAACTTGGATTACAACCCGCGTATTAGAATGAATATCTGTATCTCTAAGTATTACTTCAGAAGGTCAGCGTGGCATTGCCTGCACGGTTGAGCCAAGAGTGCCAGTCCAGATGGCTTCGTATACTTACTCATATACCATTCAACGACCATCATCGACCGCATCTGCGAGCGCCATGAAGAGCACTCTACTGGAGACTTAGTGCAATCCGCTCCATAACCACGCCCAACGCGATGATGTCAGAATCTATATGTCTGTTTTATGCATCGCCGCAACCGGTAATCAAGAATCTTGAGATACCGGGATTCATACGAGGCCTGGGCGCCTCTACGGCTGAGCTTCCTGTGAGACAAAACCTCCCAGTTCGTGGTGTACCTATCATTCGGCCCCATTAGTTCCAAGACGGGTCTCATTTGAGATAACTTAAAATTCCTCTACATCCACGAACCTGTTGGGCCCCCGCCCTCTAAGTATTGCGTTCCTTGGAACTTCCCATTCCTTGCGGTGAGTATATGGAGTGTAGCCACCCGACACATAGTAAACCTATACGATATCATTCATGTGCCTCTCCTCATAGCTTGGACTGGCCCGGTCCTGGAAGATCGCAGTGTCGGTGGAGGACCAGAAGAGAAGCTAATCCTGGCTTAACCAGTTTAGCAAAGCTCAGGCTTCCTGCATCGATCCCCACAGAGACTGGGCGGCCGTCGTCCAGTATCCAGATTCGGTGTCTTTCTTGGAAAAACATCTATTCATTCCCTTCATTTGACGCATTCCTCCCCACACTTGACTGTGGACCCAAACGGACAAACAGAGTGGTGTCGTCAACGTCTGCCGAGTTGAAGGAACGCAGATCAATGTTTCTCTAGAGGTGGTGAAATTAACTTGTTTCACTACGTATGCTGCCCATCACACCCCGCCTCGCCTATAGTCGCGGCTGCCAGAGCTGGTTACAAACTCTGGAAGACAAGCCAAACGGAACATGTGAGTGATTATCGGTAGTAGCCACCGCGCCCACCACCTCTCTCTCCCAGCAGATACCACCTCAACCCTCAATTCGAACGACAATCGGCCTTGTGAATACTTACAAACCTTGCGTTTTATAATCGCTCCAAGACGATATCCAGCACCTTGTTACGCACTTATTCGCGACAATCACAGCGGATCCCACCTACAAAAATGGACAGAACGCCTCCATTCTTGGCAGAGGACTGGGATTCGCGTCCATTCTTCAAACAAGTCGTACCAGTGATGACACGAGGACGTACATCACCTCCTTTGTCGCCACCTGCAGTTGGCGGAACTGTGTGTCTTTCCGATTGACTATCCGGTGGTGCCCAAGGGAAAAGTGCGCCTCTGCGTTATTCTTCACGCGGGAAACACCGTAGGCGAGGCTGAGAAGTTAGTGGTGGCACTCTGCGAGTCGGCTCAGGAAATGCTTGACATTGAACCAGGCGGGAATGAATGTGGCGAAATTCCCAGTGCAGCACGGCAGGTGCAGGCTTTCCAGACTAGGCAGTAGAGATGGATGAGAAGTATTGGGACCCTATCAAGATCATTAACATCAGGTCGAGGTGACAAGAGTGTATAAAGTGCAGTGTTATGTTGAAGACGGTGAAACGACCACAAATAAAAGATCGACTGTAGTGGATTGACTTAGTGAAAAGCCTGAAATGATGAGGCATCTTCTTTATCCACGAAGCGGGAAAGACAGACAAAAAGAGGAATTACTCCCATATACTGTGATGGGGTGAAGACGTAATAAAACCGGAAAATACAAATCTTGCTACACTTCGAAAAGAATTAACACATCATCCTAGAATGGCTCGCTACTTAGAAAAGGGGGTACGTTATAGGACAGGATTCGACGGAGGAATAAACCGGAGTCCGGTGCATAATTGGGGACCAGGACTCTTAAGTCATCATAAGCATTGCGCAGCTCGCCCAATCGCAGTCCTAGGACAAAAATGAGTTACTAATATGGCGCTGCAGTCTATCGTAACCCATCGGCTGCTAAGGAAGAGTTTATGACGAAGAAACTCTCCGTTTCTTCCCCCTGTATTCTGTACTCCATATGGTTTTGCTTATCCAGCCCCCTCCCCGCCCACTAGCTAGTTATGTACCAGATCCCAGTATCTCAATGCTACGATGACACTTCATTCGTCGAGCCAATAGGGGAAACGGATTCGAGTCCAGATAAAGGAAATGATTTGAATACATCCAAATGTGTCTCTGCCCGTGAGCACGGAGGTGTGGACTGGCCGCTGGAAGTCTTAGTCTTTCTACCTGGCATTTCTCATCCTGTTGTTGATGGCTTTTCTGGTCTCACTTGACGCAACTACTTAGGCGGTTTTTATTTCTGTATGTTGGACACTAGTAAATCTCCTTCAACAGTCGTGAGATAGTCTGGTCTTGTCGTGTCCTCCTAGACTATTACCAGTAAGTTTTCTGGCACCACTCTCACCCCATTCTAGGCCAGCATCTTCTTCACCCTCGCTGTTGTCCCTGTTAAGCCAATACACACTAGTATCCCTGACATCCTCGGACAGAAGATTCTGATCTATGCGGCTTTCTTTGTCTTTGCTGTTGGCTCTGTCGTCTTCTCTGTGGCCCGTAGCATGGCTGTGTCTAGACCTGAAAGCTCAGCCCTTCCACTGACAAGCATTTACAGTTCCTTCGCGTTTGATTTTTATTACACGTTGAAGTCATTATTTGACCCAACAAGTTCCATATTCCTGATAGACGCTGGTTAAGGGGATGCTATATATCGCTTCACGAGATATATAGTTGTGCTAGTAGCCAGCACTTATATACAACCATGTCCTCTTGCACTTCATCCTATAGGCGGCCACGAATTTATTGAACAGTGCAGAACCATAGCCACTATCCATATTTTTCGACATGGCCCTAAAGTATTAACTGCGACACAACGAACTTGACAGTCCTCTCCTTGACGGTGCCGATGGCACTTAAGGCTATCCTCGTATGATACCCCGCCTACTGAAATTAAACCACTATAGAGCTGGAAGTGTGTCCTGTCAAACTACACACATTTTTCCTGCAATATTCTCTTTGGGACCTGTTATATGTAGATAGTTGATATGTCTGCAGTGCCCTATTTATTTGGTCTCATCTATCCTATAGAACCCCCGAACCACCCCCGCGCTCCTTTACCCCTACTGATGGCTGAACTGAGTGATCTGGGCCTCGCCCCTACGCACCTATCATTATCTTCGGTCTAAGGGGTTGGGGCGCAGGTGATTCGCTTACTGTTTGACACTAATCATGATTTTGCTCGTCATTACTGCTGGGGTATATATTGTCGATAGTGATGTCAAACGATGTAAGTCCTGTCATGAGATATCCTACTGTGTCAAGGGTGATACTATATACGTACATTCATCCGCTCAAAGCCTCCTCTAGAAGAAGAGCCGTATTCTGATGCCCATTGCTTAAAGCCCAGAATAGCGGTGTCCTTCTATTCCGATCCTTGGAATTGACATCCACCTTTCCAGTTTCTAACAAAGCTCTCACCCCGGCTTCAAGTCCATTGCCCGCCGCCCAAGATAGCACAGTCCGACCCTCTTCTCTATCTCTTGCTTCCAGGTCCGCCTGTCCCGTTGCGATTAACACCTTCATGATTTCCTGATGCCTGTCAAATGCAGCCCAGGAAAGAGGAGTTCGCCCGTGGTATTTCTCAATGGTGTTAACGTCTGCCTTGCCGGTCTCAAGCAGCCATTTAACGATTTCCAGGTGGCCCCCACCACACACCCAAGAAAGGGCTGTGCGGTCTGATGATTCATCGCGGATGTTTAGGTCGGCTCGGCCGGTGGCTAGAAGCAGCTTGACAACCGGTTTCATTCGCTCTAGAGAATTAAAGAGCGCCCAGGTCAGTGGCGGCCGGTTTTGGTAATCGACGGAGTTGATGTCCACTTTGTTGGTTTCCAGAAGGAGCTGAACAATTTCTGCATGACCAGCCCCCGCAGCCCATGATAGAGGCGTTCGACCATAATGTGAGTCTCTGGTGTCGACGTCCACTTTACCAGTAGCAAGCAACAATTTCACGACTGGCACAATACCTGCTTCTGCAGCCCACGATAGTGGTGTCCGACCATCTTTGGGGCTGTTCAGATCAAGGTTCGCCAGCAGATCTTTCCCATTACCAAGTAAGCTTTTCGGCCCTTCATCCATCTGCTGCACATGGACAATGTTCTCAGCTGAACCGACGATACTCATCGCTGCCTCCAAATTGCGCGACGTCACAAGCAAAGAGCCGTGTTTTGCTTCTGGAGACAACGAAAAAATCGGAATCTTCTCCGTCACGTCATCCTCTAGCAGAACAGGAAGCCCCGTCTCTTGGGAAAGACCTACATTTTTCACATTGTCCAGAATCATCAGCCATGGCCCATTTTCTTCATCAGTGAGCCAGTCCGATACCAGTTCCACAATATCGATTGCTGGGTCGTCTTTTCCGGGTAGATCAAGACGGTCAGCTAGATCTTGATACGACCTTCTGTATCGGGAGATGCTGCTTGCGTATATCCAGAATACGGATAGCCAGGGCATGTGTTGTTGGCTTCGGTAAGCATACTCTAGGGCGATGTATGTTTTACTGAATCTGTGTTAGTGAGAGTTATCATGATTGGTATCAGAATGACTTTCTCACCCTATGCCTTTATTTCCAACGAGAGCTATACCGAGATAACGTTCAAACGCGGCTGTATCATATCTTCTATCAAGCTCACTCATTATAGAATCACGGCCAGCGAAATTTCCATTCCTCTGAAAGGGAATCATGAAGGTTTTTCTGGGTGCTGCGACAAACAGTCAGCAGAGCATATACTCTCGCAACAAACAAAGAGTGAATACAGACCATTTCTCCTCATGGGCTTCGTTCTCTCCACATGCCCTGGTGGTATAACCGACAACAACTCCTTCGCATAAGCAGCGGCAACCCCGGCAGCAGAAGGTTGCCAATTCTTATTCTTATGCGAATCGGCATAGTCACAAATCCCTCGGATTACCAAGCATGGGAAATTATTCACCAGCCCGGCAGCCTCCATCTCAAAGCACAACACCCCTCCCAATTCTGCTGCGAGTCGGTCTCGTTCATGCGCGTCCTTGAGTACTTGATTCCCTGACGCAATTGTTCCATAATGCACCATAATGCCATGACCTTCACGTTCATCGCGTTGGATCGATCGTTCCTCATCGCATTTCTCACACGTCACACCTCCAGCATGGTTATACTCCGCCTCGAACAGGATATCCCGATTTTTATCTTTATCGCGCGTAAAAGCAGGCATTTCCTTCAACTTTTCCGTGTACTCAGTCATCGTTCCCCTCCCCAGAAAATGCCTCGCCCGTAATAGGGCTACTGCATTCAACAAGATAACCGGGGGCGCATTCAAAAACCCCGTGCGTACAAACCCACTCGACGTGCTCTTCCCAAAATCATACTGCACTACACCCCCAGTTTGATTATCCGGTCGACCAACGACCACATCTCCCAGCCGAATATCATGCTCAGGACTGGGGACTCCCCCGCCGATTCCCACCATGAGACCGAACCTGATTGACGGAAACGCGGAGCGCATTTGGATTGCCACGGTCGCAGCGGAGCTGGTGCCTATTTGTCCATCTGGGAGACATGTAATCACAACATTGTGCCCGGCTATATTTCCTAGGATGAATATGCTGGGATCATCGATCTGCAGGCGTATGCTGGAGTGTTCGGTGTCTAGCATTGCTTGTGCGGCTGCTAGTTCGATCGGCAGAGCGCAGACCCAGCCTACGGTGTAGTCTTCGCGATGAGGTTGGCGTTCTCTCATTGTAATAATATCGGTGCCCTTCTTTCAGAATTGGGGGACAGGATGTTGTTGGGGAGTTGCGGGTGATCTTAGATGTGTCTGACAGCCTTGTCATAAATCTCACTAGTTGGTAGTTCCGCCTCGCGGGGTTCGACTGTGGCTGGTCCAATCATATGCCACTTCTATTGTTTGTGCACTTTATCACATACTAAAATTATCTCGATAGTAGTAGCACATGGCATTCTACTATTGCTTGGGTGGGGAACTGCTTTGGGGTACCTACTCAGCTGTGTACAACGTATACTGGAGAACTTTGATGATTCCTTTCTCTTCTTGTGCCGAATGCTCCATATCCTTTATACTCCAAATGAGCAGTCCTTACTAACAATCATGAAAAGACGATGAGAGAAGAATATGTAAAGCAATAAATTATCTTTGCCGTAGTCTTTCTCTTACTCTATCATAACTATTGATATGTTTTGATACAGATGACTGATGTGTGCCCACGTTATACAAGACTCATACATGCCAATTTAACGGCCAAGGCGTAATACTAATAACAGACTGATGACTGAGTCAATGTTAGGCTCCGACATAGCAGCTCACATTTTCTTTCTATAAATAGCTGTAATAGACATGGCAAAGCTCACCCAAAAGGCTCAAGATAACTAGCTGGGCTCAGCAGCCTGCTGACTAAAACTCACAAAGCTGACGTCAGTTAACTGACTAATTTAACTAGCATAGATTTCTCAGCAATCATATTATTGGACGGTAACGAGAGTACACCTCTATACTGTTTATCATAAATACTATACGCTACGCTCTCTCTGGCACACATCTTGTCAAATCTCAACCGGGCCGACTAAGAGACGGACCCAGACCAAGGGCTTGAGGCTGTGGTATCAAAGAACAGAGTTTCTTTGCTTCTGAGACTAATCTCCATAATTTCATTGGATTAATCGCATGGATCACGAGGATCCGCCGGTGGTTTGTGGTCCTGGTGGTTCCCCTGCCCGATTACGTTACAACCCATAGTGCTTAACAAACGCTCGTCCTTTAATCCTTGAACGAAATAATCTTATGAATAAAACTAATGGTGGTAACCTAGTCATATGGTGACAAGAAACCAAAGGGAAAAAAAATTTTAAAAAAAAAAAACAAAAAAGGAAGACGAAGAAGAAGAAGGGAAAAAAAGAAGGAGGAAGAAGAATAAAACAAGCCTAAACCTTTGCTGAACCATAGCCCCTGAATCTGACGCCATCAACATGAATCGCCAACTTAACCAATCTCTGCCACGTAGACTATATGAAGCGACGATCTTACCTCAAATTCTGTAACGCTGCTCTGCGTGGTATTCCCTCGGAGATAAAGGAAAGGACAAGGGCCATGATTACTGCAGTCTCCGAGGTCATGAGTGGCGCGGCGCAGATCATCACCGGAGCCGTTCGGACCACGGCTAGACGGCAGTTGACTCTCACCCCTGGACAACAATGGCATCCACAAGTCCACCCAATCGACAATTGAAGATTCTTAACGACAAGCACAACGTACAGCTTGAACAAATAGAAAAGTATTAACCACATATTATACCGCCCTTCTGGGTCCCGGTCTCGCCCCCCACCCCCCACCCAATACACTCGCATCGCTGAACTCCCAGAACTGGCAATTAAACAGAACAACTCGATTGAGTAGTCAACCTTATGTACCTAGACAGACAAAAGTGGCATCGACGGCCATGTTGGGGCAGTAGAAATCATAGTATGGCTCCGATTTGTAGACGTCCAGGAAAAGTGAATATAATACATGAATGCTGTGAACGAAGCCCTGCGTACGCATAAATACGGACTTGGTTACCTCTTTGAGCTTAGTTTATTAGTTTAGCTTGCATCTCATTAGCTTTCTATGCCATACATTGTACTCTAATACCCTTGCCGTGTTACATTGCTCCACAGGGGTCTAATTGCAATAGTTTAGATAAATTTGACTATGGTATTCGACTTGTCTATCTATAACGAAATTATAGATAATTCATGGATGAAAAGATATGGAGGTTTGGGGGCATAAGAAAGACGGGTTTAGGCTGTCCCGAGCTGCTCTTCATTCTCGAAGCCAGTGTAGCTGAAGCCGGCGAAGGCGGCGCCAATGTCGGTGCTACTGCCATTGAGAGTGAGGTACAGCAAGTAGGTTTGGTAGTCAAGTAGGAAGGACGAGCTGTTAGCAAGGGCGAGCGACAGGTTGGCCCTAGCGATGGCGTCGTCGAGTTGGGTATAATTGGCCTGAGTAACCCACTCCCGGGTGGACGGGACGTTCGAGCCGTCGCTACTGATAGTCACGTTGGCTAGCTGCGCTTGGGCCTGAGCGATAGCCCTGGCGAGGAAGCTGCGCGAGTTGCCGTCGCTCGTCATGCCCACGGGAGCGCCGTGCTCGCTGGTGTTGGTAACGGGCACAAGCCAGAGGCTGACATTGAGGCCAGCTGCGGAGTCGTTGGTGAACTTGAAGAACTTTTGGGCGTCGGTGAACTCGCCGGGCCGGTTGGAGATGAACAGGTTGTCCCGTGAAAAGCGCATGGCGTCTTCATAGACGACCCCGTCGATGTTGTAGGAGGTGTGATCGGCGCCGCCGACAAACAGGCCGGCAACCTCCTGAGCGCGCTTCATGGCCCAGCCCTTGGGGCCGTACCAAAATAGCGCGACATCGCCAGATGCAATACTGGTGTCAAAGTTTTCCGCAGCAATAGTTGGGCCGGAGCCACTGAACAGGTCGGCGTCAAAAATAGTGCCTTCCGAGCTCGTCTTGTCGGCGATGTCAATATTTCCGCGATAGACCGAGTAGGTACCGTTGGCGTTCTGAGTGACGGTGTCGACACCAACGCCCTCGAGGTAGTCGGCATCGATGACGTCGGTGTAGCCATCGCCGTTGGTGTCCCAGAAGCGCACCTCAAGGCCGGCTACGAGGTTTGTGACAACAGACAGGGCGGCAGCGTTGTAACTGTCTGCCTCAGTCTCAGCCTCGTAGCCACCCCACCAGCTCGCGGTGGTAGTGTTGTAATACAGCCAGGCCACTTGATTGACCAGATAGCCGTCGCTTAGGCACTGGCTGACGCTTTGAAAAGCGGACTCGGTACCAGGGATGGCCCACAGGTTGATGTAGAATTCGCTGGCGGCAATGACAGACTTGACACCCTCAAGAGCGCTCCCCTGCTTAAAGTACTGGTCGTACTGAGTGGCGGTGACATTGGCGGCGTCGCTGCCCATGTCAAGCACAACAGTGCGGAGCAGCGTACCATTGATCTGGTTACCGGAGTATGCAGTGCCGCAGGCAGCCAGGCCAGTGGCGGGCAGCATTGCTAGAACTGAGGCGCTGGCGAGTCTCATGTTGGCTCCAGCTTGAAGAGTAAAACGAGTGAAGAAGCACGATGAAAACGAGTGGCGGGTGAAAGAGTGTTGTTTAGGATGTTGAGGACAGTGGACATTTATACCTTAGGACAGCAGAGGTAGATATACTAAGTTGATACTTGTCCTCCTTTCTCATCATCGATGACGAATCCCTTATGATTAGAATCCGGCTCGGGCGAGGTGGTGGGGCTGGTATGTGGGGATTGCAATCGGCAATGTGCCTGATATTCTATGTAGGAGATGTCTATGAAGATCTCTTCCCCTATTCTTCCAATGATAATGCCTACTCCTCTTATCGCACAGATAAATCTTTTAAGCTTGTTTTCACTATCGGGATACAGCAGGTGAATAGACCTTAAAAAGAGTCCTTCCATGTAACCGAAGGCTGCACTTGCTGGGGTAGTTGTGCAGGACATGCCGGTCCAGCTACATACTTCTGGAATTAGTAAACGTTGATCAACAGAAGAGTGTGATTTTATATCACCTCGTCTCGCGGCTTACTCGGTTTCAGTCTGTAGTAGAATTATTAAATTATTCGTCAAGTTATGCGGGGTATACAAGTCTAGCTATCAACCATAAACACCCGTTCCCCGCTAGGGTTGGACCAGACCACATAACTCCGAAGCTTGGCTAACTTTCTCAACAGTGGAACTCAGGATCAGAGAAACTTGTCTCCATTGAGTTTAGTCTCCGCATAATTTAAGCGATCAACCGAGGTTTGCGTCAATAGTGATTAGCAGCACTAGTAATTTTGCTGAAAAATAGGATACGTTATGCATCACATGACTATGCACAAGTATGTTGTGGTCCATTAAATGACTCGCAAACACTGTCTAAAGCAGCACGTGATGGAATTCATGTATCACGTGAATGGTTTGCCTGTACTGGTTACTATGCATTACTGCTGAGATACTGTAACGTGACAGTGCATATTAATGACTTTTCGAACACACCCCCTTAGACATGGCAGGTCTCGCCCGAAAAGCTCGGTATCGACCAGCATAGCATGGCTCAGCCATGAGTGTGGGAGCCTGAAAACCGACTTTGTAGAGAATTTGTGCGCTTAAAAAAATCCTTTTTTTCTAGAAAAGAAACTATTTTAGATACGGATATCTGCCAGTTCGACTATTATATGTGTAGGGAGCATAAGCTCTGTTATGTACTGCGAAAGGGCGTCGCTTGCGGGCGGAAGCGGTCGCCCGAGGTGTACACTTCCGATCACAGCCGAAGCTTATGAGAAGAAAGGTTGTACAGCAGGATTTGGTATAACACTATCAGCTAGAGAATCCTGTCAGTTATGTATGTAAGAACTTATTCATGTTTTCAATAGATTTTTTTCTTTTTTCCCAGTGTGGCTGAGTAACACCTGCTAATTTTCTTGTTTCTATTTTTGTTTACCCCTCTGCTTATTCTATCAATTCATAAAATCTTACATCTATCTTAGATCCTTAGCTTGTCATGTGAAATATACTGTATATACATTATGCGATACTGCTGTAAAAGAGTATAGCTATAGTCTATAACTAAATACTTGTAACTAGATTCAGAGTGGTTAACAGTTCGAAAACTGTTTTAGAATGCTCTTTAGAACAGAACCCCGCAGAGCTTATATGTTGCAAACACCTAATCAAACACTTAGTTTAAATATACAGCAACAAAACATCTACGTGGAAATAAACTAACATTTATAATTGTTATCATATTTCGATTTATTATTCAACAGCTGTAAATATTCTATGAATTCTTCATAAATTGGTAATAGGTCTACAGTTATTAAGGATTTCTGAATATACACGTTTAAGTTTTGACCAGATAATGTTATTTATATATTTATAGTGGCTGACGTGCTAAGCGCCAACATCATTCCTAGGCGTCTTTCTTTTCCCGGAGGGTTGGTGAAACAGTTGTCGATGACTCGGCTTTCAGAAATGGATATACTTGTCAATGCAGTTCCACTTGGAAAAAGCTTCAATTAATAATACCGTCCATGTTCTCCGCCACCTATGATCTCAGATTATTACACATATGATACACAGCAGGAAATGACGACAAGGTATGACATGCCTCAATAAAGCATACAAAGACGGCTAGTACAGACTACCTGGGAATACACAACTTGGCAAGACGAGGAATTTTGGGTCCTTTTATAGTGAAGAGAGAGTAGAGTAGCCTTTTGCATCACGGGATGAGCCCTCCGGTCACTTCGAACCACTGCAGTAAATCGCGACAATCTATTCATACTGTCTCTAGCCAATGAATACGGAGGGACCCTTACTGTCACTCGCCCATCTCTAGCACTATCGTCTGAGCATTTGCCAAGGTTCTTTGGCATGCTTCTACCCCTCGCTTGACTCCTTCTGTATATTCGGGATGCTCTCCAGCTTCGGAGATTTCTCCCTCCACCGTGACCGTAGCACGTAAATTTCGGGTAATATTAGAAACCTCCTCACGAAGCTTGTTATCCAACTGTCCAAATGCTCTGTCGATCATCGTTCCATAGTCGAGAGCAATACTGTCAGCAAACTCTTGGAACAGACCCGGAGAACTGAGATGACGGTTCATAGTTTGCTTCCGACGCGAATCACTCCCCGTTCCTACAAGAGCCATTTGGCATTAGTGCGAAAACTGTAGTTGGATAGAAGGTGGGAGATATCATACCACTTTGTTGCATGCAAAGGTTGTAGACTGGACGCATAAGTCCCCCAATATATGAGCTCGCGTGCCCACCCACTGTGTCATCCGAGATTTTTCTGCATAGCAATTTAGTTCATCTTACAGTAGCATACAAAATTGTGAGCAATACTCAGTGTCATCAATAAGTCGTTCTATGGAGCTATGAACGGCGTCAACTACACATATCTGTCGCATTCGGAGGTTCAGAAGCAAGTTCCCTAGGGTTTCCGGGGCCAGATCATGTTGCTCTGGCAAGTTCATAGTCAATGAAACCATGCATTAACCCTTTATGAGGCTTGGAGAAGGCTTACCGTGTATAGCATTATGCACACCTTGAAAAGTCCTGGTGAGTTCGTCTTCGAGCTCCTTACCATGTTCTTCAAGCCAGTTCAATATGGTACCCCACGCCAGAGAGAGCTGGTTTATTCCCGGACCAAGAATCTCTTTGTTCCAGCAGCGATACGGTTGTTTTGCCGTTTCATACGTTCCGTAGTTGCGACAGAATGCTGCATATGTCATGTGGTGCCACTGCAGATAGCCAAATTAGGTATGAATCATCTTGCGGTACTGTGAGTTCCACTTACAGTTGCCCATTCCAAGCTCGCATCGACTGCATGGTCCCTCCATTCGCGTCGACATCTGCCTGTACCAGGTGTTACTCCTTCATTCACTAAAACTGGCTTGTAAGTCGATGCCTACGAATTTGATGTGTAATGGCATCGGAAAATTGCCTCCTGAGGCTACTCTGTAACAAGTGTACCTGCGAGCCATCACGAGTGGTGCTCTACGCGAATTAGCAAACATCGCATTTCTGACTAAGCGGTCAACAGTAGATGTGATGTAGAGTCTGCACCGAAACAGAACAAGTGAGTTTGGACATCAGGACAATTACCGTACCCCTGTCAGAGTGCTTTCAGCTTCAGCCAAAACCCGCCGCAAGACTTCAGCCCGGGCCATAGTCACGGTGCTAGTTCCTGATAAAGCCCATTGCGTGATAGAACCGAGGAGCGCTGGTACTTCCTTTTGAAGATAAGACACCGTGGCTTGGAACTGCGCATCTGCGGGTACTGATTGGCAGTACCGCCGAAGTTCTTGGATACCACTGAGTGCCAAGTACCCATTGGTCTGTCGTCGATCGTCCTCTCGATGGTCAGAATAGAGCTTATTGCTCACGCAGAATACGCGAGCCATTTCCCCCCAGGCATTCAACAAAGAGTTAGTCACAGATGTATTTCTTCGCGTGATGAGGAATTGCGTCAACCTGGCAAGTTTCAGGTCAGACGAATCTTCTAGTTGGGGCAACCAAAGTCAAGTTTTCTTACTGAAGCTCAAGGGCGTCTTTCTGATCCCTGTAATGAATGAGCAAAAGAAAGGTTTGAGGTACTGTGCATCGGAGCCACTTACCTTAAGTGACTTTCCTCTGCAGCGAGACTTCGCATCCTACTTCCGCGCGCTTTTCGTCTGCGAGTACCTGTCTGTCCAATCCTGCGCTCGAGTTGCCGGATTTGGTTATTCATGTTCTGGATACGTACGGCATCTGCTGCGGGTGCGGAACGTGCAGTCTCTTCGGAATTGACGTCCTGCATTTCACTGGTCACTTTGATGTCACCTAGATAATGAATAAAGAAGTACTTACCTCTGAGCGAGTACACACGATGCGAATAGGCTGATCCCGCGCACATCGACGAATGATATCGCCTATTGACTGATCGGTTGTACAACGCATGATATTGGTCACAATAAACACCTCGTCGCAGCTGTGGCGTAGATACCTTTCCGTCGCTCGCACCCGAGCGTAGTTTAAATCGCGGAATCCTGAACATCATGTTCTTAGCTTGATCCTGACGCCACTGTTGTGAAACTTCGGTACGATACCTGGGAGGTCGGCCAAAACTAAACCTGTGCGTAGGACAGGGGAGCGCAAATAGACCCTAAATATATATAAGCCACATAACGCACCAATTTGTTACGCTTCACTTCTGTTATGTACCTGATCAACTTTACAAAAGGCCACAACGCAGGGTTATCACCGTCACCGTCATTGGCCATCAGTCTGTCAAGATGCCTCATGCATTGATCAGCATGGCCAGACACCACTGTGTACTGTAGGTTATCACGCCCCCCCGGTCGGTTATCTAAGCCCGACATGGCCCACTGCAGCAAGGCGGTCATAATTGTGGCGACGGCCTCATCTCCTTCCTGGGCAAGAAAGTCAATATCCAACTCTTGCTCATGAGGAAAAAGGGATCTCAAGGTGTCCCAGGCTCTTTTAGCCGCAACCTTGATATTCTCCTGTTCTTCCGACGTTCTCACTTCACGAAAGGCTTCCGTGTAGTATTTCCGAATGCTGGATAAAAGCTCCTCGAGGAGCTCACAGATCTCGTCTTCGTCCATGAAATCCGCAACGACGGTGTAGTTCTCTGGATAAGTGTCGTTTACACTCCGGAATTCGGTAACGACAGTGGTGCAGGCAGCGCCGTCTCCGCTCTAATCGAAGGGTAGACCATGGGGAATTAGTTATCATTGGCCTATTACGATGTCTTGTTTCGACAACTCACCGACCGGGCCAAGCTCTCTTGATCTAGAAGTGAGTTTATCAAACTACTCTTCCCTGTTCATACAAATCAGCTTCTCAACGTAGGCGAATCAACACTCTGGATCAGTCATCTTTCCCATACTTACCTACACCCGAGTCGCCGATGAAGCCTACCGTGCGTGTCGCTGGATAAGCGAATCGACTCGCTTCAAGCGTTTTCTCGTATAGCTTCGACAAATCAGTAGTATTGTCGTGGGCAAGGGCATTACAACCCATCACTTGTGTGAGGCTCGTAAGTTCGCTTCTAACATCTCGCAGTGCATTCTGAAGTCGGATATCATAGATAGGCTCCCGGGGAAGAGCATCATGACGAATGTTGTAAGCATCCTCGTCGTTGTCTTCCGCTACATCACTCTCAGTGTTGAGCGTAGAGCTCCTGTCAGAGTCAGAAACATAACTATCTGCGTCTTCTAGATTCAGATTCTGGAAATGAGAGCTGACATCCCCCGGGGGTGGGGTAGGAGTTGGTGACCGTTGTTGGCTCGGTCGTATGGAAGAGGGCCCTATAGGGCTAGGTGTAGCATTGTGTAGATCTCGGTAGGTCGTTCGATGAGCGCTGCGGGTGGGTGTTAAGCCAGACTCGTTATGAGTTATATTAGATGGCTTAATTGGTGGATGTTGTGCTGCAGGAGGGATGCTATCGCTCAGTCGGAGGTTTTCAAAGAGCAACTGCGCGGTTGGCGTTGTAGAGGATTGGCGACCTTCTGGGATGGCTGAGTTGAAGCCGTCGACCGACGAATTCGGGGTCAGGCATTCGGGGGACGATGGGCTGCAGGAGAAGGTAAACTCGACTGAAGGAAGAGGCTGATCTCTGTCTATGGAAGATGGAGGGGTTTCCGCGCTCCTGGTGGGAGTAGTCCTGAGGTGATCCGCGTTGTCAGCCATGGCGCTGTTATTGCACACCTGATGTTCACTATGCAGTAAGTAGTTGTCGGGAATTTCAGTACCTGGGGACTCGCCGTCGTTAAAAGGCTGAAAAGGAGGCTGAGCAAGCGGGGCTTTGTACGGCGCTTATGAGCGTCTCATGTGGTGGGGTAGTGCTGCGTAGAAAAAGAGCCGTCTCTGCTAGCCTCGGCGCCAACCATTCCCAGCCAGAAGCATGAAGCACTAGTAAAATTACAAAAAGAGTCGCAATTTTTTTGAGTTTCGATCCTCCTTCTGGTAGGCACTGAAATTGCACTCGTAACAAGGATACTTCCTCCAACCTGATCCCATTGCTACCTATTGATAACTGGGTATCGGGATAACAGGGGATTTGGGCCTTACTGGGAACCTCAATATGTGACCTTCATGCATTCCATTATAGTCAAAATACCATTGCCGACCTTGACGTGCTTTTGGTACATGGTAGACTACCTGGAGCTGAAACGATTGCGTGCTTTTATCTGCGGGAGACAAGGTTGTCCATATAAAGCTTCTCCTTACATCGAATTGATGATTAAAAATCCAGGTTATCTCTTTTCTTCTGGCCCCACATACTTAAGCTATGAAAATAAATACGTTCTTGTGAAACGCCTTTTTGATGAACGCCTGGTGAAAATTCTCTGAAACCACATATTTTCCCACTGTCCTTTGTCACCTGGTAACCCACAGTACATGTCTTGCTGTCAATGCCGGTGCCAAAAGTAATTAGACAAATTGGACCATGGCAGATCGTTCCTCTATCTCCCAGATGTGCGCCGGTGACCCTTCAAGCATTTCAGGCATACCCTTCCTTTGTACATGCTGCTTGCAAGTCTGAATGTGAGACAGTTATCAGGACTGTCGATCTAGCCAGTCGGGATTGGGCGCTTGGACGATAGGGGAAAGCCGTGACGGCCCGGCGCAGCCTTAAGAGCCACTAACCGTTCAGCCACCTTACTCAATTGGGAAATACTACGAGTCAGCTGTCGTCCTACTGGTACGAAATATTCCCTGGGCACAGCCTTGTCTCACATTCCAACCGTCGTGATCATTATCAGCAACCAACCAATAGTGATAAGTTATCTCGATCCATGGCCGAGGGAAAGAGATTACAACTCGTCTAGTAAAATAGGGAACATGAACTAATTATCGTGGGTTAGCTTGCTCCATCACACTAATGCGTCTCGCTACCAAACAAAGTTGCGGGGATAATACTTAGTTTCGCTGGCCAAGCTCGCACAGCCTGTCCTCAATGGTCACCTAAGGATGACACGAGTCATGTGATGTCCTGTTGTCCTTTCTTAGAGGTCAAATCATCAAGCCCAAATTCACGTGACCGTTGAGGACATGAATAGTCGACATCGATTATCTTGATAAACTGACCCATATCGTCATTACCTGTAAAGTATAACATTATATCCTATAATCATCAAAAGCTTATACCAAGCAGTTTGAAAGTTCTCCAAGGCAATAAACAACTACTCCTGAACATGGCTGCACGAACGAAGGGTGCCTCCAACAAAGGATGATATGACTTCTAATACAAATCCTTAGATACTCTTGATCTACATTTATGGACAGGAGAAAAGATCTTGTGAATGAAAAGTATGCGGTAAGATTTTGTGGAAAAGAGGTGATTCGTGAAGTAATTACACGCAAATGTGGATGGTAAGGTCACACCACATGACTGTATACGTCTTATATATTGATATGCCCAAACCGCCGAATTCATGTGTGGGGCTGGTCTGAGATTCTCCCTATCAACTATCCTTTGTCGTCCAAACGTAAAGGTAGGTCATAGCCATCCTTAGATGCTAGTGCCTCTACCTCGTTGGACTACGAGCTAATTTAAAATCAGGAAGCCAAATTTGGGTAGGGTATATTCTGTAAGTAATGTTGTTTGCCTTCTCCACATGAAGATGACCCGCTATCTAGAGGTTGTTTTCTCCCAGTAGTTATATTCAAATGTGGTTTGACGATCTCTATGAACAAGTCGCAGAAACGCTCCTTCCTGGGTCGAATTCTTTCAACTATAAAGGCCATGGCCGTTGTTTCGACGGTAACGAGGTAGTGACTACCCGTCCCCGTAGTTCATAAACGAACATCGCTGCTCCATAGTAAACTCTGTGGTCCGTAGCTTCAAACCACTCCAGTACATAATTGGTCTCTCACGGACGATAGAAGAGAAGCTGCTTTGACTTGATGATAGCCTTTTATCTATAACTGTACTTCTTTATTGGGTGGTTGGTTACCATTTCTCTTGCCCGACTTGGAGGGCTCGTCTGAGGTGCACACTCTTGGAACGGGGCAATATGGAATAATGCTCACCTCTAGGCAAAATCTGGCACCCGTCAGAGCCATGGAGGTCGCTCCATTGCATTGTTGTGTCATCAAAACACCAATAAAAGCCCATGCATGCCGAGGCCAAAGCTAAGAGAAGAACAAGTACCTATTGCCGGATGGTCCACAGTCACCGAGCAGGACATCACCAGTAAAGTAGACTGTATTAACTTTGGCCTTGGAGTGACGCCCTGTACAGCCCAGAAAAGGTTCAGGCAGCTCTATTCGGGTTAGAGCTGCCGGTTGCTAATTGAGGTCCAACCTGTGTAGTACCAAGCCTGATCATGCCCCGGCTTATTAGTAGTGTTACTGGCCGTCACACTTGGAACTCTTATTGATTATCCCATGATTTCAAGAAATATCTCAATAAGTCATTCTGGTGGTTGAGACCACCAAAGACCAACCCTATATATTAAAGAAAGTTAATTCTGTTGCACCTAATGCCCAGGATTTCAGCTCATAAATATCAGCCACATCCAATCCCGCCGCATATGGGGTGCACCACCCCCAGTGGGTTAGGGATTGTCTGGGATCTATCTGCAGTTACCGTTTAGAATATACATTTTCTATCAGTATTTTGCATTACTGCTAAAGCCAAATAGTGCTCTAACATACGTATCTACACATGTGCTTAAGCGATCACCTACCGTATAGAGCGCTGGAGAAAAAGCAATATAGAAGATCTTCAAGACTATTCCCTCCATCTGTGAGCCCCTAATCTTAAAGAAGTTAGCTATATAGGGAGAATCAAGTTTTTGCTTATGACAATTCAATAATTCTGCCGAAAACCTACTCCGGCCCCGGCCAGGACCCCGCACTGAAATTCCCCATCATCGGGTAAAGAACGGGTTGTGCGTGAATCTACTTATAGACCACACAGCTGCATGGTCTACAAAGATGTTTAACATATCGCTTGAAGACTCAGCTCGACTCTTTTGATCACTTAGTAAGATAAAGAGAACATAGACTGACACTATGACATCCATCGACCCAAACACCAACACCGCTTATGCGACCATGGACTGGGAATACTACCACCAGGGCCGTCCCCCATACCCTCCTTCTTTGACTTCACTTATCTATACCTATCGACGCCTCCATCCTCACACTCGCTGGGAGCGCCTGGTTGATATCGGCGCTGGTTCGGGAATAGCCACCACCAACTTTATGGCCGACTTTCAAATCATCCATATCTCAGATCCCAGTCCATCGAACGAGTCCCAGGCGAGGGTATTTCTTCCTAAGTGGGCGGCGAAACATGGCCTACAACCCACTTTTGAGTACGCCCAGGGCGTGGGTGAAGAAGCGTACCTCCATACTGGTGAAAGCCAGGTGGACATGGTGATATGTGCAACTGCTGCACATTTCATGGACCCGGACGGCCTGGTTACCTCTGTTGGAAAGATGCTCCGACCGGGTGGAACAATGGCAATCTTTAGCTATTGGCTACCTACGTTCCCCAAGCAGTCTGAAATCTTCCACAAAGTCTTCTCGGCCGTCTTTGAAAAGGTTCTCATGCAGCAGCTACAGGAGGATGCCCCTCTGACGACTCAGGGAGAACTGATGTACAACCTGGCACGGCGCCAAGGAGCTGGTGAAGGAGTGTTAGACTCACTTCCTGTGCCAGAAGAATTGTTCGAGGATCCTGTCCGGGTGTACATCAACTCCGCCAAGGATGGCAGGTTGGCCTACCAAGAGTATTTTGCGAAACACTATCCCGCTGGCTTTCGGCCCGAGGAATACAATCGGATGGGTGACAGAGACAAGAAAGTCAGATATAATACTGGTATCGACGATGAAGCTGAGGGGTGGGAGTTCGAGGTAGACAAGGAGTGGCTCATTACGTATCTGAACACCGTCTTGCCACCACAGCAGAAGCTCGAGGGCGAGACTGCGAAAGTCCTGCTCGCTGACTGGGACCGGGTTTTTGAGGAAGAATGTCCGAGTGGGCGGCTACTCGTCCAATGGACGGCAAATCTGGTGCTGGGAACGCGGAAATGAGAAGACACTAGCTGCGCAGTGTATGGGGTGATTTCAAAAACGGGGCGCCTGCAGGTGCCGTCACAGTTGCAACATCAGATTCTTTCCCAACCCACGCAATGTGTTAGAGTCATCTACCGACTGGCCATTAAGTCTCCATTCTGTCAATGCTATACTTGGTGGAATTTAGGGCCACGTCATACATCACATAAATACTAGTTACTGGAAGACTCGTTCGATCTCCAATGTAACTATGATTTGACTATGCTACCACGCTAATAAATTGGCAGCAGTAGAATTCACGAAAGTTCATAAGCGCACAATATCAAAATGTATTACTGACGATAAACCTACAAATGGAAGACTTCAGTGAACAAGAATGGGAGGCTAAAAAGATACAATCCAAATTCTCAACACTAACTAGTATCATACACATAGATCGGACTTGATAAACAGTCATTCAACGTTTGGATATCCGCTACGCATCATATTCATGGTGCTCGTCATGGTCCACTGCATGGGGCAATCACGTCCACGGGTCGGCTCATCCCGGTCATGTCTGACATCATAGATATCCAGGTACATCTCATAACCCACCCATTCCCATACTTCTGGCCCATTCAGTTCACAGCATTACATCTAGTATGGGTCAATCGGTAGCCGCTTGTGTCGAGTTCGTTGTCTCGAACAGGACGCGCTTGTACGTCGTCAATGGATATACTCCGTTGTCCGTCACTTCCAGGATAAGGTGCAAGGTCCAACAGCCCGAGTCGTTGAAGCTCTTGCCATCGCAGACCTTGTCTTCGGAGGGAATTGTGACCTGCGCGCGTCGACCGTCGCCAGACACAGTCACATTCAAGCTCGGGATCTGGTTTCCAACGTTCCAGTCGGTCGATCCAGGCTCCTTGTACTGGAACCACCGGAATGAAAGGCTGTCTTGATCGGGGTCGTACGTCTCGGAGGCGTCAAGCCACACGGTAGCATTAGGCGTCGACGCGATGAACAGCGGGCTCAGCTCTATATGTCCGTTCACTATGACCACGGGGTGGTGGTTGGCAGCTTTAGTCTCGTTGGCCGGGAGAGCCCATTGCATACGAGCAGCAAAGTCATTCTGATACGCATCTCTCCAACGCCAGATGGCTGCGTGGTTTGAGGCGTAGGTGCGGTTGTTCTGGCCGATCAACCGGTCTGCCGCGTCACTGTACTGCCGGTACTTGACCTGCTGGGACAGATCCACCAGCGAGTAGCGGCCACCCCACGAGCCGTAGTCGGGCTGCTCGCGCACGCCCAGCCCGTTCTGGATAAGATACAAAAACGTCGGAGTGTCTCCCTCCATAATGTACTTGTAGTCCGGATACTCCTTGCCATAGTCGCCGATCTGGATGTGCTCCTTTAGCCACGCGGCGGAGACTTTGGTGAAGTCCGGCCCGCCCACATCGAAGTTGTAGTACTCCTCGCCGGAAATAGCCGCCCACGTGGCCAGCCCGTACTGGTTCCATCCGTGCATTGATGCGATATAGAAGATATCCGGGAACTGCTCGCGGATCCAGAGGCCGCTGTCATCCTGATCGGAGATGGTGTACACGCGTAGCTGGGCACGCAGACGTGCCGCCTCAGTGGCATTGAAGTTGTCGTGTATGTAGTACAAGGTCTCTGCTAGGACGTTCACGCCGCCCCATCCGAGGACCCACAGGGGTTCGTCAACAGGTTGGCGGAGTTGGCTGAGCAGTAGCTCTGCGCCGGAACTAAGATTCTTTCCAGGGCCAACGCCTTCCATGCCGTACATCTGTTTTCGAATTAGCAGGAACCGTGTAGAGACGGCCACGGGGGTGCTTACTTCAGGACCGCATTTGACAATGCTGTGAAGGTACTCCGCAGAGGGGTATGGGGACGAAGGGGAAGTGTGCTGATTCAGATTGTCGACTACTTGAGCGTACGCATCAATAACGGCTGAGATCTGCTCGGGGTACACCTTGTCCTTCAGCCAGGTAGATGTGACGGCGGTCATGCCCTCGATTTGGAACTGATTACTGTAGAGCAGGAATCGCACGAAAGACTGGGTGTCATCGGGCTCATTGGAAATATCTGAGAGAACGAACACTCGGGGCTTTGACGGGTAGCTCAAAAGCAAGGAGCGGTTGACAGCTGCACTGGCGTCTGCCACGAGGGCGCTGAGGCAAGAAAGCAGCAGGACAGAGAGTTGTTTCATGGTGACAACGTGAAAGAGGCCCTGGCCTTCGATAGGAAGCAAGAGAGAACCCGCCCCGGTAATATATAGGAGCCGAGTGGGACCCTATATGGGGTTGAGTTGCGGGGACGCGGGAGTGAGGATGCTCTTGGCAGGTGAGAAAGCATGATGTTATTGTCTGTTGTTGTATTGTTGTATGGAGTATGGCAGAGGAGGGCATCCACTGCCTTTTCTGCATGGAGCGATACAGCAGCCGAGCCGACCGGCAGCCGGTCACTTCGGCTCCGCAATTTCCCTCGTCTGTCTTGCTGTTTCTGCCGAGTCTGCCCGTTCTGCCAGTTTCTTCCGGCGGTGTGTGGAGTTTATTGCCCCAAGAAGGTATTTCTAACCCCCAGCCAGCGGTTGCAATTACCCCATTGAGCCTCCCCACAGACTCCTCTGCCAGGTTTCTCCCCAGTTTGCTCTTCTGAAACAGCAGTTGGTTCAACCTACTCTCTGCTATGATGTCCCTCAGCGCTGTGGGGTTTTTCTCTGGGGCAGACGTGAACTCGACACCGCCCATAATAAATAGCCCATTGATTACGCACCCTTGAAGAACTTTTTCTCTGGTTATAAAAGCATCCCCAAGATTGGGAAGAGTTGGACAAGATGAAAGTAGCTTCTCCGTAGCTCTGTGGGAAACTGCGAGTTCATTATGTCCTATGTCAAGTGCTTGACGTTGTATACATACAAAAGAATCTGGTGGGGATGTGCTGCACAGACTGTTAGATACTATTAGGGAGCGCTGGCTGCATAACAGAAGTAGATGGTGCTCTAGGCCAGATCGCTGCCATGGAAACCAAGTTACATATAAGAGAGCGTGGGAATCAGCAGAGTGAATATCAAATTCAACAGTTGGGGGCAGAGACAGTTTTGCTAGATGTCTAGCTGGGGGCTATTAAGATAGAGAGGGCTTTGCGGTAAGCCAGATTTCTTTCTTGTGAATATCCCTTGTCTTAGAACTGGAACGTTACTCAGTTACTCATTTTGGAACCGGTTTCCGCACTTTTGTCCATCCATTGCAGTTCGAAAGCCCTCGCGATATTTCCATAATGCTTTATAATGGTATACTGTACACCTGCCATCGCGGTCAGTATTTGGACGGGTGTCTTCTTCGGCTTTGTGTATAGACTGGAGTACAGCATATGTAAGCTTTCATCTTTAGTTCATTCTGCTGTTTTCAGCTTAGCTAGTTGATGTCCTAATATACTCTTATTATTATCTTTCTACTTCTGCAGGTGTATAATGAGACTCTACATCAGTAAGGGTTAATCTGTACTTATGTAATCCCGTGCAGTCAGGTCACTCAATTGAAGAAAAGAAGGAAAGAAATAGGCATCTTTTCAAAGGCACTGTTGTCTAATCTCTTCTTATATATAACCTCTGGAGAAACACCCTCCCTTCCCCGGCCGTGACCTCTAGTTAGCTGAACAGCTGAACTAACCTTCATTAGTATATCGTTAGTATGCTTTTTCAGTCGATTCATATCGTCTTGAATTCTCCATCATATATTCCTTGGAAGGATGTGTTACTGATCTAAATTTCTAATTTATCTACTAGTTTTCTAAGATAGCCATTTGTCTCTGACATTTTCTTAACTCAAGGAAAGGAGGGTCTAATTCTTGAAGGGACTCCACGAATAAGGGTAGATTATCAGAGTTGTACATCTTATATGCGACGTGCTACTTCCAGAGAGTCAGTCTTTTGTATTTACATGATCAACCCCTACGGATATCAGTACACCATCCATTTTGACTCTGATTAGCAGCTCAGCTCTAGAAACAGGCATTTACCAACCACGGCATTCGACTATCCGAATCCTGTGGTAGTACGGGACCCTTCTTAGCAACATCATCAACAAACAGCACCGCATCTAGGGAATCCAAACAATGCTTCACGTGATGAAAGTCGATATCACGCGGGCAGACATGCCGACCTGTCTCCCTGGCGCGCCAATACCGCCGCAGCGCCAGGAGGCAGTGCGCTGGGTGGAAAAGGGCGTCCGTGGCAATCTGCACCCCGTATGGATTCTCCCAGAAAGAGGTGTTCAGATAGTCACCGCTCTGCCGGACTTGCTCCATCTCCGGATACCGTTCCTGAAACCACCGTTGGTACTTCTGTTCACTCTCATCAATGAGGTCGACCGGTACCATGGATTGATCGTCCAACCGGACGAACCACGGCTGCTCCCGTCGCTCCTCCCCGAAATAATCCAAAAAGCTGGACCAGGGACGCGTGAACTGAAGTTGATGCTCGAGGCCGAGACTGTGGCTGGTGTTCCACTGCAGCCAGAATGTGTCCGGGGAGCTGCTGGCACTTGAGCCGCGGAATGTAAGTCGGAGGCGGGCGGACACGACGACACATATCACAAATAGAAGGATTGACAGGCTGATCAAGACAAGCCAAGGGGCACCCCGACATAGGTCCTTCCTGACCTTCTTTAGGACCAATGGATGATTGATGCTGGGCACGAAGGTATTACAAGCTGCAGGGGCTCTTATTATGGAGAGCAAATAGCCAAAATCAAATGACGAAGCGATGGTGAAGCTGAAGCAGGCTGATACGGAATCTGCTTGCAGAAAGAAGTTCGTGGCCCGATCAACAGTTTCCTCGAACGTTAAGAAAGAGTCCTGATGGATAGCAGAGAGCCATAATCTGAATTGGCCATGGCCATTGAGGGAGACTAAGACACCACAGTTGGAAGAGCTCTGCAAGACTAGGCCTTTTGCCCAAGCCTTCAATAGACTCGACAGCGTTGTCGTCGATGATGGAGTGGAATTGCTGATTACTGTGGGTGGTCCACATAGAATACACAGAGTCAACTCCTCATTGTCACCGTCACCTTTCACAGACTGATAGGACCACCTAGCCATGGGCAATAAGCATTGAATGATACTACTCGGACAAGTACAGTCAATCAAGCCATGTGGTCGCCGCTTTAACGCAATATTACCGCAGTATAACAAACAACAAGGCAGAGGAAGTCTGATCAGATGCCTACTCTAGACAAACCCCCACTCCCGGACTGTCAGATTAATCAATTCATGTCAGACACTAGATATAGATCCTAGAGGCCGTGCGCAGCCCGTCCTTGGTCTCACATAAGAATGTCGGGCGTCCGTCGGTGTACGGAGGACGTATGCGGCGTAACAAAACCCCCGCTTTTCCACCCCGATACCAAAGTGTGTAAGCTACCACTCCTACTCGTTGTTGGTCACAAGCGCTACCCCCGATTTGGTTCCTGACCCTGGCGATAAGAAAATCTCTCCACAATGCTTGATATGATGCTCCGAGTCCGATCGAGGCTCCACAATCTTCCCATTGAACCGCGTGCGGAACTGCTTGCGCCAATAGAAAATGCAGTGCAGGGTGTGCCATTGGACACTCATGTGCACCAACGCCGTCGGCTGGTCCGCCAACGCCGCCACCTCACTGGCATCCATGGGAATGGTGCGCTCGCTGTCCGCGTAGTAGATCCAAGTACCGTTAGGCCCGTCGCCCACGGTGTTGAATTCCGCGGCCAACTCGTCGTCACGACAGTGAGGTGGGAGCCAAGCCATGGCTAGGCCGTCGAACTTGCAGTCACGCGAGATGGCCTCGGCGACGGATCCGCCGCAGTCGCATCCTGTGCCGTCACGGTTGTGGGCACTATTTGCGTGGTCGGTATGAGAGGATAGGAGAATGAGGAGGTTGAATGCGCCCCAGAGTGCTAGCGAGTAGAGGAGGCAGGCTTTCATCAAGTGGACGAAGGTTGCTAGCAGACTGGTTCGTGTGTGTGCTGAGGACAAGATCTGCTTATAGCGTGGAGTTGGGTCATGACCTTCTTCGAGTAGGTGACAAGCAGACTCTTCCTCTCTATACATATTGTTGGGACGGATGAGATGAATGACAAAAGGGATGAATTCCAAATGAACGCTGAGACGTAGAATTGAAGCGACACGGACGCGCAACCGATCGTTGATATTGGGAAAGAGGCTACAAGTGTAGAAATGGAAGAGATCGGGTGAATGAATGACTTCCAGCGAAGTGGTCGGCCTGTATAGTATGCAGTAGGAATGAGTGGAGACAGGCAGGTTATGGACAGTAAGATTACCTGTCCAAAGTCACACATCATCATGGGAGGTAGCGTCCACTACATAATGTCAAAAAAAGCCCAGCTGATGAGCATACTACCACACACCTCGACGCTGTGAGAATTCTCTCCTCGTCACTGTCTACTTTCGCGACTACACCCTCCATGGCTCCACCAGACTACTCCCCCTTGAGCCCCACAGCGCACCGTCGTGGTATCAGCATACGAGCCCTAGTTAGCACCATTCTAGCCTCCCTCCTCCTCGGCCTCCTCGTCGGAATTGCGCTAACCACCGCTATCCACCCCCTCACCGTGCCCCAAGTCCTCACCAGCGCCCTCAGCCATGCCTTCACATCGTCCCCACCCGCGGTACCCGTGGCCGGGGGCTTCGTCTTCGACGCCCAAACCGGCGAGGCTAAGTGCGGTACGCACTGGACGGAAGCCAAGCGCCTCGGGTGCCACTTCGACGTGATGGCGTCGCGGTGGTACTCGCCTGACTGCTTTAACCAGGGGGTGCTGAACCAGATGCTGACCGAGGTAGACTTCAGGTGGTATGCTGATCGCGAGCATACCCAAGAGGTGGCTAGAGAGCGGGTGCTGGCAGGCGAGTTCGAGGCTGTCTACCCGGATAACGACTACCACATCATGCACTGCTTGTACCTGTGGCGCCGGTTACATTCTGCCGTGCTGGAGCACCGCTTTCTGGACGACGATGTGTACAGCTATGAGCATACGCTTCACTGTACACGCTTGATTATGCAGTGGCCACGGGGGCTGAATTCAACTACGATTGCGACGTCGGGAATTCCGTATTGTAGGGCGACGCCCATGTGAGGGGGGTTTGAGAAGAGGGGGAGGAAGATAGGAGGATAATGGTCAGACGGGTTCTCTGAAAGGCAGCTTATCGTGAGGGGTTCAATTTGGAGAGTGATTGGGTTCGTTCCTTGAGTGAGATTTTAGGTCGAGGCTGGGAAGGATTATAGTTCCGATATCTTGAACCTCACATGTACTTCCAGGATTTGTGGGCCTTTAGAATGACACGGGAAGATATCTTACTCAGTTCAACTTTCATGCGTTGGTCCTGATAATGAAAGTTATGATGTTACTGGCTAGCTCGTCTATTCCAGGATTCCCTTGCATGAATGGTTAGATCGTTTTGCATATCAGATCGTGGATGCTATAGGTGGATAATGCAGGAGTTACCGGAGTATATCAACTAGAAAATAAGACATACTCTCCACTGCCATGGCAGTAATCATATAATACCGCTAGTGTCGTAATAAGCGGGGGTGCAGACGAAGTATATTGAACAGTAGCAGTAGGATAGATTTCGCTGAATATAAGATGCTATCTGAATGTGTTTCCATGTGCCGAGAACCATTTGGATTTTTGACTAAGAAAAAAATTGGAATCCTCTACCCTGATCTGAGCACTCGATTTCTTCTACAATTCTCTCCACAATGAAGCTTCTCGCAACTCTGATCGCTCTCTCAATTGGCGTTTCTCAGGTAGCCGCCTTGGCGATACCTCGTTCTATGGCCTCAGGCCCAGTCGCCGAAGAAGCCGTGCCTACCTATGACAAGAGATCTATGGCTTCGGGCCCTGTCGCTGAAGAAGCGGTTCCCACATACGACAAGAGGTCTATGGCCTCCGGTCCTGTCGCTGAAGAAGCGGTTCCCACATATGACAAGAGATCCATGGCCTCCGGCCCTGTCGCTGAAGAAGCGGTTCCCACATATGACAAGAGATCCATGGCCTCCGGCCCTGTCGCTGAAGAAGCCGTGCCTACCTACGACAAGAGGTCTATGGCCTCTGGCCCAGTTGCTGAAGAGGCAGTCCCTACCTATGATCGCAAGTGATTCAATCAGTGACGGTTAGTGGAGTTCTAGTTTTCGTCTTTGCTCATTGCTGACTCCCACAAGAAGAGCAGCTGGCAGCGCGGTGGCTTACTACAGCCGAACAGGAGAATCTACCAGCAATTGAATTTGAGTCTTGTTACGCAGGCAGAATGGTTCCCAAAGCACCAAGTAGTTATATGTCTGGATTGAATTGATACTAGTAGTAGTATAGAAAGCAAGTGATACTGAGTGTTGCGTTAGTTACTGTTGGGTTGACTCCCACGTAGATGTGCGTAGTCTGTGTCTGACCAAGTAGGAACCAATTGAAAATGTCTTGTGTACTACGTGCTTAAGCCAACTCAATATCTAGACATAGTGATGTGGATAGTAGTAAGATCTGAGATATGCTTAATAGATTGAGATATAATGCAGTGTCTAGTGTTCATCTTCATGGCCCTCTCCATGCTCAGGAACCTTGAGAGGATCGAAACTGTCCGGCAACAGTCGCTCTGTCAGGTTCCACATGGCCCGCTTATTAGCATACTCCGTGAGAGCATCAAAGTCGACACAAGAATGTGTCTGTCCCCATCCTGTACTCTTGGCCCAAGCCCCCGTCTCGCCCTCCAGGGTGGTATCCGCGGAACACAGAATGCTCTGCCGAAGATATTCAACACAGTGAGCCCGATGCTCTACCTTCTGTGTCTCCAGCATCGCCCACTCTTCTCGAGAAGTGCCCAAGGCGGTCATCAAGATAGACTATAAGCAGAGTCAGTTGCAAATATTGGAGGTTCAACTGACGGCTAAGGAAGCGTACAAGACAGTGTAGCTGGTGATAAACCGCCATTATGTGGCCCTCATAGTGATCGCCTTGTTCGAAGACGTTGTCCATTTTGAATGCAGGGTGCAGGACTTCAAACTCTTCTTCCTCGGCGGATACAGTAATGTAGCCGCGACCAGCTTTGAGAATAAAAGAACACATGTAAGACCAAAATTTCTCTACATGTGTACAATAAGTAGTTGGGATTACTCACGCGGAAACAGGGAATGCCAGTTCCTATGGATCTCTTGCATCCTGGTCTTGTTCCACATCATTTCAGTGTCATGATAGACGAGATTGGGGCCAAGACCGGCGGTATTGCCAAATATGACGGGCTTTCGCGGTACTGATGAAATAAAGGGCGAATTCAGGCATCAGCACACAGAAAGCTTTTGAAAATCATGAAATCATATAGGGGGACTAGGTGATGCCTACGTGTTGGTCCAAAGCTTCTCTTGTCGACTATATCCGTTTTGTGGGAACTTCCGGCATTCGATATCAGAGCCACGACGAGGCAAAACACAAGGAAGCCTTCGAATAGTAGACGAGCATCTGCATATTTCCGAAGAAATGTTGATGTCTTTGTCACTGGTGATGATGCGATTTTGGTCTTGGTTTCATTTAGCAAGCCAGTGAATGGAGAGACAGATTCGATGTCCTTGTCACTATTCTCGTCCCAGTTGTTGGGGGTGGGCAACATGGCTTCCATGATCAAAGTTTGGTGAGAGTCAAGATTAGAACTGTCACGGACTGCGGAATATTATGACTGAGGGAAAGGTAGACGATTCCTGGCGATGCCCTGTGAACAATCATGTTCAATACGGGGCTCCGCTCGTTACATCCGTAATACGCGGTCATGCATATTAAGGCTTATCAGCAAGAACCCTTAAGAGGCGGGGATGCAATCAAGCCTCGTCTTGGCCTGCTTGTTTATCATGCCGTGATAACCGCGTAAGCACTAGTTGGCGTAAAGCCGGACCTCGCAATAATCTGCTCTCTGGGCAACCTCTGAAATCGGAGACGTGTCGTGCCCCTTAATGGCTCTTTCGCAGGTTCCAAGTCTAGTGCACGGAAGACTGCCTTCTTCCTTGGAGGAACCAGACGAGGAGGGAATTTGGACTCCCCTCCAGCTGGCCGCCGCACAAGGCAACCTACCCGAAGTGAAGGCTCTTTTGTCTCAGCCATCAAGCAACCCCAACGAGCCTCCCAGAGGTTACTACGGCCAGACTGCACTCCAGGCGGCCTCGCTCAACGGTCATCTTGATGTGGTCGAGACGCTCTTAGCCGCTGGGGCCGATGTGAATGCTCCCGGGGGCAACAACGGCGGCCGAACCGCCCTCACCCTCGCCGCAGGTGCCGGCCACTTCCAGATCGTTCGCCATCTAGTCATCGCCGCAGGTGCGGACGTCAAGCAGCCAGCCCACAAATACGTGGGGCGCACCGCCCTGCAGGCCGCTGCGGAGGGAGGCCATCTCGAGATCTTACAGTGGCTGTTACAACACCAGCCGGTTACGGAAATCAACGCGCCCCCCGCGAACAACCGGGGTCGGACCGTGCTGCAGGCCGCAGCGTTTGGTGGCTATGATGACATGGTAGAGTTTTTACTTCATGTCGGTGCGGACGTGAATGCACCACCCTGCAGATATCATGGCGTTACAGCGCTTCAGGGCGCGGCCTTCAACGGTCACCGCACCACCGTCCTTCGACTCTTGACAGCGGGGGCGGATGTGAACGCTCCCGGGGGCCGGTACAATGGCTACACGGCGCTGGCAGCAGCAGCAGAAGGCGGCCATGCGGACATTGTGCGACTCTTGCTGGACGCCGGCGCAGATGTCGCCATGGTATCCGGGAATAAGAATTGGACGGCGTTGCGGTTTGCGGTTTGGCGGGGACAGAAAGAGATCGTGCGGCTTTTAAACTAGTTGATGGAACGTATTTCCAGGAATAATGGAACGAAGTAAGGATAATATTTCAGAGAACAAAGTGGGGGCAGCAGACTACTAGAAGGCATTGAGACATAAGATAGATGCACGTTCAGTTAGTGATCTGTATTGGCAGTAGGATACAAGGTGACAAGCCTTGATTCCAAATAAGAACTCCATTATTGACGTTTCTTCTTCATGCAATCAGTGCAGGTAACCATGATTGACATTTGGGTTGTTAATTAGACAAGTCTTGCATATTATCGAAGATAGAGTCTGCTGAGAACTTGCAACATGTCGCAAATATACTTACCTACTTGAATGAAGAGCTGCTGACGCACTTGGATGAAGTTTAGGTTGAACTAGGAAAGAACAGTCTACTCCGGACTATGATTATTGCAGTGAGGATGTAATTGCCTGGGGAATAAGGAAGCGTATTTCTTTGAGTTTCTCTGTCCATGATGAAACGCCTAAAGTTCTGGTACCATTGAGGTCTGTTTTGCTCTATATTAGCAATTTACGCACAAATGCTTCTCCTAAATGTGTATTCGCCATGTAGTATAATATGTACTGTTTCAATATATGCGAACATAGTCGCGGCTGTTTAGTGGAAGTGTTTAGTTTACACGCGATGCCTAGGGCCGGAGAAGATACTAATAGATACATAATAAGCTCCAATTGTATGATAGATTTAAGCTCTAGCGCGCTTGAGGGTATGTCAGATGTAGAATCAAAAGGCCCTCGAAACAATCGTACATGCAGCTCATCCATTGCCAAGCTAGTCCGTGACATGTCTAATGTCGAAAGCACAGAATATTATAACAAAGGCGGTGGCTTGTCAGCCGTGTTGGATGGCATCTTGCCAAGGATCTCATGTCAACTCCATGGTGCTTTCCTTTTCCACATACCGGGACGACGAGGCATACTGTGACCGACAAAATCAACCAGGAAAAGGTCTCGTCCAGATGTGTCGTGCCAACCTTCACAGAACACACAAAATGCGCTCTAATATGAGACTGAATATCAGGATAGACCTTGGGTAAGCCTTCCATGCATATCTATAGTCTCCTGCTCATGTGTGTTTCCGGGTTCATCAAGGTCATTATCATCGTGAGTAAAACGGTTAACTGGCGTCCAGTTGAGTAGCTCCTTCCTCTCACGGTGCAAGAATGGCATGTCAATTCCTGGGGCCTGGAGATTATGCATGGTGCCGTACATGTCGCAGTATAAGTGCGCATGTTCCTATATATGGGTCTGCCACGAGTACTCTATGACAGTCATGGCCCACGAAATGGAAAGTCTCCCTTAAGTCACCGCTTGAGCCAATGGAGTGACCCAGCCACGCAGATGTGTTATTGGCACAAGACCAAACACGAGAGTGGTCAGGCATGGGCGAACTGAATGAATCAATAGCTGGTTAACGCAGGAAGTTGGTCGTGTTCACATCAACCTAGGTGAAGCTGTTACTGTGAGAGCTCAGAACTACTGTAACATAAGCGGTCAAAGAATTTTACATATTTATTGCAGACTGTAGAAAAGTGAAGAGAAAAGAACAACTATGTCTGGAAGAAAAAGGTAGATTTGTCTATATGTCTAAATAGATAACATACATGGGATAAATCTTTACACGTTTTCTCTAATTCCATGATTTATTTTTTCCAGTTATCAGAGTAGAGTAGAGCATGTAGCATGTGCGTGGACCCAATAAAGCCATTGGCATCAAAATTCCTCTTATATATTCAGCATGACAAGAATTCGATAACGGGATTCCAGAACCACAGCTTTTTCATTCTTGTGGGTTGATAAGAACCTTTCGGCCGCTGATATGACCTTCAAACAGGAGGTCTAACGCCTTCTGGGCGGAGCCAAGCCCCCCTTGGAGCCACAATGCCGGATTGGGCCACATCGTGCCTTTCTTCAGTGCAGCCGGTAAATACGCTTCCATGTACCATGTACGCAATTCTCGATTGGCAGCCTCAGATACGAGGGTCTCAGAATATCCCGCCCATACCTTCTCTACGCCTGTAGGGATGGCCTCATCCCCAGGGGAAGGGCTGGTTGAGAAGAATCGGCCTCCTGTTTCGCGCAACAATGCCACCATGCGTTTGGTTGTTGAGGTGGAGCCTATTGCCTCGAAAATCCCCTCGTAAGGCCCATTCTCCCGGATTTCGCGGATCACGTCCTCGTCCGGGCAGCTGTGATCGATGATATGCGTTGGGTTGCGTTTCTCCACCAAGGATCTGTTGGCCGCAGACGAGGTAGTGACAACTTCATACCCAGCATCGCTCGCATATTGCACCGCGAGGCCCCCAACCGCTGATGAACCACCGTAGATGAGGATTTTCTTTCCTAAGGGTGGTGTCGTGCCGGCGACTGGTGGCTTGGAGAGGCCCATGTAGATGGTGAGGGCGGAGACCACGGTCGCCAGATTTGCGATCAAACTGGCGGAATCGGCAAATGTGGTCTCGGGTTCTAGTCGCAGGGTGTTTTGCTCGAGTGCCAGTGCATACCTCTGGAGGGCCCCGAATCGGGGATCCTCGCCTGCTTGCTGGCCCCAGCGAGCCACCACCACCCGGTCGCCAGGTTGCACGGAATTTGTCTCGGGCCCTGTAGAGACTACCGTTCCCGCAAAGGTGAATCCGAGGATGAGGGGTAATGAGATTGGAATAAGTCCAACCTGGGATTTTAGTTCGACTGCCAGCTGGCGGGTACTTGAGCACAGTACCTCTGAATTTTGGCGTCAATAGGGTTAAAGCTCGCTGCTTCAACCCGAACCAAGAGTTCCCCACGGCCAGGTACCCATTGCTCTACAGTCTCGACCTGAACTTGCCCATGAGGGGCTTTGATCCAGCCTGCTTGGTTCGACATATTTTCATGCAGTCAGGTTGAAGAAAAATCAAAACTGGCCAGAGAATGAGGCTTCGCTTAAGAATCTGGAAATCCCCTGACTCGTGACGTGAACTAAAGATGGAAATGATTAATTACCGATCCAATTGCCGGCCCGATGGTTGCACGACGTAATCACGTGATTTACGTTTATAATCCTTTACTACATTCCAATTAGGACTTCTCCCTTGAAGATACTTATATTGTATAGCGTCGGTATGGATGAAGCATTATCATGGTTATCTGGTTGTCTTGGAATCAGAGGACGAGTTTGATATCCTGCGCCAGCAGTAATAGTCTAGTATATAATGGTGCATGTTCGTGATAGTACAAGTCTGTGTTACCAATGACGGAATGAACAAGCACCAATAGTGTAGCGGGGTCCCCACACGTTCTAGATTAATGCTGCAATAACCAGAAACTGATAGTTCCTATAAAAACCCCACAGGGGTACACATTCCAGTCGTACTACTGTACTAGTGGTTCATACAACTTGTCAAGTGTTTAATTGACAAAGATGACGAGGAGAAATGTTGACTGAGATACTCAAGATCACTTGAGATTGTAATAACGTGAACTACAACCTTGTTTGAATTATTGATACAGACCTTATAGCAGTGAAAGCACGACAGTCCTTGACATATAGAGACTATTACCAGAACTTGAGGTTCACCCATGGGTTCCATCTTCGCCATGTCACCACCCCTCTATGTTCACTAGAACAAGGATAGGTATATGCTTTACACTAATAGAGAATGCCTTGATGGTAACAGCACTAAGATTTGGTGCCATATTCGTTCCGCAAAGCTCACTAGTGTGTTTGACTTGTGGGAAATGCAGAGCGGTGACTTGAAAAGCTTTTCTCATACAATCCCCCCTGCTGCACCGTGGTATCTTACAATCATCATATCAAAATACAACTGCCATATACTATCGTCCCGCGGCTATATCGATGTTCAAATCACATCACCATGGTTGATACGGTTGATAGACAAGGGGATGAGTGGCCTGATCGGAAATTTTTTCAAATGGACTCCGGCACATCCTTAGGAAAAGGAAGACGAGTGCCTTAAACCGTAAATCACCCCGAAAGCGGAAAGAAAGCTTTTCAAGGACACGTCATTGAGGAGTTGGGGCCTTGCACATAGGGTCAGGGATGGCTATAACAACGGGTTTCACTACTTCGGCAAACTCATATGCTGTTCTGCTCGCTTACTTCCTCTTCCCCGTCATTCTCCACTTGGTTCGTCAACGCCCGCGCCTGGCGCCGACCCTTAATCAATCTGACGCGCAGGCCTTTCCAGTCAGGGTGCGATCGTCACCGCCAAGCGCTTCGGACCCCTTGATTGTATGTGGGCTTATGCACTGATTGCTCGCCACGATGTTACCATTAGCCCATGCTGGAATTCCATTGGGATATAAAGATATCAGTACCTGCCCCTAATAGTTCTTTGACATTCAGACAACACCATGCGCGCCAGCATTCTACCGTTGACTCTGTCCTTGGTCACTCTGGCAGGGGCGCAACTCTCCGGCCCCGTTGGTCCGCTAGTGGACTACAGCACCAAAGCCAGAAACCAGACCTGCAATATCATCGATTACGGGGCTGTCGCAGATGGTAAAACGGATGTATCGCAGGCTCTACTTGATGCCTGGGGAAACTGTTCCGTGGGGGGACTGGTCTACATCCCACCCGGTAACTACTCGCTGGCCGAGGACGTTGAACTCAAGCACGGCCAGTCCTCTGCAATTCAGCTAGACGGTGTGATTATGCGCGGACACCGCGGCTCGTACCAGATGATCCTGATCCGTGGCTGCAATGACTTCGAATTTTTTAGCGGCAATTCCCGCGGGGCCATTCAGGGCTTTGGTTACGAATATCTGCAGAATGACACCTACGGCGAGAGACTCCTGCGCATCCAAGAGGTTAACAATTTCTCGGTGCATGGATTCGCACTCATTGATTCGCCTTCCTACTACATTGTTTTCGATACGGTCACCAGTGGGGAGGTATATAACATCTTGATCCGCGGCGTGACATCTGTGGGAGCGACAGATGCTATCGACGTATGGGGAGAGAACATGTGGTTCCATGACATTGAAGTGAGCAACGGCGATGAATGTGTCACCGTCAAGTCTCCGGCGCACAATTATCTGATTGAGAACATCTACTGCAATCTCAGTGGTGGGACCGCGATTGGATCCTTAGGCACGGGCACCAACATTTCCGACATTCACTACCGCAATCTCTACATGAACCAAGCAGATGCGTGCTTTCTAAAAACCAACAATGGAGATGGGATTGTCAAAAATATCATCTGGGAGAATGTCATAGTCCACGGCGGTCCGTACCCGCTGGCCATAGACGAGGCCTGGGGAGATGATCGAGGATCCGTAGGAGTTCAAGTGTCCAACCTCACATTCCGAGTGAGTACACGATAATATTTCAATGTCTTAAGATATCCTAATTTGCTTTGTTATATAGAACTGGCACGGAGATTCCGTGAGCGCCTCACGCCCAGTCATCCGCCTACAATGTGACTCCGACGTCCCGTGCTACGATATTACCATCGAAAACGTGAACCTGTGGGCCAACGACAGCAACTATGTGGTTTGGCAGTGCGAGAACGCCTATGGAGATGGGGCCTGTCTCTCTAGTGCAGAGGGAACAAAAGATTTGAAGACCTTTACCAGCAAACAGACTATAACTGCCACCCCGTACGTGACTTGTCCATTTTATCCACAGAAATTGCTAACAGGAAGATAGGTCTTATGCTGCGCCAACCATGGCAGCTGACTTCACCTCTAATCTGCCATCAACGAGCCCTTTTACTATTCCTCCCATGCCGACAAGTTTCTACCCTGGTGCTACTCCCATCTCAACACTCCTACATCTACAGGGTGCGGGTGGCCTCCCGTCAGCATTTCCCGTTTCACATCATCAACGACACCATTGAGTCACTTGTGTGCTAGTAGATGATTTGTCTACAGCATCTTGTCAGGCGGGTCATATACAAGCCTCATTCAAAACGTCTGGTGAAAGCAGCTGTTACTCAAGGTTAATGGAACCCAGGGAAAATAATGTGTATTTCTAATAGAAGATGTATCATTGAAAATGGGCTTGAGTTAAAGCCAGCCTATATCAAGGAACTATACAAACTATCCCATCATTCGAATGACAGTAGACATCATCAGGATTCCCCTTCCGCTGCAGCTTATATTACAGGCCTGTATGGCAGCTTGTATGACATTGAAGAAGTAGAGAGTCCGCATGTTGGTGCGGATTAATGTAGATTCGCACCAAGCTCTTCCACGGTCCTGACAATTTAAGGCACTGGTAACGTTTAACAACCAGACAACGGGTCACATGGGTAACATGTCCGAAAAGACTAATAGTCGAACTAGCATTGAATTTCAATAAGTTTATCAATCGATATATGTTTCTTACGCTCAAGCCGAAGAAGCAGGCATTGGTTACTTTAAGCTTCTTTATAGCCCTATTCAACTATGGCTTATTTCGGAATCAAATCTGTTCTTCGTGCACAACAAAAAGCCAAAGAGCGCAAAAGTCAATCGCCACCGCGATAATGGTTCTGACATTTTGACAACCTCGTTGGATCATAATGACTTCTCGATGAGGCTAGATCACTGCCCTTTTCTCCCGTATTCAGAAATCACATCTAAGCACACACCCCAGAAGCTTCGTCCGGATGGATCATGTCATTGTCAATCCAAGTCATGTAATTCCAGTAGTCAGCCTGTGTACCTTGGCCGTCGACGGTTGCATTCCCCGAAAACTTGGCATTCCAATAGGCACTCCCCTGGGAATCTTTCGCGAAAGCATAGAGCCCGGTGTTGAGAGCTTCATCTCTGTCAGCAAAGGAGTTATTGTACTGTGCCTGGATCGACCATTCGCCGACAAATACGGGAAATTTGCCATCACCGGCTCCATTCTTTGCATCGGCACAGATGTAGTTCGTAATATTCTGACCGGTTGCTCCTCGTCCGGCAAAATAATAGTTGTGCACATCGAATACCAGGTTAGCGGATGTAGAGAAGTTTGGTGACCAGTACTCCTCGCCTCGGAAACTGCCTTGGAACATGACCGGTATATCCGGGCTGATCACCTCAACCTTGTCCAGTACTGCCTGAATGTACTTCAAAACCCAAGCTGCGCCTTCATCGGACAATGCTTCTGGACTCCCGAATGCTGACATATCTTTATTGTCGACGGGCTCGTTGATAGGCTCAATAGTATAAGATTCAGGATGGCTGGAGTTTTGAATATAGGCAATGACGGAGTCGATAGCCTGAAGGGAATAATCCATCGCAGTTTGGTTGTTGAACCATCCATAGTGCCCTGTTGCCTCCCCGAACGCCATACCGTTCACTCCACCTGGTAAGGAGTGTACATCGATGATGATATGCATGGAATGCCTAGTGATAGCATATGTTGCAATGTTGTTCAGGAAGGATACCTGGTTCCCAGAGTACAGCTGGGACCCGGGCACTTTGACCCAAGCAGCATATGTGGTGGGGATACGCAAAGTGTTCACTCCGGCGTTCGCCAACGTATCGATATCCGAGGTGGTGATATAGGTCGCATATCTTCGCTCGAGAATAGGACCACACTGGGAGCCTTGATTCACACAAAGGCCCCATTCATCGTCCGCACCCTTGGAATATTTAGCCCACCAAGTAGTATCGATGGTGCTTTCTTGCTCGAGCCACCCGCCCAGGTTCACACCGTTGGCGATGTAAGTAGTCCAGTTGAGATACTCCGCTGCTGCGAGAGCGAAGCCAGCTTGGAGCACGAAGGTAGGAAGTAGCTTGACCATTGTTTCCGCGTTCTGAGTGAGGATACCTTAGACAAACGATGAACTCGAGAGGTAATTGATAATGACGATGGTGCTTATTGTAAACGGGACATGGTGTCTTCTATAAGTCCTCCATCGCGATGTTCTATAGCTGATCTTCAATTACCGTAATGGTGACAACACGGAAGCTTCTCCGTGTATGTTTGTGGAAGACCACCGAGGTTCTCTACATGAGACACCTTTGCTTCCCATCGTCGCTACGGGGTATATGAAACCGTAAAGGCTCGGGCTATCACTTTGCCGAAAAATAGATGAACGTTGATTATTTAGTTTTAACCGATGTATATTTCTCCATAAAGGCCTTTCCACGGTCAGCTGCCTGCATATTCCTCCACATCCCGAAACACACGGACATGGAGAAATCGAGGTCACTTCAAAGGATCGCCAATGAGACCAGCAAGGCTGATGGAGCTTGGCAATGGCAGTAACCTTGGTTCTTGCCCCTCTGAGTCTGGCTAGTTCTCAAAACACCCCCCTACTACCTCCTACGACAGGCGCCTTTCAGCAAAAGGGTGTACCAGTTGCCGGGTCCGAGGATCGTTCGAATTGGATGTGGTTTCGTAGTCGGGGGAAATTATCCTGAATTGCGTACTGTCTGTATTGAATGGAAATACACTTTATGGATATATTCTGATGCAGTTTGGAAACGCAGAGCTATGCACGGAATCATCAGAAGTACGATTGCCCAACAACTTTGATGAGGCATTTGCCGCGACGGACCCCGCGGGCACCGAGTGCTAAGCTTCCAACTCAGGGTCTGATGCGGATCTGCAGTGGAGCCGAAGAAGGATCCCGCATGCAGTCGAAGATGATCCTCATCTTAGTCCACGTAGCATATGTGTGCATGGGTTGCACGGTAAGGTATCCTGTCTTGGTTAACGGGATCCGGATCACTCGGTTGGTTTCGCGACGTGTGTTTGGCTGTATGGCGTTCCATCCGTACGCCGGGCTTTTCTCCCTACACTTAGCCGCCGCGTAAACGCTTGGTCGGATTAAAGACCAGTCTGGGATGCTAGAACCTCGTACACAACGCTCTGATAGTATTCATAATGTTCGTTCCCTTTTCCTACCGACACCAATGAAACCATTTATGGGCAACGGAAAGTCTGTCGATCTCGAATGTCTCTAGCGAATACGCGACGATGAATGGGCTACTGGATGTGTGGCGCTCTTCAATGAATGAGACTGTCTAATATCACATCATCTCACCTTCTAGGCAGAATTATTTTCATTCGCATATTATTATTCGTCAAAGACAGACTGCCGTTCAGAGAGCAGTCGGAATGTCTGCATGTCCGTGCGACGGGAGAACCAGCAACCAACCTGACTGGCTCAGCAGGCAGCGCTAGGATCCTTGGACAGGCCTTTTCGATTGACAAGGTAAGCCCAGGCCTACATATTTACTGCCATCTGTTTCATTCCACGCCCATCGACCGGGCGCTCCGCCTTGGCCTTCCTCGCCAATACCCGTCCACTCCTGTGTTTCTCACCGTGAAGACTCCGCGGACGCCCCGGTGGTTCTTGGTCACAAATTGAGCTCACATGTAGGTTCTGTTCCCGTTGGGGAGGCTTTACCCCTGGGAGCGGGGTCGAGTGATTTCGAAGGAGGTTGCGCCCCATGAGTGCACGTACAGCTGATAGTCGGTTAGATCTTGGCAATGCGGTTTGTGGGGCGATGACGGAGCACGAATGGCGCCTTGCTCATCCACTCGGGCTCTATTCATGATGGCGTAGGCATAGAATATGAACAGTGTCCAAGAGCACCAGATCATGTGCAGTAAGACGCACGCACAGCGACAACAGGGTCATCCGCCTTCGATATGGAAGCAAACGGCTTTTTACATGCTTGGCAACAACAGCTATTGACCTACTGTATGCCTGTATGTCAGGCAGGAGGGCTAACTTCCTCAAGCAACGCATTAACATCTCGTGGGATCGCGTTGTGGACCTCGATCATGGCTTGACGCACTCGTTGCGTAGCAGCAGCAGCAATGGGCCAGGTTTGTCCCATGGACTTGAGAACACCAAGGTTGAGAGCCAGGTATTGTCGCTGGCTCGTCCCAGAGGAATGCAGGCTCTCGCTGAACATGGCGGCAACTTGGATGACGGAACTGAGGACCAGGGTGCAGGCAAAGAAAGGAGTATGATTAACGACAGAGGTGGACAAGGCAGCTAGCTGAGATAGTCTGACAGACCCCTCAATAACCCTGTGGGTGTGCACTTGCGGGTCCAGGGTCGTGGTGACAAACAAGGCCGGGGATGAGCACATGACCTGGCCTGTGACGGGCAGGAATGCGAGCAGACAGGAGCGTGGGAAGTGCAAATAGATGGTGGCGCAGTGCATCAACATCATCGCCTGTGTCATCAGCTCATCCTGCACGCCGTTGAGTTGAAGCATGCACCGTCGGCGTGGTGGCAGTCGATGGAACCAGGCGACGTTGGCCGCGTTCAATATGTTTAGTGCCTCCTCACTGACGTGCGTCTGACCGGCTCGGAGGCAATTGCGAAGCAGCAAAGCAGCCTCGACGCGGTAAGCGCCTGGGGAGAATTCCACATCACCGCAGAACAGACCGTTTTGTTCCAAATCCGCCAAAGTGGACGGAAAAGGGTTGGGGTCGGAGATGACGTCGCTCGCCTGATACTGACTGGGATCACCGGGAAGAGGCGTGGTGGGTGTTTCTTCCATGTGGAACTGCAAAACCCCATCGACCTGGACAGCCGCCAGCAGCACATCGATCACGACGATCTCCCACCAGGTGCGCCGCAGACTCTCAGCCTGAAAGGGAGCATCCACACGGATGGCGTCCGAGGTCTCCCGACGGTGCAAGCCCAGGTCCAGTGCACCCTGCAGGGCCTGTCCCAGACATGAGCGGGCCTCATGGGCCTGCTGTCGCCCGTGATGTACAATGGTGAGGAGCAGCAAGGCCTGCACCTTTTCGATGGTCAGTTCCGCAGCCTGCACGGCCAGACCGAGAGACTCGCTGCTATCCTGAAACAGCTGCGGGGACAAGTAATGAAGGCTGATAAACTCTATAATGTCTAGCAGGAACGCGGGCGGCTCCGACTCCAGCAGAAGTTGCATGGGGGCCAGGAACGGATGGGCTTGGTGAAAGTGGAGATAATACAGAGAGATCAGCTGCAGCCCTTGATCGCAATCCATGGAGCCCGCATGCTGTGGGTATTCCAGGCTGTGGTACTGCCCGAAAGGACCTGACGAGAAAGAAACGGGATCCAGCGGTAGTGAATTGGAGTTAAGGGTGGGCAGGCTGGCGGTGTCGTGGGGAACTGCTGCTGCTGCTGGGCGACACTTACGACCACGACGGGAGGGCACGAAGCGGCAGGTGAGCCCCAAGGACTGGCAGCGAGCACAGCCAGCCAGATTGCCGTCGCATTTGAGATGTTTTTCTCGGCAGCCTAAACAGGCCACGGGGGCGGTAAGATCCATGGACGATGACAAGATACAATGGGAGGGATGCTATAGTTTTGGTGGTAGAGGTTTATATGTCGGATAAAAATAATGATGAGGGGGGGGGCAAGAAGCAATTGCTGATGCTGACGGGGGAAACTCCCATGCAGCCAATTAGTAACTACTAATTAAATAGTTAGTTTGGTTAACGTTAGTGTTAGCAACCGCTTAGTAGTGATCAGAGACTGCCGGATATTCATTCCTCCGATGACTACAAAACCTAGTAGACATTCATATTGTCTACAATGGCCATTATTCACGTTTATGTAAAATACTTGTCATTCACTAGCTTCAGATAACTACTCTAGTGTTCCCTGTCTGTTGTCTTCTCCCTCTGCCACCTCAATCTCCAATTCCGCATCAATGTGGCTGCTACTTCGACCAACCCAGCAGGCATACTTGCCCGCATCCAATCGCCACTGCGTCACCTGAGCATCGTACCAGCTCAACTCGGATCCCCAGATGGGGATCGACACTTCGCGCGAATCTCCCGCCGGTACAGAAATTTTACAGAAGCCCGCCAGAGACTTGGGGAAGCTCATCTCCCCAGCCTCCCGGATCCCGGCTGACGGCGCTACATATACCTGGACCACCTCTTGCCCGTCGCGGCCTCCGACATTGCAAACGCGCGCCTGGATCAACACAGGCTGAGACTCCGGGGAACGCCCCTCCACGCGACCGCAGACACGAATGTTGGTCAGCTGAAACTGCGTATACGAAAGACCAAAGCCAAAGGGCCAGAGGGCAGGGATCCCTTGGGCATCGAAATGGCGATACCCGACGCGCACCCCTTCCCCAAAGGTGTTGCGGTCCTGCGCAGCCTCTCCCGGGAACCAGGCGTTGGAGCCATGGTCTTCGAGCCGTCGAGGGAAGGTAATCGGGAGTCGACCGCTGAAGTCGCAGTCGCCGAGCAGGGCGGCCGCCAGGGCATGCCCGTTTTCCTGCCCCTGATACCAGGCCATCACCAGCCCCGAGGCAGCATCGACCCACGGCATGGCCACGGCGCTGGCCGACTGCACGACCACGACGGTGTTGGGATTCGCGGCACAGACAGCGGCGACCAGCTCATCCGTGCGACCGGGAAGCTGCATCGTTGCGCGGTCGCCTCCTTCGCCCTCCGAATCCTTGTTGTGGCCCACCACCACCACCGCCACATCGGCCTGCCGGGCGGCCGCCACGGCCTGCGCCAGCATTTCCGGCTCATTTTGCTCCAAGGCCAGGCCAACCCGGAGCCCGGAGATCCGCGGGAATAGCGTGTTGTCGAACGCCTCTACCACTGGCAGCGTGACCACGTTGTCCACCCGCAGCTGGTAGGCGCGGCCCGCTTCCAGATACACGCTGGCTGTCTTATCTGCGCTGGAGCAGCCCAGAAATCCGCCCGTCAGACCGGTCCACTCCGTGTTGTCGATTAACAACTCGTCATTAAGGAATAGCTTGGCTTTCCCGGTGTTCGCCAGGCTCCAGGTATAGCGACCCGACTCTTGCGGAGTGACCACCCCGGTGGCACGGTAGGAGTATGGCCGGTCGTCCAAAACGGCCGGGACATCACCATCACTAAATAGATAGACGAGCGAGTCGTCCCACATACTGGACGCTACCACTGGTCCCTCCAGCGCATGACCCTCAAAGAAGCTGACCTGCCAGCCCTTCCGGGACCCGTCTGGGACAGTCAGGAGCTTTCCCAGTAAAGGCGGACGCAGGTTGCTCGGGATCCCCGGCTCGTAGGAGACCTGCAGCTCTGAGTTGGCCGCATGAAGGGCATCGCGCAGACAGGCTTCCGGAGTCGAGACGTAGAAAGGGTTGACAGCGGCGCTGCCGGCACCGCCCGCGGTGGGTTGACAAGCGTTGGGCCCAATGATGGCGACTCGCTGCAGCGTGGTCGGCTTGAGAGGCAGGATTCCCTTGTCATTCTTGAGCAGGACGAGCCCACTTTGAGCCGCATCGCGCGCGATTCGGTGAAAGATGGGGTCATCCGTAGCTTCTTCGGAGTGTTCGGCGGACTCAGTAGCGTTTCCCAGCAGGCCTGTGCGCTCCAGGAGCTGCAAGAAGCGGCGGACACTCGGGTCGACAAGTGCGGCCACCTCGACCTCCCCAGCTCGGATGGCAGCCAGCAAGCGTTCTCCGCGGCGGACGGCTGGACCCGGCATCTCGAGGTCAGTTGTGGCGCGCAGGCTGTCAGCTGTACTATTCAGCCCTCCCCAGTCGCTCATGACCAGACGGTCAAATTGCAGCTCTTGCCGCAGTAGACGGGGTAGAATGTGTGGGCTGATGTCGGCGTGCAGGCCGTTAATCTTGGGATAGCTAACCATGGCCGTCCAAGGCGTGCTAGCCGGGTCGTTGAGAACCATCGTGAACGGCTTCATGTAGACCTCACGTAAAGTGCGTTCATCAATGGTTTGATCAACGTTGAATCGCCGCGTTTCAGTATCGTTGAGGATAAAGTGCTTCATACATGCGCCCACTCCGTGTGCCTGAATACCTCGGATCATCGCCGTAGCGATCACTCCCACCAGATAGGGATCTTCGCCATAACTCTCGAAATTCCGACCACCTAGGGGCGAGCGCGATAGGTTCATGGTGGGTGCCAACAGTACCTGGCAGCCCTTTCGGCGCGCCTCCTGCCCCAACACCCTTCCGACTTGCTCTACCATCGCTGGATCAAAGGTAGCAGCCAGGGAAATTCCACACGGTATCCAGGTGGTCAGGGAACCGTAGGTCCACTTGGAGCCCCGGGCACCGGCTGGTCCGTCCGTCATCTTCAGGCTGGGGATGTGTAGGCGGTCGATGTTAACGGTTTCCCACATGTTCTTGCCCGCCAGGAGGGCCACTTTCTCCTCCAGCGTAAGGGACTGGAGCAGGTGGCGCACTTGGGAGGAGACTCTTTCCTCATGAGGCATTTTGGCAAGCAAACCGGTTTGGAAGAACCAGAAATGGTTGATTTTGGGGATGCTGGTGGCAGAGTTCGGGGGAAGGAGAGGGTAATTGTTCTTTTCTGGTCACCATGCACTCCATTTCTGCATCTCTACAACTCTGCATTCCCGCCCCCACGGGGAAGAATATGAACTTTCTGTCCGGATTTCCTCCTCGGGTGCTCCGGTGTGACAAACCGATCATGTTACTATGTGAAGATGCTTCACAGGTGATGCCCTGTTAGTCCCGGCGATATAGTGGAGAATCAGTCGCCGAATTAGTGGAGGCTTCGGATCCGCCGGGTCCACTGGGCCCGCCATACAGGATTACCTCTCCTGGACAAGATCCCGACTTGGACATGGTATGAGGCCTTGATCCCCCGCGGCTCAAAGGTTAGGGTTTAACTGGTATGGATGTGACACTGAGGATCGTGTTGGACCCGCCCTCACGAAGGAATCTTGGTCTTCTCACGGGCCTACCACGACCATGGCCCACCTCTCAAGGAGTCCTTCCCCGCGGGGAAATTGTTTCGCTTCCTACGAGCCCTAACGAGGCATCAAGATGCTCCGACTCTGGTCACTACCACGCGCCCGATAATCCCTCCCATTAAGTCCCTATTGGGGTGAAGGAAGACTTTTGAAACGCTAAAGTCAGCACTGGGAGTTTGCTTGTCGGTCAAGCTCGATTCTGCTCGTATTTGGCGTGATTTAAAGCTGATAGCATTTCCCTCTCTCGTAGAATAGAAGTAGAGTCCGCAAATTCTCTGGCCTCAATCGAGGACTGTGCTCGCGAGGGGACCTGTCTAAGCTCTGTCTTTAATCTTCCATCCTTCCAAGCATGTCATCTTCCAACCCTCCACGGGAGGTCCCCTGGCTCATCTGGGTCGTGGCTATCTTCGGCTCCGTCTCATCCGCGGGCTTTGGCTTCGATCAGGGCTGGTGGGCAAGTATGATGAGTTCGACGCAATTTACCCGTGTCTTTGGCTCCTACGACCCAGCCCAGCAGGCCTGGTCCCTCAGCGATCGACAGCAGTCCCTCGGCACGGGTCTGGGCTATGTAGGGGTCATGCTCGGGTTGGTGTGCGGCACACCACTGAACGAAAAATTTGGACGACGGAACAGTCTCTGGCTGCAGTCGGCGGTGGTGACTGCTGGGGTCGCCATTGAAGCATCCTGCCAGGACAGCTACGCGCAATTCCTGGTGGGCAAGGCAGTCGTCTACTTCGCCGGTGGCATCGCTTCGACAGTCATTCCGGTCTACCAAGGAGAGTGCGCACCTCAGCACCTCCGAGGAATGATGACGAGTCTATACAATGCCTTCCTGATGGTAGGCGGCTTTTGTGCCGCCCTTATCGTCTACCTCTGTCGCCATGTGCCGAGCGACTGGGCCTGGCGTAGTGTCGTGGTGGCGCAAGTAGCTATTCCCGCCATGGGGTGGCTGAGCCTGCCCTTCCTTCCTGAATCCCCATACTGGCTACTTCGCCGTGGCCGTCGTGCTGCCGCCATCACCAGCCTGCGCCGGCTGCATGCCCTGGATGCCGCTGCCGCTGAGGCCGAAATCATTTCCATCGAACAACAACTCGCACTGCAGCAACAGCAACAACAAGAGAAGGAGCTCGGATCCTGGATGGCCTGCTTCACAGACCCCATCCACTTCCGTCGGACTCTCATCGCTGTGGGCGCGCAGATCTTCCAGCAGGCCCAGGGAATCTCCTTCGTGGCCAACTATCAGGCCGTTTTTCTGGAACAGGTCGGATTCCGCCAGGTCCTCTTAATGTCGGTGATTGTCTATATCATCGGCATAGTCGGCAATCTGACGGGGATGTTCATGGCTGACCGCCTGGGTCGTCGTAACGTGCTCCTCCCGGCATCCGGCCTCCTCGGATCTTGTATGCTGACCATTGGCGGCCTCACCACCCCCTCCACATCCTCATCTTCCCTCTCCATCGCGGTGGTGGTCATGCTCATGCTTTGTCTTTACCTTCCAGAGCACATGGGGTCCGTTGGCCTGGGCAATCACCGCCGAAATCCCACCCACAGGGACCGCCGTCCGCGAGAAGATGGTTACGCTGGCGGGGTTTTCGGCGTACGGCACCGGATTGATCATCGTCTTTGTGAATCCCTACACTCAGTCCGCTATTGGGGGTAAGGTAGCCTTCATCTACGGCGCACTGTCCGTTGTCGCGGCGGCATTTGTGTGGCTGTTCGTACCGGAGACCAATCGGCGTTCGTTGGAGGAGATTGACGAGATGTTCGTCGCCCGAGTGCCACCGCGTGAGTTCGGGATCTATCAGTGCCAGAGCGGTGCATTCGATGCAGAGAAAACCGTGGATGGAAAAACATCAGTGGATGAAGAATGTGTCTGAATGAATGGTTCAACATGATATTGGGAATGGATAGAGGCTAATAGTTATTGTAACCACAATATCACGAAGAAGATCATTGATGCAAACTGTTTTGCGTCGAACTGCCAGCACAGTAATAGCTGAGCGACTCACATATTAGTTTGGAACTACTCATGGGATTCAGAGAATGATTTTTATCAGTCTGTCTTCATTATTGATGAATTCACTCGATTTAATTGACATAGTTATTTCCCCTAACACCGGGACTCCCACGCAGACCCTGTCAAACAAGGATTCAGAACATTTCATACAACCCCACTCATTCACTGGATTCGGGTCGCAGCGTAAGCGCTGTGCGCGCGTATGCGACTTCCCAGACGGAAAAACAACCAAGGCAGAGGTGCAAAAGCAGCGGCCAAGAACCCCAACAAGCTAGATGCCCAGCTATAGCCCAAGTTATGGTACACTAGAGGTGCGAGGCTCTTTTAGTGACTGACTAGGGAGTGAATTTGTACGAGTGACCTACTGGCTACCGTAAAAAGAGGAAATGAGCCGCCAATGCCGTATCTCAGTAAGCCATTAGCGGCCAGCGCAGAAGCTCCGAACTTGGCCCCATACACCCGGGTGAGGTAGAGAGCAGTCGATACCTTGCGACAGGCAATAGCGTCAGCGTCCGGGTTTCAATGTTGAGTGAGACGAGGATATGCCAACTTACGAATACCATAATATTGGAGCAGCCAAAAAGACCGATCGCGACGATGCTGCTCATCCAGTGTACATGACTAGTCGAGGTCCAGGCAAACCAAAACAGAGCAACTGGCATCAACGGGCCGCCAATCATGGCAGCCCACAAGACGCGCTCTGGGGGCGGGGCGATTCCTCCTCCCGGATGAAGCCGGAGATGCCGCGCCATTGTATAGTGGTCCGCCACCAGCAGCCCGACACTTCCAAGCAGACAACCCAGGGCCAACGCAATAAAGACCAGTCCGCATTGGCCCGGGGTGAAGCCGTACACATCGGTGTAAACGAGCGGAACACAGGCAAGGAAACAGAACAAGACAGAGAAGTTAAGGGAGGAATACATCGAGCACAAACTCACAATTGGCTCGGTGAAGATCATGTACACTGGTCGTGCTAAAGTCACCGTGAGCATCATCTGGATCCCAGCCACACCCGGTGGAATTGGGCTGGGAGGGACTGGAAGTCCAAGCTTGGCAGCACGGCGACGGATCAGGGGTTGGGCATAGGACTCCTGGGCCCCCATGCTGAAGATCCAAAAGGCTGCCCCGAGAAATAGCGTTGTCCACTGCGACCAGCGCCAGTCCTTGTACTGGGCGATCCAACCCCCAATCAGCGATCCGATGGCCGGGCCCAGGAAGGCAGTGGTCATGAGTAGGGTGACACCGCGCCCGGTAGCTTGTCCACTCCACACGTCCATGATTGTGCCCGCCCCGACGGCCAAGGGCGCTGAGATGAACATCCCCGCTAGCAGACGACACACAGCGAGAGTAGCTAGGTTGTGAGCGAAACCAGCCCCGAGGATAAAGAACATAGCAATGGGCGTCATGACGAGGTAGATGAAGCGACGACCGTAGGTCTCACTGATGGGCGCTGCAATCATGGGCCCGAATGCCAGGCCATAGACGTACATGGCGAAGGGCACCAGAGATTTGGTAGTCGAGGTGTGGAAGGCCTCTTGAACATGGCTGTGGGAGGGAGAGTAGATAGCCAGCGCGAACGATCTATCAACATTGCAATGTTAGGATTAGTATCAGTAGTCTATGGAAGGCGTCTTCGTCTCCGCGTACGTGAACTCACATCAACAGACACAGAAGCGACGGCACAGCAGTATTGTAAATCTTTTTGAAACGACCCCAGTTCTGAGCATTAGCGGGATCATCATCCCATAGGGGCAGTGATGATGAGGGTAGAGCGACCGTCTTGGGTTCACTGATGTCCGAGCTGCTGGATCGCATGATGGCTATGGCGGTCGCATTTGATCTGCTTCATCATCTTAAGCAAAACGACACTCGATCGCTTTATAGAAAGACAAGGTCCGGAAATGTCGGATGCTTTCGGTGGGGGCTCCCATCAACTATCGATCATCTCAATGCATGTCTAGTTGATATGCTTTGTTGGACATGATCTTTGGTTCGCCGATGCTGTTTGAAACCCCTTCCCCCAGGGATTATTCCACAATTCGAGTGGTCCGGTACTCGGGATCTAGAAATGCTTCATCGACACTCTCTATCTGAATTATTTGCTTTATTGCCAATTCGGCGTAAAATTGGAACAACTTCATTCTAACTTGAGCTCTAATCAAGAGTTGATGCCCTGGTGTGACGGGTTAAATCGGCGTCTGCCTGTCCGGGGGGCCCCGGGGAAGGATCCACTATTTCGGCGAGCCTAAAATTCTTAGAGCCATGAGATGGTCTTTATCCGACCTCCGTATTTACATGCTGTCCCCTAATTCGACGCCATCGCCTCGCTCTTCTCCTTCAGCACTTTCTGTACCTCTGGTCTCGCCCTCATTCTCTGCATCCACGCCTCCACATGGGGAAATTGCTCGGTCAATTCCTGTACCACGCGCTGGTCCCCAACCACCAACGGCACTAAATCCTGCCAGGGGACAAAGGAGAGGTCTGCATACGTGCACTTGTCGCCCACGAGCCATTCGCGGTCCGTCAACACTTGGTCTAGCACGCTCATGACGCGCCGGATCTCCGCCGTGTAGCGTTCGATGGCCTGGGGCACCTGCTCGGGCTGCCGCCGGAACCAGCCTAGCTGTCCGTAGTACGGCCCTTGCCCGGACACTTGGAAATGCAGCCATTGTTGCAGCTGGTGGCGTTCAGGAAAGGTGTCATAGCTCAGCTGGTGGCTCTGATCGTAGGTCTCAATCAGGTAGTTCACAATGGCGCCTGATTCCCACAGGGTGATGTTCTTGTTGGGATCCACGATGGTTGGCAGCCGTCCATTGGGACAGAGGCTCACGTAGGGCTCCTTTTTCACCTCGGTGAAGTCAATCATGATCATTTCGTAGGGGATGTGCAGAGCAGAGAGGATGATGGCGACCTTCCACGGATTAGGCCCGATAGGGTGCGAATAGAGAGTGATGGGTTGCATGGTCTTTGCGGTTTTTGCTTGGAGGAACCGTGTTGGGGGCCCGGAAGGAATGGAAGGCTGTATTTGCTTGTCTGAGGTCTTGGGAGACTTTCTGTGGCCTCGATCTATCAAGACCGACCCTATATAGTGCCGGGAAGGATGGAAGGCTGCAGGCTGCATGGTGGGTCGCCGTCGCCGAATTTGCAATCATTTCGGCGACTTCGTTCCTCTTTGCTTATCTCATACTTTCTTGTAATGAGATCCTAGGGCCATTCTAGATTTGTTTTTCAAGGGTAGGTTGAATGTCCCACTTCAGGATATCACTTTAGTTGATTGGTAAAGTCTATATATGATCGACAAACGAAGAAGAGGACGACAAGTCCACTTCCGCTGGAATCGAGGTCCTGATGAACATAAAGACGTTTAACAAATCAGTAGCCAACTGGCAAATTGAGTGGACTAATGGAGACTCCGACTGATTTGTTGAGATCTGTTGGCCGGTCGTGGCTAAAACAATCAGATAGGACTGGAGTTGTACAGTTCGGGTTAGAAGTCGGCATTCCTCGCGATCATAAGGCCTTTATATATATGAGATTCCTTTCTCCGGTTGCTTGATCGATGCTAGTTGTATGATAGAGAAACTTCGAATCCTCCTTAAGCTTACTGCTAAGAATGAAAGAGATGTGTTTGTCTGGCTTCCGCGACAGGTAGGCTGTGCAGCTACTAGCTGAGACTATATATAACTGTTGAACTGAATGACGAACAGGGTTACGCAATTGGCCCGCTGAACTGGAGAAAGATACTGAAAATATTCTCGCTTTTGATTGTTTACCCAGAATATCTTGATGGCAGGAAAGGCAAAGACAGATACTTAGATAAATGAAAAATCTCGACCGTGTTGCACATTTGCAAACCATGTGTGGCTTATACTTTCTGCGCCACCCCCAAGAGTGGCGGAGGTGGCTGGTGCAGTTGGGGGAATGAGTCAAAAAGAAGAAAAAGAAGTTGAATGGACCTTCGCAGAACAAAACCAACTTAGAATAAAACACCATCAACATCCACCATCATCATGCCGTATCAGCTCGTCATTTTTGACTTTGACGGCACCCTGTTCGACACTTACGATGCCATCGAGTACTCCATCCAGTTGACCTTCCAGCGCCTCCTGCCCTCCCATCCTCCGCCTTCGTCCAGCGATATTCGCCCGCTTGTCTCCACCGGTGCGCCTCCCGGGGACACCTTTCGCAGTCTACACCCCGATCCCACCACCTTCGACGAATCCCTTTGGGTCCCCACCTACCGCGAGCTGTATGCCATCCATGGCCAATCCCGTACAACTCCCTATCCCGCCGCTCGCGACGTCCTACAAGCCTTGCACGACCGGAATCAACCCATGGCCATCATTAGCAACAAAGCTGCGGTGGCAGTGAAGGCGGCCTTAGAGAAGACCGACCTGCTTCAGTACTTTCCAGACTCCCTCATTCTGGGTCATGGTGTGGCCGGCGTGCAGCGCAAGCCTGATCCGTCCAGCTTCACGGACGTGCTCTGGCCGAACTGGAACGCCCTCGGGGCGCCCGATGGGGTGGATGCGGAGCGCGTGCTGATGGTCGGGGACACCTTGACGGACATTCTGTACGCAAGGAACATTGGCGCCCAGGTGTGCTGGTGTCGGTACGGCCAGGGTGATGTGGAGGAGTGCGAACGGCTGCAACCGGATCATACAGCGGAGACATTAGAGGATGTGCTCAAGATCGTGGAGAGCAGGTCGTGACTGGCGAGAAACGGTCTGGCATCTCACTCATGACATGGGACGATGGTGTAGGCAACTCTTTTCACGCGATGCGTATAGACATAGATGCACATAGACCTATTGCTCGTCTCAGTTCCCTGATACTGGGGATCAAGGCGTCTCACACCTCCCCCTTCCACCAGCATACTGGTCTGGAATTTCCGGGAGAGTATCAATCCCGCGTACGCCGTCTAACCTACTGACTGGTGCGCGTAACTGCGTCGTTGAAAAGATTTCCGGTCCGTGTAGGTGCCAGTCTAGTAGTAAATTAGAGTAGTCTTCCCCTGCCGGCAGCTAGGAGGCAACGGCCTGGTGTGAGCCCCAACTTCCCCCTTTCCTCTCCAGCATGCCTGGTCATTTCGCTATCCAAGCGTTGTCCACTCGTTTAATGCCTGCAACCCTAGTTTCCGCACATCTCTATTCCACGTTGTCCACGAGCACAGCTTGATGGTTCTTAAACCGCGGGGGCATCTCACATTTCCGGCTGGGTCTCCACAGAGGGATTTTGACACGGGAAAGTTCTATTTCCCCAGCTTTACATCACCTGTGTGGTGAGAGACTCAGGAGTCATGCAGTTCAATGGGCATACTGAATTCCACTCAATTCCTCGCCTCCGTGTCAACTTACCATATGCAATATGACGTCATATTCCTGGTTTGCCGGTGCGGGGGAAATCCACGAGTATCAGGAACCATCTGACCGTTGTTGTTGTTGTCAGTGCGTCCTCATACCAAGTTCTTGTTAGCTTCCTACATACTTCTTGATATCTCCACCATTGGATCTACAACAGTATGGCCTTTGCGCGTCGGCTCGCCATCCTTCCCGGTGGCCTAGGTAGGCATTGACTCCACCCCCGTTACATTCCCGTGCTGGGTATTGACTGCCTGTCCCCGAGTAAGGCGGCCTGGGCTCGAGTATCGGCAAGAAGCTCCGCCAACAAGGTGCTCGCCTAGCTATTCTGTATGCCCCCTTCGAGGCTGCCCGACGCGATGAGCTGCTAGAGGCTGGTTACGGCGAGCTGCCCGCACGCGAGGAAATCAGAACGTATGAATGCGACATCACAAACCCCGAGGCTGTCCAGTCCGTCTTCACCACCCTGAAGGAGGAGGTTCTCACCCCATCATCGACGACGCAGTCTGCCCGTGCCTTTCCCAGTATCTTGATTAATACGGCGGGCTATGTGTCGCTCAGTGATTTGGAGCTCACCCCGCCGGAAGAAACGCTAAAGCATCTGCATACCAATGTCCTGGGCCCCATGCTGTGCTCGCAGGCCTTTGCGCGCTTGTACTTGTCCGCCGCTGAGGTAGCTCATTCGTCACCCAACCCGCCGCCTCCGGGTCGCATCGTCAACCTGGCCTCTCAAGCCGCGCATGTGGCCCTCCATCGCCACGGAGCCTATTGTGCCTCCAAGGCAGCCCTGTTGGGGCTAACGCGCAGTATGGCTTCTGAATGGGGCGGCCGCGGCATTACGGCGAACAGCGTATCTCCGACGGTGGCCTGGACCGCTCTGGGACAGAAGGCTTGGGGGCAGGATGACGTGCGGGAGGCTTTCTTGAAAACGATCCCGACGGGCAAGTTTGCGCAGCCAGACGAGGTTGCGGATGCGGTTCTCTTTCTCTGTCAGGTATGCAATTGAACTATCGACCGAGGAGTGTTTGCGTTACATTCTAATTGGCGAAACAGGACTCAAGTGGTATGATTAACGGAGCGGACATTCGCGTAGACGGCGGCTTTACCATCAGGTAATCTCTGGACCGGTATTGAACCTTTACAAGTTGAGAGATCCACTATGTGATAGATGACTGATAGTTAATATGCTCCCTGGCTCTATGGTGCCCCCAAAGGTAGTAGTCACGGCTGCCAGGACGGTGTAGTAGCTGATGGGCAGAGGAGGCCTTTGGTATCTGGTGCTATATTGAGCATAATCAAGAATAATTCGGACATAGAGGTACCTATAAAACATGCTTGAAGACCCCTTTCATACATGCGAGTAGCGCTATGAAGTTTACTTTTCTCCATTATCTAGCCATGGCGGAAAAAAGTGAATAATAGAAACTGGCACCATACGTGAGCTTAGGCCTAGTTGCAAAGATCCAGGAATGTCAGGATTGACAGTCCCTACAATGGCACAACTGTGATATCAATAGCGCACTCCAGATGCCGCAAAGCTCCCCAAAAGAGCTACTTATCTCTCCATCACGCCGAACGGACCAACCACGTCCAAAGCATCTGGATTCTTAGATGTTAGATGTCGATGGCGGTAAATTCGCCCACACTTGGTACGGGAGTTTCTCTTCACTTTTGTTTTTCGCCAGTCTGTAAGCAAGCTAGTGAAATTGCGATGCCTCCCGTGAATGAGGGCGGAATGAGGGCGGTAGTGACCCATGGAACGGCGACAACAGGTAGTTTCTATTCCTGCGACGTCCTACCGCTGACTGGTTAGAGATAAGATTTTCGGCTGAAACCTTGGATCGTATCAGTTGGCCCGTTCGTCCAGCTGGTCCAGTCGCTGCCCTGGAGTCAGCCGCCGGACGAGGCCCGAAGTGACTCAATCCGGGTTAGCTACACGAGCTCGAGGAACCAAAGCAGCAGCGCGCTGCACTGTCGCTGCATTTAAGCCACTTTTCCAATCGATACTGTTTATTTCGGCGACAATTTCCGGGCCACATACAATGGACATAGTAACAATTCTTTCACCCTTTAGCAGTCATAGGAAACCGCGCGTGTCCTGAACTGTGGACGGGGTGACAGAATTTTCACAACAAGGTTTCCGGCTCCGATCTGAATCCCGTGTCTTTGGAACGGTGCCACACGTTGGCCCGTCCCAGAGTGGATTTATTAACACGAGCGTGTCAATACGCCTCTTTCCTTGGCTATGAGGATTATGCGCACAGCTACACCCTCACTACACGCAATATTCAGCTGCCCAAGTTAGGGACCCAGTAGAGGGCACTATTCTCTTACAGCAAATCAAACTTTAGGGGAAAAAAACGACGTATCCCTTCAGTAGATCACACCCCGAGGACGACACCAAGAATAAGGCAGCTCAAAGGACCAGAATCTCTCTTTTCCCTCGCCCAATTGATCGCCGCGATCGGCCCTGGAGCCACGGGAGCCTCAGACATGGAAGCATGCATGGAAACCTGAGGGAAACCCTTCCAGCAATCGTATGCACGCGCGAAATATCCTCTTTGAGAACCAGGTGGGCCCTGCCTAGGCTTCAAGGGCGCTTCGGGAAACCGGAGGTCTGCGTGTCAGGAGTGGCATAGGAGCTCGTGCAGCAGTATTAACAAGACACAGCTCCCAGTAGTTGCCTATGTCCCTCTCCACGTAATGAAAGTTCACCTCTCTCATTGAACGGCTTTAGACCCTGCCGGCTTGGCATTGGTTGTCCTCCTGTTGGCTCTATCAAGTGTCGACAGCTCAGCTGCAACAAACCATAGGAATTGGGCACTTGGGATACCTTGTACTACACCAGTACCTTGACAGGAGACACCCTGTACTCCTCTAAAGAAGCATTTCTTCCTTTGCAAAATGGTTTCCAGCGTTAACACTTGGGTGTGGTTCGCGGTAGTGCTGCTAGTCAGTAAGTGATCGTCAGGGAACAACGGCGTGACAGGATGTTAATCAGTGCTGATCGCCTATCGTGACAGCCCTACTGCGCTATATCTCCCGGACCTTGCAGATGGGAGTGCCCCGCAATCTTCAACTTGAAGACCTGATGATGTGCTTTACTGTCGTACGCATGACCTCCACACTGACAACAAATTAACGGCGCAATGACTGACAGCGATATCAGGTCTTCTACATCTTGCTGACCGTCTTCCTACTTGAAGTGCACAAACATGGCACCAACGAGATTCCCCCAGACCAATTTAATAGCATCGATCCCTCCTCCATCCCAGATCGTATCACAGGTAGCAAGCTGGTCATTGTGGTGGAGCAGATGTGGCTAGCCACCATCTGGGGGTGTAAGGCTTGCCTGCTTTTGTTGTACTCGACCATGACGTAGGTTCGCCTCACGGTTGATTTGAACATGGCATCTGATTATCTTCTAGATCCGGACTCTCGCAGCATCGAATCGTCAAGATCATCGGTGCCTTCTGTGCCCTTAGCTTCGTCATTGTGGAAATCTTATTCTTTGCCGCCTGGTGTCGTCCCTTTGCCGCATACTGGTCCGTACCGCCGAAAAACCTTCAGTGTTCCGTCTATCGCAATCACTTGATTCTGGTACTCACTCTCAATATCTCAACCGACTTGATGATCATGGCCATCCCGCTACCCCTGCTGGTGAAGGCGAAACTGAGTCTGGCCAAGAAGGTCACCCTGTGCGCGGTTTTCTCGCTGGGTGCCTTTGTGATTCTGTGCTCCATTCTGTCCAAATACTACTCCCTGTCCAATCCATATGGTGGTCAATGGGTGGATTGGTACGTCCGCGAGGCTGCCACGGCAGTGATCGTTGCCAACATCCCTCAAACCTGGACCTTGTTTCGCCGACTGTTCAACTGGCGGGCATTTTTGGTCCACTCCTCCTACGATCGCAGCCATGGCAAATACACCAGCCGCATGGACGGCTCAACCATCCATCTGTCGCGGTTCCGCGCTGGCGACAAGTCGCAGGGCCGGTCTACGATCGATCCAACCGAATCTGGCGAGTATATCGCTCGAGAGCAGCCGTTGGAAATTTGGGAGCACCGCCAATTTCAAGTCACGAATGAACCCGAGGAGCTGCGGAAAAGCAGCAGCCTGAGCCAGACCAGTAGTGGTAGCGTGGAATTCGACACGACCGGGTATCAGACGCAGCAGTCGCGGACAATTGTGACAGCAACTGAATAATTAGGTGTGATCTTCGGTCACCGGGTATATAAAAGCTATTTGTGTATCATCTAATTATAATGAATCTAAGATGCCCTCTGCCGAGTCATCTCTTCATACTCCCAATATCTTCCCAATTGAGTAATGCTAGCTAAACCTAAATAGGAATAGTAATTTGAGATTAAAAGGTTCTGACCAACCATCAGAATCGTTCAATATCCACTCATAAGCACTAACTGCTTCCTGCTTAGTGCGAGAGTCAGCTGCAGGGGCCAGGGACCGTTTGCCAAATCGGGAAATCGTGTATAGCCTCCAGGATCATGGCGGCAAATATCACAATGCTAGAAGGCATGAAAACCTCTCACTTTTGCACTGTTTCATTCGCCCAAAACTCCGCTGGAAATGCATAAAAGGCGAATTGATCCCACAGCCTCTTTGACTCCCATCTTCCATACCATCATCACTCATTCACAATGTCCCAATCTGATTCCTCTCTCAGCCTTCAAGGCAAAGTAGCCATCGTTACCGGATCTGGTAAACGAGAGGCATTGGTGCCGCAATTGCCACTCTCCTGGCCCACCACGGTGCAGCGGTTATCCTCAACTATGTCTCACCGTCCACAGGCCCTTCCGCTGCCACCGTGGCGCAGAGCATCACCGCGGCGGGCGGACAGGCCCTGGCCGTACAGGCGGACATCTCCCGACCTGACGAAGCAGAGAGGCTTGTGCAAGCAGCAGTCAATGCCTTTGGAAGGCTTGATATCCTAGGTTTGTCCACGTACACCTCCGCCTCCCTGGCTTGGACGCTTGCTGACGAGGACCAGTCAACAACGCGGCTACTGGCACTCCGGGACCGGTACTCCGCGCTGCGCCCGAAGCTCTTGCGACCACCTTTGCTGTCAATGTCTTTGGTCCAATCTACCTCATCCAGGAAGCAGTGAAGCACATGCCGCCACGCAGTCGAGTCATCAACATCGGATCGGTGGCGTCCAAGTTGGGCATTTCAGGATCGCCAGTCTATAGCGCTTCAAAGGCGGCGATGGATGCGCTGACATTTTCCATGGCAATGGAGGTACGCTGAACTCTGCAGCAGGAACCCACGTGGGAATTGTGCTAATTGCTGTCTAGCTTGGTCGCAATCATGGCGGCATAACCATCAACACAGTTTCCCCCGGTCCGGTAGATACAGATGGTCTGCCGCCTCAGGTGGCGGAAAAGATCAACAAGACAATGGTTCCCATGAGCCGAGTCGAGGAGCGATTGGGAACCGTGCAGGATATCGCGGACGCAGTGCTGTTGTTGTGCTCGGAGAAGAGTCGCTGGATCTCCGGACAGGTCATTTCCGTCAGTGGTGGAATTGTGGGTGGCTAGGATGCGATGGCTATGAACATGAGGATGTCTTGAGCACTGGGAGAAAAGGATGATAGGCATCCAGAATGTTAATGGACAGGATACTTTCGACAAGATCAGTTCCTTCCTTGCTACCCATGCCGAGAAGGTCCAGCAAGGACCGGATATCGTCAAGGTACAACCCTGGCTGGGTAGAATGAGAAAGTCGAGACACTGTTACAAGAACCCAGAGATGCAGTTTCAGACAAGAGTCGTTGTAGTCGGTTCTCTCCATCTGTGGAATAAGCGTTGATAACTTCCACTGCAGATATTGGCGTTCGTGAGCGGTAAAGAGGAAGATATCTTGCTTCATTGTGGCAAGAAAAAGTAATAGCACCAGCCGAAGTGCTTCGCGGAGTTGCAGGATTGGGTTTTCTGTTGCAACTAAATCCAACTCGGTTGGCCTCGACATGGAAAGCAGGAAATGTGTGGCTGGGCCAAACAGTTCAATGACAGTGAGGTTATCCTCGTTTACCCAGGCTGTCTCGGAACGACAAAGGGACCCGGCAGTGTATTGGACAATGGAGCTCGCATAACTGAAGGCAGCCGCGACGTCACGGAAGCAATCGTATCTTGCAGTAAGGTCCCTTAGAAGGCTTCTCAGAGTGGGAGACAGCATATCGGGAATTCGAGCCGCATACCCCGGCGGAGTAGGCAACCGAGGGCGGGAGTCTTCCATCACGCTGCCCACAACATCAAGCCTGACGCCGAACAGTTAGCCAATGGATGTATGACGGGACGAGAGGATGTAAGGGGTTACCAAATGGCAAAGCGCGTGACACTGTCGTCTAGGCCCCGGTATCCACCCCTCAGGTGGAGGATACGGCCCAGGCCACTGATATGAATTTTCCAGCGATCTAACGTACCAACATAGAGCTATCTGTCGTTTAGCATTCATTCAGCGGTAGGGTGAGAAGATTGACAAACATCGTGACAGGTCAGGCCCAATATGGCCGTGATGACCCCTTGGCTAAGACTCTCACGGGTATCTGCCAGCCGGTGTGTGACCTGCCGAACGCATTGTCCGTAGTAACTCAGACACTCCGTACTGGTCGCATACTGATAACCCTGGGCCCGCAGGCGTTGATCGAGAAACATGGCAGCATTAGCCAAGGCCACCAGGATGGCAGTGGCGTCAGTTAATGCCATGGAGAACCAGACGGTCCGGAACGGACGGAACACGTAGTCGCGGTCCGTAGTCACTACGCAGGTTAGATAGGCAAACTCAAGGAGGCTCCGGTAATTACAGGGGCATACTGAAGTGCATGAGCTGTAGCGCTCGGTCGCTCATAGGGAATAGGATAAAATGTCGTATTACATGGGTCAATCGGCGCTGGAATGTGTTCTGTCACTGGATCTGACGGGGCTCTCAGGGCCACAGACCAAGTTCGTTGCTCCGGGCGTGTACGACGTGATCTCCCAATGTCGCGCATGACATGGCGTCGGATGGTGCGCTGCGTTGAAGCAGACTTGATCTCATCGGGGCGCGAGATATTTACGAAGACGAAATCGTCCTCTACCGGGGGAGACAGCTTCATCGGGGCAGATAGTTCAATCGGATTGACTCAGAAGGATATCTGCGAGAATGCGAAACAGTCTGGAGACGGGGGAGTTCAAGGGGCCAGATAGTTATTCCATGTTATGCACATCAGTTAGTAATCAGACTGCATAACCGGTGCATCAGCTCCGTTGTCGAAGGATCAAAACTCTATCGAGCCCAGAAGCCCCGGAAAGAGGGGTGATTCCTCAGCAAACACCGCAAAGGAGTCATCGTCCGTGCGATGATCGAAGCCTGGCCACAGGATTCCTGCATCAAAGCCGACCGAAGGCAACTTTGCTGGGTCTGCTCGGGTCCCCCAGCACAGAGGACATTCATGGGCATTGTGCACATCACTAGACGACCAGTTACCCCCATTCACCGGCCGACCTGCGGCCCACGGATAATCCTCCGTAGTCATCTCAATAAGCATGCGCATAATGTCTTTGTTGATGACGATGGCCGTCACCCGGGGCAAGTACCCCTGAATCGTGTCTGCCGAGGACACCGAGATGTGGCTTGCTTCGCCATTATCAGGAGACCAATAGACCGGGATGCTGTCCGCCAAGAGATCAAAGATATCCCGCAATGGTTCGGCTTCAGTCCACCGCTCGGACAGGACTGCCAAGATCACGGAGCACGTCCGAATGGCAGTGCCAATCTTTGGTGACTGAATTTCGACGGATCGATGCGATGGTGGCACCACCCATAGGCAGTATAACAGCGTAATCCCTATACCAAACTGACTAAGCAGCTAAGAAGGGTTTCAGTTGCTGTTCTAGAGATCGTGCGGGGGATGGTTACTCACACCCGGCCATAGTTGAGCCGTCTGACGGCTCTTGAGATACTTCCAGAATGTCAGTGCAATGTCGGTACAAGCTCTAATGCAATGCTCCATGACCAAGCCACTCATGTTCGCTTTCGTAGGCCGGTAAAGGAGTAGCACTGTATAGTTGTACAGCATGCCTACCCATCCTTCGCTGGTGTAGCCCTTAGAGAGAGGGTCGCTATGGGGTTCCAGCTGCGCTTTCCAGTCATTGAGCACCTCAAGCATATGAAGACGCCATTGATGAGATCCAGCAAATCGCTGATCGTAATCCGCCCGCATCATGATGCTCAAGATGCGGGATTGAATTCTCCTCCCGCGAATCAGGTGAAGAGCGGACGACACTTGGGTCCTGCGCGGGGTGGACTCGTCCAGATCCGGCCGATCAGCCCGGGCTTGCCATTCTTTTATCTCATCGTCGTTCATGTTCGCAAAAGGCTGATTCATTAAGTCAGTTCCTCCAATTCAATATTCTGCGAGCGAGATCTCACCTCAACTTGGATGTCTTCGTCCACGAGACTGCACGGGACATGATAAACCCAACTGACCAGGCGATCAATCGCGTAAGCAGACCAGAACACACGGCGCCGGATCTGCCTCTCACAGAGCAGTTCTTGCGGTTGGTGTTCTACTGCTGATAAATGCAACTGTGCAATCACGCAGCAACGCACGGCTGCAGAAATCATTGTCAAAACCGTTTGCGAAGAAGGCGAGTGAAGTGCATGCAGCGTGCACAGTAAGTAGGCTTGCGCATGCAATACAGGGTCAAGACAAGCGAATACAGCATCTAGAGATGATGCAGCGGAGGAATATAGAGCCTGTGATCTTCAGCGGGGGCGTGATGTGATTTGACGGTACTCCTACCTGAGAAACTTTCATATCTCGGGTTGATACTCGAGGTGCGATCAAAAGGCTAACGGCAAGTGCCTGGCGCTAGCTGTCAGCTTATGTTGCATGGTCTTCGCAAATGACCAACCATCTTGATGAAGAATGCTTTCCACTGCTCTTCCGGCGGCAGAGGCACGCCCAAGTTCCTGGACGCTTTCCATGCATCGTACCAGGCGATGAAGGTTTCTTCGTGGAGAAAGGGATAGCGCGGGTTCACGCGCTTTAGGAAGATTTGGATCAGCTCATCCTGGGTCTGTGACGAGATCTCCGTCTCATAGTTGGTCCCTTCCAGTGACCCCGATTGTGGCGTGTGAAGGGGGGGAAGTATGGTAATAGAAGGGGTACTCCCAGCTTGGGTGCCTTCGCCATCACCCGGGCCATGGGATGAGAGACGAATTGCTGGGAATGTTGCTTCTTCAGTCTGGGCTCGGGTTATTCGTCCTTGCGGCGGTTCGAGTGACTCTGTCGGATGCACGTCTGTCTTCCTCAGGCCTGGAGTTGGGCCCGGCTCGAGAGTAGGATCAGTGGAACCATGTTGTTGGGACTCTAGTTCGATGATCCGCTCCTCCAGAGCACGGGCATATCTAATGTGGTCAGAAGCAATAATCCCTGGCTATCAACCTGATGAGGGAGCAGCTCACTCCGGATTGACGCGGCTCTTCCTAGCTGGTCGTTGACTAGGTACACAGGCTGATGTATGTCAGTTGCGACAGAAGATCAAAGGGACTAGTACCATTAAGAGAGATTTACCTGCTTGTGCCTGTACACAGTTGGTGCATGGTCGAGGCCGGCTGCACTATACAGTAGCCCTTACATTAGCCGGTATCATTGTGTTGGCAATGTTGGGGGCAACATGCTTTCTGTTTGCGAATACGGCAGCGTCGGCAGGCCAACCGAGGTGAAGGTGCCGGACTGGGCGTCATATCAGGTCCTGAAGATGGTGTGTACCCGTGACTTCAAGAGTTACTACATGTCATTGGCCCTCAAAGAATGAAGTTTTATGATAGTAGTAGATGATTCAGAAGAAGGTGATTGATCGATGGATTGATTGGTACCAAAAACACCAGTCAAATGCCCCGAATCGGGTAAGCTTCAGCTGATGTAATGGCTGACTAAGTGTACTGCCTCAGGCTTCCTTTCAGGCTTGCCTTTTTGGGAGATAATCTCTATGGATTGTGAAGATCAGAATGTTTGACATCTCATCTTATTCGACTCAGGATCTACTCCATTTCAGGGGTACTCCTCCTAACACTTATTAGGTACATTTCTCTTAGTTATATACATCAGGCTCATTACACGTCACTGCCAGCTTACAGTGGCGGAGGGTTCAGGTCCAGCCCATCTACTGTCAGCTTGAAGGAGTCATTGCGTGAGTAACTCCCCGCCACGTCCAGATCTAACCGGCCGCGCTCACAATCCTCCATATCAATCTCCGTGATAGACAGTGCGGCTGCCATTGCTGGATCATTTGGATCACTGGCGTCAGTCACATCATCTGTGCTCACTTCCCAGATGGGGTCACTGAGGACTTCTCCCAGGGGACCGACAATGCAGGAGCCGCCCCGACACACATAGTCATCACCATTGTGTTTGTCCTGGGAGTTGGCCGTGATCCGTCCAGGCAGTTCCCGGCGTCGCACACATTGGTTGGCGGATAAAACGAACGTACGGCCTTCTCCGGCCACTGTGCGCATCAACGGCAGCCAGGTATCGCGGGCATCGGCCGTCGGGGCTAGATAGAGGTTGACATTCTGAGAGTACAGGCTCTGTCGAAGCATCGGCATGTAATTCTCCCAGCAGATTGCGGCCCCGATGGTCAGCCGAACCCCATTAAGTTCAGTGGTGACAGCCTTGAGGGTGGAAGGGGATCCTTGAGCCCAGATCAGACGCTCCGAGGCCGTCTGTGAGTCACCAATTAGCTTGATCAACATAATCTTCTCAGAACGACTCCTTGCCACTCACCGGCATGACCTTCCGCCGCTTGCCCAAGGCGCCATCGCGCGGATCGACATAGATAGCGGAACAATACAGGCTACCCCCGGCGCGCTCAATGACGCCACACACGATGAACACACCAGTTTCGCGGGAGATTTTCTCCAGCGCCTCTCGGGTGCCATCCCCGCGGTATTCCTTGCCTCGCGGAAGAGGCAATCTACGGTTCACCCAGTCGTCCCCAGCTCCCGTGGGGGTGTCACCCAAGTCGACCGCCGCATGGAAGTATTCGAGGAATTGGTCGCGCCCATGAGCGCCACGGGCACCTACAGCTGTGCCAAAGTCACAGGTTCTGGGATAGCCCCCAAGATATGCCTCGGGAAAGAGAATCAAGTGCACCCCGCGGGCCGCAGCATGGCGAGTCACTCGCTCCAGAGCCGCCAAGGTGGCTGCTAGGGTGGACTGGGTGCTGGCTTGCGCCACCGCGACCGTGAGCTTCTGCGGCATATCGGATTCTAAAGAATACCAAAGAATGGAAAGGGAATTTATAGGTGATGGGGAAGAAGAGAAGCTGCAGATGATACGTGCAGAAAGTCTAAATGCCCTCCCTCCTCTCGTGCGGGGAAGACAAAGACTAACTTAATATACTCCGTCGGATATTGCGGGCCGGTCGGACCTTCAATCGGCGATTGCCATCCGAACACAAGACCCAGAAGTTCCAACCCGCAGTCCATAGAATATAACAACCAGATATCATTGCTTGAAGAGCTTGGATGCTACTCCTCTGATGATTATTTACACGGGGATATTCTGCCCTAGCATCGCCCCTGCTCGGCAGTATATTTCCCTCTAAGCAATCTCCGTTACTCGATATTGACCAGTAATGATGCTGGACCCATTCGCCTGGCTGATGCTCTCGACATTGGAATCCCCCGTTAGTGTCCAAGTACTGCTGGAATCCAGATACACGGATGCAGACCCCGTCGTGTTCGCCTCGTTCAGCGCGCCTGTCCAACTTGACCCGATCAGGTACAAATTGATCGCGCTGATGTCATCCACGTAGATGTCGCCGATGACATCAATCCCCGTGAGATACACATGGGCAGTGCCGCCGTTCTCCCCCGAAGTACCCCAGTCGCTGTCAGCAGTGATATTGGCTAGGATTCCCGATCGTATGGAGATGGTGACATCGGTCAAGTACACATAGGCCTCGATGTTGGCCACAAAGAGCAAGGCGTAGGTACCATTGGTCTCGGATACAGAGCCACCGTTCACATAGGCATAAGCGGTTTCCGTTGTGCTGCTCGAGACTGTGCTCACGATCTGAAATACACCATTGTTCTCCGTTCCGGAGGAAAGATCACAGTCGGTCAAGGTAAACGAGTTTGCTCCATCAATACATGCCACAGGAGCAATGGCTGAAGTGCCAGTAAGGGAACGAGCTGTGATATTTCCAGTGGAATAGACCAATGCTGAGAGGGCACCATATGTATATGCGGCTGAGTCCTCTACCACAATGAGACCGCCGCCTTGGTCAGTGGCGATGGCACTGCCATGGCCATCATACGTATAGATTTTGAGATTGTCGCCGTAGATGATTCCCCCTGCGGTATAGATGCCATGTGAACCATCTCCTTCCGCGTGAATGTACACATTGGAGAGATAGGCGGTGGCGCCGTCCTCATAGGTGTGTAGTCCATTGGCACTCAAGCCATTGGTGGTGATGGTGCTTTCTGTAATATAAATCGTGCCATTGGTCTCCACACCGACTGCGGCATTGAGATCCGTGAAGGAGCTGTCATCGCTGCTGGTCGTGTTACCAGTCTTGACTAGTGTCACATCAGACAGTGTAGCAACGCCTGTCTCTTTGACAATTATGACTGCTTCATCGGTTCCGGTGGCAGTCAGGGTTGTATGGGCAAATGTCTTGGTTGACCCACTGACATAGTATGCAGCTGTTGTGGGAAGGGAGCTCGTAGTTGAGGTTGCTGCAGCATTTACTACTGCCAACAGGTGATAAACTCCTCCTATGAGGGCGTTCCAGGGCCGGATAGGCATGATAGGGATGAAAGTAACCAAGATGCAGGTTCTAGTTTTGTGGATTTGATTGACTGAGTGCTTCACGGCCTGCCAGTGTTGTTATGGGGGCCTGCTATGGTGGCTTATATACACATTCTGCGTGCAATATCCCCTTCTTTCGTCGTATTCAATATCAAGTCGGAACGTGGCCCATCGACGTGCTTCGGGATTTTCCCCCAGGTAATCCTTGTTTTATTTTCACTATCCACGTGTGCCCCATCAAATGCAGGACCCTGTAGGAGTGTCCACTCTGGAGATGTGGGGGAATAATGCGGGGAACTGGATATGACTGATGCATTCTCCTGCCTGTATTGCGTTACTCCAAGGGCCTCAACACCTCGCCATATAGTTCTCTTGACCAACTTGCCGTACCTGCTACCTGAGGATCGGTATCTGGGGTAGATATTCTTTCTAATGGCTTTATATGATTAATATATCCTTCGGCCCCACGAATTTTATGCTGCGAAGCAACTCCAACACCTTCTCCTCTCTCCTCAAGAGGTTCAATAGAAACGCTTTCACACGTAACCAAAATCAAAATAGCCGTTTGTTTAGCTTATGCTCGTCATCAAAAGATTGGGTGGACACATCTTAAGAGCAATAGCCCGCTCATATAAATCAAGTACTTGCCGTATTGTCCTGGTGAATGTCGGCTGCGGAGATATTAAGCTTGATTAAGGTGATGGAGATGTGGAGCCGAGAAAGAGGACGCGGCCCTATTTTGTCCCCATTGCCATGACTCTTCCTACAAGGCCGATGAATGATCACCAATTACAATGCTTGTCCTGAGGCGATGACGCGGCAGTCCTCTCCATAAGCCGTGAAAATGGTGTTTGTTCAAATGATCCTTGAACGTTCAGTGATTGGAAGCAGCTCTCCGGCGATTCATATATTAAACCCGGTACACTTCCTCCTAAAATTCGATCCAACGCATCTCTGTCCATCCCAGTCCATCTTCTGCATTCGATATGCTGGCTTTCCTTGTCCTTGCTGCTCTTGGCGCAGCCACAGTTACCGTCCACGATTCCAGTGACTTTGCTGATCTTACTGCTGATGCAGCTGATGATGCGTTGACGGCGGATTGGGATTATACCCCGACCACATATCAAGTCGATTCCATCGTGGGGGCTTACGAGTACTCCGACAAGACTGATACTATAGCGCATGAAACGCTTACCGTCACTGCCAATGATACCAGTGTCCTTGTTATCACCGAAGGATCAGACGTGAATGTCTCCTACTCGACCATTGTTAAGCACGGCTACTCCAGTGATCTCTACCAGTCCAGTTTCTTTGGCCTAAATGCAGCCGTCAATGTGGCCAACGAGTCCGTGGCATACCTCGACCATGTCAACGTGACAGTGCATAACGGAGCAGCCAATGTCTATTCCTATGGAAACAATACCTACGTTTCCATCTCTGACTCGAGCTTGTACAGCTCCGGTCCAGTTTCGCACGGCCTGTATGCAGCCGGCTACGGCACCATCGTGGGACGAAACTTAGAGCACTACTCGGGAGCTTATAGATCCTCTTCTTTTGCCGGGGACAGCCCTCAGGGCTACGTGTATGTGTACGACTCAGTGGCCCACACGGCGGGTATCGGAAGCGCCATCATCTACGGCCAGGGCACCGTCTACGCTGAGAACATCGTGGGGTATGCTGAACAAGCTCCCGTTGCATTCTTGGATACCGCCCAGATTGATATATACGATTCCGATCTCACTGCGGGCCTGCTGGCGGGAGCAGTCGTCTTCTCATCTGGGACTCGGGGATCTGGCTCGGAGATCAACTTCACCAACTCTCGTCTGACTGTCCTCCCTGAGGCAGCGGCAGCGCTTTGGTTCGGCAACGTTATTGCCAGCTCCCACTTGGCAAGTACTGCTATCAACACTACGTCGGGGATCTTGGTCATTGCCAATTACTCTCAAGTTACACAGGACTTTAGCTACTTCGCGGACTCCACAGCCGCCGCTGAAGCAACTATCACAGTGTCCGCATCCGAGTTGGAGGGAGACCTTGTGGCGTACAATGGCAGCAGTATTAGCTGGTCGCTGACGGACTACTCTTCGTGGACGGGAACAGCCTACTCGGGCTATGGCATCTCAACCTTTGCTGTCTCACTGGATGCGACATCCACGTGGACATTGACCAACGACACGGTGCTTAACAATTTCACAGATTCGGACCGGGCGTTGAGCAATGTGTACAGTGCTGGATACACATTGTACTACGATGCGAGCGCAGCTGCGAACCGATGGTTGAACGGGACGACCAAGCAGCTGACTGGTGGAGGGTCTGTGACGCCGGCGACGACTGAGCAGCTTGCGCGATAGGTCTTAACTGAGCAATAGTTTTGCGCAGCATGATGGCATCTTCATCTGGGAAAGATGATGTACCGACAAATGTCTACAGTGTGTAGTGGCCGTGATGATGATGGCTTCCGTGATGATTCAGATTTTTTTTTGTATACGGCCCAAGATATTAGGGTTCTAGCTTTAGTAAACGATAGTTTGCGAGGTCAGTACGAAGATTCAGCTGATAATTGGCATGCTGCGCGCAGTAGATAGTGGATGACATTTGCATGGAGGGATCCTGGCAGCAAAGGCTGGGGTTTAAGTAAGCAATCCGCGGGATGGATTTCGATTTGCCTCATCGAGAGCGTCAGCCCCCTTTCTTTCCATGGTCAACTCTCTATCGCGAACCCCACGCGCCGTTGAGCCCAATCATGGCTTCTTCCCTCATCATCGGACTTCCTAAGGTCTATGCCAATCGTGGTCGCAAGTGTGTGCCTCCAACCAATGACTTCCTACTTGGCACCTGGCATGTCACGCACTCGAGCCTGCCGCTTTGGAAGGGCAAGTGCAATGTCAACATCACTTACCAATTGCTTCCCCCAGATCCCTCCGGCGTGGTGAGAATTGATGATCTGGTACAATATCAAGCCATCGGATCAAAGAAGGTCAAGTCGGTTCATGGCGTGGACACCCCGACCCCGGGGAACCAAGGGGCCTGGGACTGGCGCGGTAAAGGTTGGCTGATGATCGCGAGCTCACACTGGGAATGCCTCGGCTTTGGCCAGGCCGTGGAAGAAGACAATCAATGGATGGTCACATACTTCGCTAAAACCCTCTTCACCCCGGCTGGCATTGACATCTACTCTCGCAAGAAGGAGGGACTTCCCTCGGCCATGGTCGACGAAATTCTTCAATGCCTCCATGGTCTTGGTGTTGAGGAGATCACCGAGCTCGCCCGTGTGATCTTCCCAATCCCACAAATGTAGATTGAGACAATCCGCAGAGCAGGGTGAAGAACGTCACCCTCAAAGTGGATATGTTCGCGGACTGTCGACGATGGCACCCTTTCCGTGGTCATGTTAGTGGGCCTTAGACTTGTGAATTGCATTGACTGAACTGTGACCGGAGCTAAGGCCGTGATCTTTTAGAGGTCAGGAGTATGATGGACGGAGGAGTGGCCTGTTCCTTGCAGCAGCTGGTGGAAAGATTCGGACTCCGCAAGGATCATCGGGCTCACGGGCGGGGTTTCAAACCTCCACCGGAGCATATCCCAAAAAGAATGCAGATCCTGCAGCAAAGCCAGCCAGGATCCCTGAAGAAATATGAGACACGGTTGAGGTGGCAGCGTCAGCAATATAATTGCGGCCAGGGGATTTCTCCCCCAATCCCCCAATCACCCCATCTCCTTAATCCCCTCACCTGCATCATGTACATAATCCTGATCGCTTCCCGACATGCTTGCCACTGGCGGTCCGATACCTCTTCGTCTTTGTATACAGCCTCTTGCCTGATCTCCACATAGCATCATGCTGGCGCATGTCCTTCTTGCTTCTGTGGCAATCGCCAATGTTGCGACTGCATCGTTACAGATAGTTCGTGCCTGTCCCGATGCAGCCAGAGACTTCCAAGAATTAACAGCGACAGGTTCCGGGCGCGACATGGACTGCTGCAGGGACAAACCAACATATACAAGCCCATGGAGGTGGTAGGTAGTCTTTAAACCCCCGGATGTAGACCAAAAATATCCGGTCGGCCATGTCTGATTCTGCGAATCTCAGGCATCATTGAAGTGGACGGCACGTACTACTGGGCTGGCGAGAATCACCTGAACGGGAGTGCCTTCCAGTCCATCAATTGCTATTCTAGCACAGTGCGTCATCCCAGATCGGATGATCTGTAGAATAGGCAGGTGTCTGACAATGTCCTCTAGAATCTGGTCGAGTGGGCTTTTGAGGGTGAATTGCTCTCCTTGCAGAGCAGCGGAGACCTGGGTCCCGACCGCATCGTCGAACGGCCCAAGATCATCTACAACGAGGACACCTCCACGTATGTAATGTGGATGCACATTGACGATAGCTCTTACGCCGAAGCGAAAACGGGGGTAGCCACCTCCTCAAGCGTCTGCGGACAGTATGATTATCTGTAAGCATTTGGCCCTTTGTCTCACCGGGGAAGACCATCTCATATCGGGATGTAGTGGATCGTTCCAGCCGTTGGGTCATCAGTCGCGCGATATCGGTCTATTCAAGGATGACGATGGAACAGCATACTTGCTTTCTGAAGATGTAAGCTGAGTATCAGTTCAACGTGCGAAATCAGCTAACCTGACAGCGCCCGAACGGCTTGCGAATTGACCGGTTGACCGACAACTACCTCAATGTTTCCTATACCACTCACCTATTTCCGGAGCATTACGAGGCACCAGCCATCTACAAGCAGGACGGCGTCTATTTCATGTTTGGATCCCAATTGACTGGTCAGATGATCTGAAGTCCCCTTCATAGAACGCCTGACTGACATCTCATAGGATGGTGTACGTGGTTTGTGGAAATGACAGTATCACGGGTGACGACTGACATTTGGAGTAGCTGCCAATGATAACAAGTACACCACCTCCACAGACCTTAATGGCACATGGAGTGATTGGAGTGACTTTGCGACCGCGGGAACGGACACCTACGACTCCCAGACCTCCTTTGTGATGCAGGTAGGGAAGAGCGTGATGTGAGCATGGCTAGAGAAGAATGTATAGCCTTGTGCTGACAACGGCAGGTACATGGGCGACCGCTGGGTCTCATCGAATCTGATGGCTTCGACATACATCTGGCTACCCTTGACATTGAGTGGAACCAACGCGACCTTGGTCAGATACACGTGCAAATCCGATTATTAGTGCTTTCGACTGACTGCGACCGACAGATCGATAGCTCCAACTGGATCCCCTCCACAGACGGCACCTGGTCGTCTGGGGGCGACGAAACCGACCCCGAAGCTGAGGCATCCACCAGCGTCCTGTCCAACGGAGCGAAGGTCATCTCGTGCAGTGGCTGCTCGGGCGACGAATCTGTTGGCTGGATCGGAGGGTCCGACAATGGGACACTCGAGATGCGCAACATCTCCAGCGACGCGTCAACCACGACCACCATCCAGGTGCGGTATGAAAACGGGGATTCCACCCAGCGCTACGCCACCGTCACGGTGAACGGCAAGTCGCAGATTCTGGCATTCACACCGTCTGATAGTGGAAACACGCCGGCCACGTCGGTGCTGAACGCCCAACTGGAGAGCGGCGATGACAATGTCATCACCTTCAGTGCGTATGAGGAGGAATATGGTACGTCTTAGCGGCGTAGAAAATGGAGTCAACAGTCGCTAACTCAGCCGTCTGATTAGGTCCCGATATCGATCGGTTGCTCGTTCCCGACGAGTAAACTACTTCCGGGCAGCTCGAGTGATGGCAATGGGCTTGCGACAAGTATGCGTGGGGAGAGGGATTTGGCGTGCAGGACGGCAGACCAGCATAACAGTTGTTTTGAAGTATATAGGACAGTCTGCTCCATGAAATTTACAGGCCAGAATTTTCAGGTCCAATTCATCCCGTGTAGACATGATGTGAATGTGTCTTTATCTTCCTCGGCCATTCTCGAGTTCTCTCGGAGCGCCCCGAGCGCCCCGAGCGTGGCGGCCCAGCCCCGAACCACTTGCCAGTTTTTCAACCATTTCATCCCCCCAGATCTTCAGTGATTATCGCAGGCTAGCATGCACCTTTGGCAGTGGGTCCCTAAGCATATTTAAATGCTCCACAACCGGAGACCGAGCGTGTCTGTGTGGAGTGTCTCACCGAACGATACCAGCAATAGAACATCCACAATCTGCTCGGCGGCATCTAATGCGCTTCGGGGCTGTTGCTCTCGGCGCCTTCTCGTGTCCAGCATTCCTCATATCTTCCCCGCATTCTCTAAATTATGCTTTAGTCTCTTCGGGGAGTGGACACAAGCTGCGAGCTTAAAACCCTCCAGGGCGCGCTGCGATGCGACCCGTTTGTTGTTCAAGCATGAGTATCCGGCAGAATGGCCGACAAGAAGATTGATGTCGATTGCATCGAGCATGTTGATCAGGTGCTGGTGGATGAGGCTGGTCGCATTCAGCGTCTGCCGGTGCCCAGCGACGATCCCAATGACCCCTTGAACTTTGCACTGTGGGAGAAGACAGGCATCGTGGTGTGCTGTTGTTGGTTTTGTAAGTTCCCTTCCCCCCAATTGACTAATAAGTTCAAGCTCATTCTCTCAGCTATTATGTCACTCTCGGTCATTGGTGGGCTGGGCTCTGTTCTGGATGTTTTCTTTCAGATGTACGGCGCAGAAGGTCACAGCACCAACCAGGTTGTCTGGCTCTCGACCTTCCCCTCACTATTTGTTGGAATTGGTAAGGTGTCTCTTCCAGTTCTGCTACCGTCAGCAACTCACCAGCGTCAGGGAACTACATCATCCTGCCGTTAGCCCTTGTCTGCGGACGTCGACCGGTGATGCTCATCGCCAACACCGTTCTGCTGGGGTCGTTGATTGGCTGTGCCTTGTCACAGAACTGGGCCCAGCATTTTGGGCTACGCATCCTTTTGGGATTCGCTACAGGAGCGACGGAATCGGTGCGACAGCTGTATTTCTTTTTTTGTGGTTGATCTAACCTACCATAGCTTCTCCCTCTGATGTTGGCAGAGGTAACCTTCATTCACCAGCGCGGCACCATCTATGGCATCTACTGGGCCACTCAGAACATCGTGACGAGCCTACTGACGCTGGCTAGCTCATATGAAGTAGCTGCGCTAGGCTGGCGCTGGTTCTACTGGGTGTTCGTTATAACCGTCGCCGTCGGACTGGTGCTGGTGGTGTTTGCCTGCTTTGAGACGCGGTTCCAGCGTCGGCCAATCTTCGTGGGCGACCACGCCGTCGTCACCGATCAATATGGAGTGACCCGAGTCCTGACTGCCCCAGAAACCCAAGAATATCTCGCTAGTGAAGAGGGTCGCTCCTACGCCGACCTCGCCGGTGACACGCCTCCCAAGAAGACCTACCGCCAGATGCTCAGCGCTTGGCCACGCCTCTGCCCTCATCCCCTGCGCGACGTCCTGCTCACCTGGTGGCAGATGCTCGAGACCTTCAGCTCGCCCGGCATCATCTATGCCACACTCCTCTCTGCTGTCATCCTAGGCGGGTCCGTCGGTGTCTCTCTCACCTATGACACGGTCTTGCAGTACAACTACGGCTGGGGTGCCGCCAGCATTGGCCTTATCAACTTAGGCGGCGTCTTTGGCGGGCTGGGCGGCATGCTCTACGCGGGGATTCTGGGCGACCGTGTCATTGTTTGGTTGGCCCGACGCGCCGGGGGTGTTCATAAACCCGAACATCATCTCCTCTTATTGATTTTCCCAGGGCTGTTGGCAGTAGCCTCGCTGCTATTATATGGATTCACCGCCAGCGGCGATGCCACTTGGGGCGGGCCTTTCATGGGCTGGACGCTCTATCAGGTAGCCTTCGTTTCGACCCTCATCCGCACGACATCGTTTGCCACGGAGGCATGGGAGAAGAATCCTGGTCCGGCGCTGGTGACGGTCGTGGGGACGAAGAACATCATAGGGTTTGGGGTCAGCTATGGTTTGAACCCCATGGTGGCCAAGTATAGTTATCCGGCAGCCATGGGAATTCTGGCGGGGGTGGTGGGTGGAGTTCTGCTGTTGGGGGTTCCCGTCTACTTCTACAATCCAATGGTAGTTACCCGCCTTTTGCTGATGATTTTCGGAGATGCAGTTATGCTAACTTAGGTTCAGTGGAGACGGTATATCAGCCAGCAACGAACACGCGACCGGGGACAATCTGGAGGACCGTAATGGGAAGGATGGACGCTCTCATTTGTATGTTATACAGCAAGATATTTGGATGTTCTGCATTGTGTTCTCGGAATACAGAATCGTCGGGATACACTACTCGCTGGATTGTATACTCGTAGACCTGCTATAATCATATCTGACTACGACTGTCATAACCATACAAAACAGACGCTACGGACACAAGACCACTGATCTTCTCTAATGGCTTCCTAGGTGACCGACGCCGTGGATTACTACGTTGACGGTCGGAAAGTGGGGGATCTACAACTGCTCCTTCGGGGCATGACCGTGCACTTCGGAGGCACCGTCGGCTGTTCGGTGCTGCCCGAGAACCCCCGATTCGCTATGATCCGAGCTCAGACACGATCTAAATTACCTGAAATTGTGAACGAAAGAACCATTGTATTTTGAGATTGTACACTTCTGAGCTCCCGTATATCTTACAATTCAATCCATCGACCCATCCACTCATGCACGATCGCCTTGGCCTCATCCACCAGCCCCAGGTCCAGCAAGAGTTGGGTAGTCCCGCGCACGGCAGAGTCCAGAGCCGCGGCGATCCAGCCATGGGTATACGAGGTATGCTCGCCAACGAAAATGGTCTGGAACTCAGTTTGGTAGTAGGCGGGTAGAAAAACCTGTTGCTGTCCAACAAGAGGGTGTGTCCAGGCGCCGTTTTGGTGTTCATCATTCTCCCAGCAGTGACCGTGGGAGATACCTATCGGGGCAGTAAGCATGAGACTGAGGGCTACTTATTCAAAGGATCTAGCCTACCTGTGAATTGTTCCTCTGCAATGGCCCCGTGAATCTCCACCATGCTGCGCCGTGCCAATGCGACATAATCCTCGAGTTTTAACGCCTGTACACTCCGCGCGGTGCCTCCGAGGGAATATGCCCCAAGAACCGCCGCCGGGCCGGTGCCATTCAGATTGAACGATGGATAGCATACATATTGCACCCCCGGAATGTCCACAGTGCCGCAGCCCCCGAAGATGGGCTGTTCCTGGTGCTCCCAGAAGCGGGTTTTATACAGCAGGGCGAGCTTACAGGCGGGTTCATAGTTTGTCTCGGAGATGGCCCGGCTCAGGATCGACGAATATCGCGGCAATTCCCACATGCGCACCTTGGTGAAAGGCGCGGCCACGACAGCATAGTCATATTCTTCGCTGCGCTCGGGGGTGATCTGGACCGGAGAGTCGCGCCAGGTGTAGGCAATCTTACCCGAACTCTCGTTGTACGAGAGCCCGTCCACTTTCCGCCCGAGGGTGGCTTTGTCTGCGACGTGCGGTAGGAATGCTCGCACCAGAGACTCCATCCCCTGGTCGATGGTAAACCAGGTGGTGGCCGCAAAGTAGACACTATCGTAGAATCCATCCCAAATGGGATTGTTGGCCGTGCCAGCGGCGTAGTCGACGACATCTGCGTTCTCCCCCAGCGCGTACCGCATATATGCGGCTTCCGACCAGTGGTAGAACCCGTCTTCCAGAGCTGCTTTGTGTGCGCGGTACATGTTGCGAGCAACTTCTCGGATATTACTTATCTTGTCTGTCTGGGCGTACTGCATGTACCCAGCTTTAGCGTCCGCAACGGCACTGGCGTTGTCAGGAGGCGCCGTGTATGCCAGCGACGAGTTGGCGGCAACCTGGGCTACAGTAGGGATTCGGCCGTCTGGCAGACGGACACCTCCCGTGTCAGTCGGAAGATTCGGATTATCCTGGATGAAGGGGATGAAGTTGACTCGCAGCTCTGGATCAGCGTCGGCGTTGAGCTCATTGAGGACATCGGCCAATTGAAGGACTAGTCGCATGTCCTGGATCTGGAGCGTCTCGTTGGTATCGGCGTAGGTGATGTTCATGGGAAAGCGCATAGCCCCCAACTCCTGGTATTGGTACTGATCGGGCCGCGAATCGTTCAGATAGTGAGTGCGAATGCGGCCACCTAGTCGATGAGATGACTCCACAATGTGCCAATTGGTCATGCCGACAGAGTTGAGCAGCAGACTTGTCATCATTCCGGAGATGCCACCGCCGATAATAGCCACGGAAGAATTCTTTGCGGCCGACACCACAGCCTTGCCGGGTTCCTTGCCTTGCATGTACGCGACGCCGTCAAACCAGGGGCCCAGCACATCAGCCACATCGGCGATGCTTTCCCGACGAGCCAAGCGGGTAGCAATTGGAATGGGATCGGAACGAGCGAGCAGCGTCGATCCAGAAATGGCGTGGAGACAGTGCAGATGAGGCGCATCGGCGGGGGTGATCCAGACGAAACGCTCTGGATGAGCGTCACGCTTGATGACAATGTGGCCGATCTCATGATGCCCCTGGCCGGTGTTGCAGTCCCCGTAGAACAGATTGATATGACCTTCAAAGCTACTGTCCAGAAAGTCCAGATGAACGTTGTGCAGGGAGTCTGCGGTGACCAGGCTCGGCACCTGAAAATTCAGGACATGTCTGTGAACCTCTCTGGGGGGATGTTGGGAAACTGCCCCAACCAAGGCGCTATATATCACGCCCAGGACAAGCGGAGAATACCACCAGTTGTAGCGAGACATGGCGCGCCGAGGTATTGAGGTCAGCACACTCTGCCCGGATGACAGGGGTGATTGTACGGATGCCATGCATGATTTTATACCGGCGCCATTCCAGATTATCAAGTTCCCATCGCCGATTCAATCTTTCAATTACCCTACATGGTGTGTGTCTACATAAGAATATACCAATAATTGAGGATCCTGCAGATACAGGGGTGTATGGGTGCCGTTGATTTATTGCAGTCTTACACGCTGCCATTTGCGTATCTATTTCCTAAGGCCAAACTTGGTGGTGACCCGCCGAACTAGTTTCAATAATTGCCGCTCGGAAATTTGCGCCAAAAGCCGATCTTCGACAGCCACATTGCCTGGTGCGGAGAGAACGACGGGACTAATCTGACCTGGATCACATCCTCCTGGCTATTTCACGGAATGGTCACAATTCCATTCGATGGAAGGCCATCGCGCAGGACAGAAAACTGCTTTGGTTATACGCAGGTGTAGCTGATGGACTACCGTACCCGGAGAAATATATAGACCATGTCAGGAAGAAACAGCAAAGTCCGGCAAAGAATCGCTTTAACAAATAAGATGTATCACATATACATGTCAGTTGGCCGGTCTAGCTACTATCGCCCGAACCACATCCTGCAAGTCCCCTTCGATGCTGGTGGCCAGCTGCGCAGCAGCCAGCTCCCCAGGGACCTGCACGGCATCGCCCAAACCCGCGCGCACCAGCCGTACGCGTCCATCGCCCTCCTCGACCAGCTCCTCATTCTCCCACCGCAGCACCCCTGGCGTGGAAAGGCCGACACCCAGCTCAAGAATAACTACGTTTCGTGTCGGATCAGTGAGAAAGGCCTCGCGGAATTGATGCCATCGCGTTTCGCCGGAAGCGAAGGGCGTTTCGTTGAACCAGTCTCCCGCCCGAACACAAATCGACATGGCGCCACCACAGAATGAGCATGTTGGGATTTTGTCCTGCGCCGTTATGACCTGTGTCTGTGGATCCAGATGCGGCAGGGCAGCGTCAAGATACGGTGCCGATGGGAAGACAGCATCCGGACGGCAGTTTTCCAGACATTGAAGGAAGGCATACTGGCCCTGGGGTGTGGAGAGCTGCGTTTCGGGCAGTCCATGAGCTGCAAAAAGTCCGTCTGCATTGGAGGTCCGCACGTGAACCCGATCCGGTTGAAAACGTGATGCCAGCCATTCTAGCAGCGAGGTATAGAGGGACGAGCGGGGCCAGCGACGCACCATGGCCAGATGGGAGAAGTAAAATCCCCACCGAACACTCTCGGATGGCCAGTCGCGGTTGGTGCGGCCAAAGGTGTCATACAGCCGTCGCAGCTGGTATTGCTTGAAAGCCGGGAAGTGGCGATCAAACAGACTGGTCGAGGTATAGTCGAGTCCAGTGGCCGCCGATATGCCGGCTCCGCAGCTGATCACAATGGTATCGGCACCAGCCAGCCAAGCTTTGGCTTGGTTAAGGGAGGATCCATGGACCTGGGGAGGTGGCACGAGGGAAGGAACTGGATAGTGCATTTCTTTCAGCGTCTGTTGGTAGACGGCCGTGTCGGTGCCGGTGAAGGTGTTGAAGATGATGTTGGTGATGGAGGTGTTCGGATGGCGCCGCAGCCAGTCGAGAACGGATTGAATGGCAATGGATGCAGCCTCCTCCACGGGAAAGGCAAACAGTCCGGTCGAGATGCCACAGAGAGCAATGAACTTGCCCCGAGGATCCGATGCAGGCAGGGACTCTGCGACATCTAGGACGGCCTCGTAGCATTGCCGCAGCTGTTCGCATTGGTGCGCGGTGGGCACAGGCTGTCCCGCGTCCAGCTGAGGGCCTACGGTGTGAATCACATAGGGAGCAGGAAGACAGTATCCTTTGGTGGCACACGCCTGGCCGACGGGCAAGGTGCGCTGTCCCTGATCCATGTGGTGGAAACATTCTTCGCGCAAGCGAGGACCTGCCCGGGCGTGGATGACATTGTCCAGGCATCGATGGGCCGGCTGGAAACATCCCAGCATCTGCTCATTGGCCGCATTGGTGATTGCGGTGACGCCATCCAATGTGGTAATGTCTCCTTGCCACAGATGGAGCGTGGCAGGGAGAGGCTTTGATGATGATGGAGTTGGAAGAGCTGGAATGGAAGCAGCGTCAAGAAGAAGGCGATTGGCACGTTCCTCAAGCAACACCTGATCAATCTCCAGAAGTAAGGAGGATGGAAGAGACTGGCGAGGATGTCTGACACATAGCAGCTGCTTCATGAGACGGAACTGGGCCCATGAATCCATGGATTCGATGGAGGCGATGTCATGCTGGCGATGGTGGTTATGGTGGCAGACGGATCTCTGCAGGGAGAAGTAGTGGGAATCAGCCAGTAAGGTCTGCAGGACTGACGGTAGTGAGCCAGTCATGACTGACATGGATATTTGACAATTTTTGTGGAAGATACATCTC